CAAATTTGTAAAATGGCATCACAAACTGGGATATTCGGTCATCAATGTTCTGAAGTTGATAGATATCACTTCAAGGATTGCTAGTGGATGATAATTAATCTGTCAACAGAGGAGTGAACTGCATTGTATGCTGCGAAAGCCGTGTTTTTGTATTTGTAACTAGTGGCTGTGTTATACGGTGGAAGTGGATAGATAGCATAGCATCGCAGCCATGTTTTCGTTGTCACAGAGTGTATTCCGTGACCTATTGTTCTTCATTCCTGTCTCTAGTGATGGCAAGACGGCCTGACGTCGTCCAAAGGCCCTGCGGAAGCAATTCACTGCCCTCCTCGTCCATTCAGGGGCTCATTTTACACATTTTACACAAAATGGCAAAGCAACCACCACTAGTTATACCGACGTGGCAGGGAGAATTAAATTATATGCACCAAATTTTCTGATCAATGTTGATCTACGATAAACTGGCTCTCATTTTCCACCACCCATGTTTCGATACAGCCATCCGGAGCAGAGAAACAGCCAGAAGAAAAGCAAATTTTACACATTTGTTAAAAAATGCCAAATGTTAAAAAAAGCCAAATCACCTCGTACCGTTTCGACGATAGAAATTACTAGAAAGCTCTTTTTAGCGGGAGAACGAAACGGTAAGATTCCAACTAGGCCTAGGGTTACCTCACACGTATATCGTTGCGTCAGGAGTCAGGACTCATCTAGATCAGAAGCCGAACTGCTAACCGTGTCTCGAAAACACATCAAAAACAGTAGACTCGCCCTCTACACGCCGACCGTCGAAATAGCGTGAACGGTAAAATGCTATGCAGCTAGCTAACCATGTCTAGAAGTTTTCCACGTAGATCTACCCCTTATTTCCGTGACTCTTTTCTTACGTTCCCTCCCATGTACAGTAGTTGGGCGTGTTACTTGTACTTGTAGTCGGTGTAAATAATTACAGAAATACATCTCATGAGTCATGAGTCATGTACATGTACATACTGGGGCACAGCTTTGTTATACTGTTGTGGCCAGCGGATGTTTGGGTCATGAAGGTGACAACTGACAACGGCATTGTGTCGTTGGGGTCCTCCAACCTTGATGTACACAGCCATGGCCTGGGCGATACCAAGAGTCAAGACTGCCAGTGCACACGAAACCATACTGTGTAGTTGCGCGCTGAACGTGGAGCCCAAGAACGTCCAGCCTGAACCACTAAGAACGCACAGATTGCTGAAAAAAATTGTCCCAGGCTAGCCCCTTGGAACGTTCTTGGGTACGCGTCTCTACATACTGTATGTAACATTGTATCAGTAACAGACGGATATGATTGTTGTACTTTTGGTATATGGATCATGAATGATGCCACGGCCAAAGCTCCTAGGCTACGATGAAAATGTATACAAGTCATGTAATTGTATGTACTCTTGCCGTCTTGGTGGTGTCAAGAGTACATAACCCTCCCTGTATATGTGCCAAATGTGGTGCGCTTGAGTCACAAACTGACTTCCTATAGGGCTTGAAAGTGATGACGTCAAAAACGGCCTGGGAGTAGTAAATTGACATCAGATTTCTATTTTGGATCCACTAAGGTGTGACTTTGCTATTGCCTCAGTATGTGGGTGCATAGCAACCCACTCATGTCGTATGCAGGTGCAACTTTTACTTCGCCACCAGTTGTCACCCCGCCCCCACTAGCCAAATCAGTCAGTTTCACTGGCAACATCACCTTGCTGTGAGTGAGACCGCTTGAAATGTGCTTGGATCCATACAAAAACTGGATCCAGGTGGATCCAGTTTTCGAATTTTTCAAATTGTTGCTATGCCATTGCTATGGAGTGACGTAGCACTTTCAAGCCCTATTCACCAGCAACAGTTACCATGGTTACTGTCCCAAGCTCCACTGGTACAATATGGTGAGAGGGTGAATGCCCGAAATTCTGTGTCTTGACAAGCAAAGCGTGGTGCTTTCTAGTACAGTCAGACATCGCATAACCGCACACATCTGTTTTCCACAAAAACATCCGGATAGGCGAGGGAACCGGATAACCGAACACCGTTTATGTTGGATGCATCACGTATGCTGTAAATATGTAACCAGCTACAGTCGTCCCTCTTTAATCCGGCACTTTATAATCCAGCACCCTCTATAAACCAGCACAATTTTCAGTAGCCAAAATGTCCTCTTCATGCACATTGCAGCAGTAAATCAGATTTGTTAATCCAGCACCCTCCCTAATCCAGCAGATTTTCGTGGCACAAATGGTGCCGGATTATAGAGGGACCACTGTATTTTCTTCCGGATGGCAAGGGATCCGGATAAAAGAGGACCGGATAAGCGAGGTCTGACTGTAATTATAATTATATGAGACTAGGACCGACCGCCAAGAACTTCGTCTTCTGCACACTCACAGTCAGGCCACAGCCCAAAGCACACCGCCTAAATTCCTTCACCATCGTCTACATGTGCTCATACGAATATGATGTAGTGTAGATCTACAGGGCAGCAGCATGCGCGAATAGCGACTCCGATACGGATATGTCCGCGAGTCTGTGCCTGGCAGTACGGTCGCCAACCAACTTGCGGCCGATGCAAAGTAACTTAGTTTCATCGGGAAACTAGGCACTGTTGATGTTAATCGCCAGTGTGCGAGAACCGCAGAGAAGACGAAGTATAGATTGAAGAGCATCGGAGCAAGGGTGCAGCCCTGGAATAGACCATGTACATGTAGTCGCCGGTTTGCTACATTGCTACATTTGTAGGTCAAAGATTCGGCAACTATGTTACTTGTAGTGCATGTACTCTGGGATGGCAGTCATGACATACTAGTATTAAACCATTATTATGCTTGTTCACGTTTGTTATTAGAGCTCAAATAAACAAAAGAAATGATGAACGAACGAGGGCAACTTGTAACCAAGGTCAAGGAGTCGTAAAATACCTTTATTTACGACTCCCTGCTTGTATAAACTGCAATCTACTGTCGTGGACATGGAAATCCGGTCGAATGATGCAGGGACGGCACCCTCAGCGTGTACAGAACGTTGCATGCGGTGTGCGTGTTGATCGTACTCGTACTGATGCCTGCATGGCCAGCGCCCTGGGACGTTTGATCTCCGACCGGATTTCCATGTCCACGGCAGTACTTGGTATACAATCAAGAGTACATAACCCCCAGGGGGGTTATGTACTCTTGATACTAGTACAATGTGTAAGCCTGTAATGTCCTGCAGGAGTGGAAATGTAGCTGTTGCATCCTGTTGCTTTTCTGACCAGGCGATCACACTGTTATGTGATGCGACGGCCAAGCCATGTGCATGTGTTGCACTGTTGAGCATTGTGTTTGGGGAGTACATCCACTGTGTTTGTGGAGTATAATCATGTACTGTGTTTTGTTGAGGTTCAGGAAATGGCTACTTCCAGTGGTAGTCATGTTGACACCAGACTCATGGTGAGGAAAGCACAAAGCATTCTCGTGTGACCGGTAGCCGTGCCGGGGATATAGCAGCACAAGTTCGGCCGTACACAGTGGACTGCGTGAAACTTGGCGAATCAGTGACGAAAATGGTGTTCATTTGCCACATCAATGGATCTCTCACATAGTAACTGGATAAAGGTGGCTTGCACCTACATGTAACTGAGTACCTGCAGAGAATCTAGACAATCATACGACGTGTACATATCGACTGGGTCAAGTGGAATCATAAACACAGGATTAATGAGGACTGACGAGTGGACCATTTGAGTAAGGTAATCGGAAAGAACACAACTACTTCATACAAGTCTGCTTGTTTCGTAATGTAATGTTCGAGGTGCACGTGCTTTCAGACGCCCATGCACACAACATAATTATGATATCGCACATCCGCTTGTACGAGTTACACACAGCACAGGCGTGTCCCCTTGGAAAATTGTGATTCCCCGGCCGCGACAAATTCCGCGGTTTTCGTGGGTTTCCGCGAATCTAGCATTTTCCGTGGAAAACGTGCACATTTCTTCATTTTGCCTCAATTTTCAGTGAATTCGTGAGCCCACCCTGTTCAGATTTTCATGCATGGTGTGTTTTGTGCGCTGCTATGTGTACTTCATGGTGTACACGAAGTGTGTGGCTCTAAACTTTTGTCCCCAGGGCCGAACTTTGACATCGCACTGTTCTTCGCGCTTCGAAATTCCTTACTATTGTAGGTCCTCCATTCACGTTTTACAATCGTTGCAAGATAGCCAGTTTCCGCAAAATTCCGAATTTTTTCCCCCGCGATTTTCCAGGGCGACAGACAGGCTCAGACTGTGGAATAAGAAAAAAAGCAACAGTACCTGAAGAACCATAAATATCAAGCACGGCATTTCGAAATGACACTAACATGATATTCTGCCAGGTAAAACCTCCAATTATCCGGACACTCTCACTATTCAAATATACAACCAACACGCAGGACCATGTACTAGTATGTCAAAAATGCTGGCATTGTCACACAGAGTTGCAATAGGCACTGCTCTGATCAAACCATAATACTTTCTATCTGTAGGCTAATGTGGCTCTGAATATAGTTTGTAGCAAAGCTAAAAAGTAAAAGCCGCTTATTGTCCTTTCCTGCATGGCCCTGTGAACTAATGCAGAGCCTGAAACAGACCGATACCAGCACAATCTAGAAAGGCGGATAGTGATTAATTTTCATTCCTACCCGGGACACATTACTGTCAACAAGGACACAATAAACTTGAATAAAAGGCCCACAATGCCTTTAGAGTGCCGCACAGTAAAACTACAGAAGACACATGAAAAAGCCACCGTGGAAGTGTGGGCACCAGTACTCAAACAAAGAACACCCACACACGCACGAATGCACACCCACACACAGGAATGAAGAGTGAGATTGAAAAGGTCAAGTTCATCGCCGCACATGCAAACAGAAAGAACCGGGATAAAAAGAAGGAAATAGACAAAACTCCCATGATCTGAGCATATAAAAAAGTTGGGTAAAATAATGGATTGTGTCCATCGAAAGCTTGGAAACATCTTCAAACTTGAAGCTTTCACATTCAGAAACTAGTTTTATAAGAGGCCAAAAAACTATTATTTATAATCAGTCAAAACAAGTGAAAATTACAATTTAGCTATCAGTCAAGGCAGCTGGGGTGATTGGTACTAAAACTAAAGACAAGCTCCGAGGGCAGCATGATTAGAGAAAGGCTGGGAGGTCAAGTCAGGATTTAAGGCGAGTGGTTACAAAAGCATTCAAGGACACATGCCATTGACTACTCGAATACAGTAATGACAAGTTACTTATATCAGGTTTAAAAATTGAAAAAACACCCTAAAACCCTGCTCCCCGTCATACAAAACATCAAAAGAGCTTTAGATGATTAAGGGTTTACGTGCATGTGCGAGTGCAAATATGGAAACTGATTAGTTCAGTGCCTGTACTCCTGCTGTCTTGAGTGGAACATCATCAGAGTAAGTAGTCAAGCTTCACCATGTATAGACAGAGAGAGCCAGCACCCGGGGTATTTCCATGCACAAACGTTTACAGAGGGTTGGCAACGCCACAGCATGTCAGTACGGGCGATAGCGTGCCTGGACAGCAGCGCTGTACTGGACCGCGCTGGGTATACCTGGCGGTGCTTTGTGCCATGCTGTTAGTTCATGCGCACTAGCAGCCGCGGCGGCAGCTGAGGTCAAGCAACACATCAGAACGCCAGGCCGAGCATTAAACAACTGCAAGCTACTCTCTATACGGGGCTTGAAATTAGTGCAAGCTGTTAACAAGTTCTCCTCATGGCCACAAGCTTGCTACATAGCATAATTTGAGTTTTCAAACAAAATTGAGTCTGATGCACTATTTTCTTTTAGAGGGTTTAGGTACTATTGTTTACAAGTAAACAACTACAAACTTTAAATAAAAAAACTTGCACACTGCATCTCACAGCACGGATTAATCATCAGTTGCATAGCACCCAGTCTATTTAATTCATTATTCAGAAGCTCCAGACCGCTACTGACTTCACTACAACAGTCAATCATTACCAAGCATTATCAACTAGGGCACCAACCACAAAAGTTAAATGCAAATGAATCAGGGTACTAATTTACCCATTCAATAACAGCAATATCATCTTCGAGTTTAACAAGTAAAGATTAGAAATTACCACCGTCATGTACAATATCAACTGCGAGATTCTGTGGAAAAGCCGGTGAGCACAAATAAAACAAGCACACTAGGGTCCATTCATAAAAAGATGAGCGCTGGTGCTGGCGAGTTCCCGTATTCGGTGATTTTATCATACATGGTGCAGTGCTGCGAAATTCGAAACTTGAAAAAGGGTCCAAAAAGGTACCTAAAAAACTGGGGTTCATACCGCACAATGTACTGTTTGCTGCAAGGGGGTGAAATGGCCTGGATCTTGATGGATTTTTTTCCAATTCAGTGCTTTTGGGGCAAAACCCGCCCGAAATCCTATTCTTGTTATGGCATGCTTTTTGGAGAAATAGACTTCAGAAACATTGGAAGGGCATTCCATGGGGGATTGTGAATACACTGTAGTGCTAGATTAGATTGCAACGACCTCTATGAATAAGCATGGCTTGCTACCTGTATAACAGGGCAGCCCAGGACAAACATGTACAGGTGCTAGAACTCTAAGCAGGCATTGCTGGAAGTAAACTGCAGTCCCTGCTTTGTAAATTGCTTGTATGGTGGTCGTAAGCAACGTCACTTTACCGCTAACGTTTGGGCCCGGTTAGAGATTCAACTCTTACAGTAACATTTGATCAAAGAGCGTTTTACCATGCTACACCGACACATCAGTACACTTCAGTAGTAGAACACATGTGCCAGTGACAAAAGCTGATCAATTTTCACATACTTTGCGATAGGCATGCAAGTGAAACTACAGAATGCGTTGCCAACCAGAACCCTGATTCATTGCTTATTATCCTTTTTAAGACAGTGCGCAAGTGTCCCGAAAGACAATACCACAAATCGACAGCAGGCAACATACCTGACACTTCGGCGTTACGTGAAGCCGACGTTGCTGTACTGTACGTGCTATATGCACCACTGCGTCTGAAATAGCATCACAAGCACACACACACAGCACATAATCAGCCATGCATACCCCATTGCTCAGATATGTACTAAGCAGACAGGTACTTAGTACTTGATACCTACCGACTTTGGGCACTGAGCGGTCCCAGGCCTGCAAACTCCGGGCCATGCACTGGTGCAAAGGCCTAACTTATTCATGAGCCCGGATTTCTAGCGACACAAATCACTGAATAAGAAGTAGGCCAGCCGTCCTCCCAGTCCTCTAGCAGCGGATAGGCCAGGACGACTACACACTCACTAAAGTTACTAGAGCATTGCTCACAACACTTGGGATTGCACAGCACAAGCTCTCGAATGCGGCACTGGCTGTGGCTAATTGGCCACGATCTATCGGGCAAAACTGCAGTACGTGCGAGTAGTAAGGTCAAGTATAATTGAGGGGTACGATACTAGTAACCAGCGGTCCAAGTATGTGTGAGTGGAGGGATACGACTAACTTACGGTATGGGCGGAGGCGGTGCAAAGTCTGCATCATAATCGCCAATCAATTCCAACGCAGTGTCAGACAGCTGTACCGTGAAACACACACACACACACACATACGGATGAAAGCATGATCAAAAACGCACAAAAGATAGATCGGTCATTGAAAGTCACTGAAAGTATGAAGAAACATCAAGACCACAAGCTTAGCAGCATCTGTAATTTAGAAAGTTCAACAAACTACTTTCAAACAACAAAACTCTGCCAAGGGCGAATCAAAATGCACAACGAACACAGGGCATGTACCGTACCGTGTAACCGGAGGCCTGGCCTGGTGCAAGTCCCATGGATGGAAGACGGCGAGCAACGAACGCCTCGTCTGAACGTCCCCGGCTGTTGGTGGCGTTGCTGCGCGGCAGGCCCCGTCCTCGACCTCGACCTCGACTATGCTCCATAGCTGACGGATGTGCACCGCGCACTGGTGCAGAGTAGCTGCTCCTTGTTGGTGGGGGTGCCGGTGATGCTGCATACGCTCTTATCTCTCCAAACGGGTCAGCGGTCACCTGCTGCTGACTGCACGACGTTGCAACTGGCGTGTACAACTCGCCATTGATTATGTGACCGCCGTTCGCTTGCGGAGCGCTTGGCCTTTGTGAATGGTAGTCGGCCGCAGCAGCAGCGGCAGCTGCCGCCGCAACAGCAGCGTTCGAAGCCTGCTCCGCCATACTGTTCTGGTTGCGCAGTCCGTTCAGCACTGCTAACTCTCTTAACTGCTCTTCACGTATTTGATCAAATTCCTACATGACAAACAGACCACACAGAGTAGTTTCTTCTCTGCCAGATAGAGGAATGTTAGCTCAAACCAGCTGATTACACTATAAGACAATGTGACATCTGCATCTTAAAATTAGCAACATAAGCACACAGATATGGCATAACGGGTATACCATACAGAATACAGATGTTGTCCATCACACCTTCTTAACCCTTTCACCACTGTCGACGTATATATACGTCATGACGTGTGCACCTGCCCCACTGACGACGTATATATACGTCCTCGGTGTACGTCGCGTTTGTACTGATGCCTCAACATCAGTGGGGCCCGGAACTGTTCCTCAGTGGGCTGAAGGACCTGATCGACGTGTACGCAGCGTATGTGGCCAGTCTGCACAGCAGAACAGCCGCGAGCATCGAGTTTGAAGTGCGTATTTTGGCATATCGTTCAAATAAATTGTTTTGCTCAAAGTTCGTTTTCGTCATCTTGCCCTGCTGTTTCTCGGCAAGGTAAGTAGCTCAACTACTCTGTGTCGATGGAAGGAGTCCTGTGAAGCAGTGTGAGGCGGGTAATGACTCTGAGGATGATTCTGGAGACAGCGAAATTGTGTCGGAGTCGTTTTCTGAGGATTACGAATTTGCTGCTATTCAAAAGATCGCAGCTGGCTCGGACGCAGGGGATGCTGGAGACCAAAGAGATTTGGAAAGCGATGCTGAAGTCTCTGACACCTAGGCATGGTGTTCTGAGCAGGAGCTATCTGTCGTGAGTCCGTTTGCTGAAGTTCCTCAAGTAAGCTGCGATCAAATTTGAAGGTCAGATTTTTGAAAATATTTGAATTTGAAATCAAGTGTACTGGTCAGACATGCATGCAGATCACAATAGAGATGTGCATACATGTAAGTATTGTATGTTGAGTACAGAGCCAGGCACCTACAGGATGGAGATTGCTATCTAATATGAATCCAGAATAATCCAGAATAGTCAACAATTGTGCAATTTTGAACTACTATCAGAAATTGCACAGCCGATTGTTTCTTGAATTTTCATGCGTACGTACACCGGTACGCAGTATGCACTCGGCTGTTTAGGGAATGCTTCAGACTATTTTGGTAGCTGGATTGTCTTGCCAGTGAGTGTCCAAATCAGAGAATGAGCTGTATTGCATTCTCTATCAATATGACTTTACCTGTGCCGCGTTCGTACGTACGCGTGCGGCCAGTGATGATTCACCCTGGGATGCGCCGAGCACAGTGAGCCAACCGCTGCCACTGCACCGGCTGCTATTATAGCCGATGCAGTTGCTGTGGTTGCTACTCCAGTTACTCGGCATCCTCACTGTCCATCACATGGTTTTGTCGTGAAGTAGGTAGGGCTGCTGGAGGATTCAAGCTTTACGAGGCGCCCAAGAAAAAAGAAAGACCCATTCTGGATCGCGCAGTCGCATATGATTCAAGCGCCGTATAAAACGAGTAGCTGTACTCTAGTCTAGGTTGCCGTAGAACACCAGGATCATATCAAGCTTGTTATATGACATTTCTCCATTCTGAAGTCAACACTGACCAGTTATAGCACTGCTTGCCATTGCTTGTCTGATCTTTGTCGTCAATTGCCTAAATTGAATGAATTTTGAGGAAAAATCGCCAAAAATCGCATATCTAAATATGGTGTTATGAGTCTCGTACAATGAAATCCTACAAAATTTCTTTGGATTCACAGTGCATATGTCCATACCCAACATCTCCAATCAATTTTGGAACAGAATATGCATTTTCAAAAATTGCCATTTTTGGCCCAGTGGGAGGTGATTTTCCGGTCAGGGCTGAAAGGGTTAAAGGGGAAGTATACCCTATAGTCAGTTTCAAAAAGATTAGCAATCCTGGCGATCGCCCGGGGAGTTTGCCGTCTTACCGTATGAGCGCTCGAGCGCTGCCTGGAAAAACTCACTGTGAACTCGAAGAAATATTCCGCGCGAAAGCATGAAAAATGACAACTCACTGACCATCTGACGTCGGTACTCGTACATGTTCGTCTGGTTTACAACAAACGAGTTCTTCCTCGCATCGATATGGAGTCAGAGAGGACATGTCGAAAGTGTGGTAAATTTTGACGAGTGGGATGCGTCCGTTTTGTGACCAAATAGATTCTTTGAGCTGCCGCGGATGCAATTATTGTACTCTCACGATGTGACGAAAACGGCATCGACACAGACTCATTCCCAAGGCCTTGAAGTGGCAAAGCTATCCGTGTGACTTCGACGACATTTTATAGAAAGTAGACGCCTGTGAAACTGATAGAAGACGGCGTTGACTCCTAAATTCAAATAAATTGGCGATCTTCAAATACTAAAATAATTCTCAAACAGAAATCGATCGATCGATATGCCGGTGTATTCAACAACACGTAGCAGCGCAATGACTTCTGTGTTCACTCACACGGTTTCAGTGTTGTGTGTGTTCACAACTTCACATGGCGTGAGCCAGTCAAGTGTCAGTCAAATCGGCAGGAAACGCGAGCTCCAACAACAAGTCGTTTGGCGCAGCCACCTTCTTTGTCTTGTACAAGCGTGATCACCAAAACAATGAAAAAATGAAGAAAAAATGTTTGACTTGAAGATTTGTTGGGATTTGAACTCACAACTTCATGGTCAGCAGACAGCATTCATAACCACTAGGCCAAAAAGGAAGGGATAAATCGTGGGTTTTGATAACAAATCGATGCTGGCTTCCAGGGCAAATTATAAACCATGGGAAAAGGCCAGAAACCTGGCCGAAATGCTAACTCCTTAACGGTTGGTCCAATTGTTCCGAAACCTTCACAGAACAATTTGCCGTGCCCTAACAAGCCGTTTTATGTACTTTGTTGTCCAATTTCCCCTTATCTTCATACTTTTTAAGACCCAAACTTGATTGCTAATCTTTTTGAAACAGACTGTAAAATCAAATTTTCACCATTTGTAGTCTTCTGGGTGCTGAGTCGAATGGTCTTGGTCCGAGGAAGCTGCGACGCTCCCTTCCTACTTGAATCCCAATCGAACTCGCGCACTTCCACCGAAACTGGGTGACTGCGCCCTACTAGATGGGGATTTGTATGCAAAATGTCACTAAAAGCGCCATTTCGTTCTTATAAAAGCACGGATGACCGCGATTGGCCCATATGTTGTAGTCTTTTGGACGCTGAGTCGACTGGTTTTGGTCCGAAAAGGCTGCGATGCAGCGTTCCTCCTTTATTCCCAATCGAACATGGTTGAACAAGCGGTCACGTGCTCCTGGGTGCCCAAATCACCTGGTCACCGCGCCAGCAGGCGACAACTTTCACACCAAGGTTCAACTCGAGTTCAACTCGAGTGACAGGACTGCACCCAAAAAAGGTCAAACAGGCTAGTAAGTTGTACCCTGCAGGCACGGTGACCAGGTGACTGGTGTACGCAGGACCACGTGACCGCTTGTTCAACCATGTTCGATTGGGAATAAAGGAGGAACGCTGCATCGCAGCCTTTTCGGACCAAAACCAGTCGACTCAGCGTCCAAAAGACTACAACATATGGGCCAATCGCGGTCATCCGTGCTTTTATAAGAACGAAATGGCGCTTTTAGTGACATTTTGCATACAAATCCCCATCTAGTAGGGCGCAGTCACCCAGTTTCGGTGGAAGTGCGCGAGTTCGATTGGGATTCAAGTAGGAAGGGAGCGCCTCAGCTTCCTCGGACCAAGACCATTCGACTCAGCACCCCGAAGACTACAACTGGTGAAAATTTGATTTTAGGGTATACTTCCCCTTTAAAGACAATTTGAAATAAAAATGAATTAGCACTAATCGCCTGATGGGAAACTCACGCATGGAATGAGCATTTTCCGGACTTCAGCAATGCCAGCTGCCAGTCGAGCTGACGCGATGGCTTGTGACCCCTTAGCTTCAATAAAGACGTACAGGTTTTCTTTCAAGTGTTCGTACTTTGGATCGCCACTAATTCGGAGTTCCTCTTCCTGGAGACACACCAATCATGCAGCACATGAAAATAGTTCATAAGGCCACCTAGAATTAATTCGTTGTTTCGGGTCACTTCACTCATCCGAACCAGGGTCGGTCGGGTTTATTTTATTTTTTATTCAGGGGGAATACGGGTACGGCCATGTGCATGCATGTACAATTGTGCATATCGAATAGTTTTTGTCCATCAAGCCAGTCGATCAAATCTGACTGTAGACGATCCAACGCAGTCATTGTTCCCATCAGATCGTGGTCTCCTCCAGGACCTGATCTTGGCCTCGCTGGCTCTCACGAGCACCTCTCACCTTGAAAACTTCCGTGTCAATGAGCGACGCGGTGGCGGAGCTGATGCTGTTTCAGGACGGATTGCGGATCGGAGATAGAAGACAAGCGCTGCATCCTGTCATTTGGCTGCTTCTGAGGTCTATGTTTGGACTGCTATTATTAGGGTCGCGTGTTTACAGTCTAGTCATGTACATTTGCATGCAATATAAAAAAACATTTTGCGATCGGGTGAAAAAAGACTGTCGGTCGGGTGACCCGAAACAACGAATTAACTCTGGGTCGCCTAAAACAGTTCATACTAACTGCTGCTCGGGTGAGCTGATTGCACACAAATAACACTGCATGTGCCCTGACACAAACGAGTTCAGCAACGCCGTACTGTAGCCAATAGATACTTCACGCTACCTACTAGTACTCTACACAGCAATAAAGAACACACAGCAGAGTACAGTACATTTCCACATCGGCTCAGTACCTTTGCTGGGTCACGAATAGACCCCCGTCCCATAATAGTCATTCTGCAATTTGTCTCAGTTTGCATCCGCTTCAGCGTCAGTCCTCGAGGTCCCAGGAGGCGGCCAACAAAGTTGAACTGCACGGGAAATAAGGAAGACACCAGACACCGGTACATGTAAGCCTATGCTATGAATAACGTTACTGGTGTGCACCTCTATCTACATTGCAAAACCAGCCTAATACCTATTTACATGCATGAGTGCTTTGGCTTTATGAAAAGGAACATCCGCGTCCAGCTCGTCACTGACGACTTTAGACTCGGGCTCAGGATGCAGAGAAAAAGACAGTGCTAGCCATATGTCTGGCAACCCATTGTACAGCAGCTGCACATGTCTGCTGCATCATGATGTTGACTAGAACAGACTTATAATAATTATTATTATCATATGCTTGTCCGTCCTGCAAGTAATAGAGAACCCCTCAGGAAACTTCTTCCACAAAGAAAGAAAAGCTCCTTTGGTGCATACCAGTCTATTGGGGTTTTCTCTTTATGGACAAGATTAGTGTCACATGATGTTTTTAATTGTTTTATATAGCTTTAGGAGCTGCACCCGCGCCTTGATCCTGGAGGGTGGTGGCGTTCCCACAGATGCGGAAAGCTCGGTCTCTAACCGAGCCACACGCAAGCCGTGAATTTGTTTAGTGTGTGTATCTGATTCAAGAATCTATAGTATACGTTACATTATAGTCACTGAATAGGTATTGGGCCTGCCACAGCAAAGCAGAGGTCAATAATCAGATGGAGAATACAATGTGTGTCAGGAGCGTCGCCCACGGTACGGTCACTACGGTATTGACCGTACCACTTTTCGCCCCAGATACCCCGTGAATCAACAAAATACATACACTGATCTGGGATCTAAAATAATTTTCGGCTCAGCCACCACTCCCCCACGAGTAAATTGTACTTCAGATGGCTGACCGTACCACACTATAATACCTTCCGACACCCCTGTGTGTACAGTACTTCACGTAATTCACTACAGTCTACACATGGCAGTGAGTTTTACCAGGCCATGCACTTGCTAATGCTCATGCACTTGCTAATGCTATGCAGCAAGTACGGAGTGCCCGTGGGAAACTACTGACATGTAACACTGTTGAGTGTTGTGTTTCAACTAAGGTTACTTTCAATCCAAGGCAGTCATCACTGTTACTTCTACAGTGATTGAGTCACTGCAATGAGTGGTGTCCATGCCTGATGGGATAAGGCCAGAACAATGGCTCTACAAAATCCACTTTCAGTCACTTCAGGGACACTTCACATCGCTCAGGACATTGTCCGAATATTGACATCATGTTGCAAACACCAAGTACTAGTAGTAGATCTATTGCCAGTGAGCAAGCTCTTCGCAAAATGAAATTATAATGCCACATGCGCCACAATATACAGGCTCTTCAGAAACATTTTCTCACCCCTGGAAAGTCCTTGACAGGCACATCAATCTTTTCCGTTAAAGTGACTTGACTAGAAGACTTCATCTGGTGGCCACCCGTTTTCACTCGTTCAATTTCTATCAATCATTGTGGGAAAGACAATGCAACAATCGTCGATAGTTTTCAACAACACTCCACGTGACGTTTTTCACATAAAGCGCTGGTCCATACCTTCGGATAGAAGCCTCAAGCAGTGTACAAATGATGCACTTAGGTTCTCCTTCTCCACGGACAGCTCCGAAATGTAGCTGTCGCGCGAGGCCGCCGGGTCTTCGGAATTGTACTGAGACATCTTCACGGAAAATCGGCAATTATTTTGCAATCCGAAAGATAGAGGCCCTCTTCAAAAGAGAAGCACAGCCGCTCTTCCACCACTCTATAACTCAGGAAAAATCTAAAAGGTCACCACGAGGCCAAAAAATAGACAGGAGGAAAAGAAACCAAACGTTCGCAGAAGCTACTACAGAAAGATACGGATGAATATTTCGGATGCTGGGCCATGCCTATGGCCGTATGGGATTGGAAATGTGGGCTTCGTGAGGTATCGATTTTCTGTAGTGGTAGATCATGTACTACCAGTAGTAGTAGTAGTAGATGGTGTGGATCCACCCGCGCGCGGTTTACAGGTTTTATTTGGCTCGGTAGTCATCTGGGCTGCGCTTCTTTCTTGCAGTGCAGTTGTACACTACTGCCACTGCCTGGCACTGTACGGTACAGCGGTGTGGTGTGAATGTGCAGACTGCAAAACCGGGTCGTTTGACATGCATGCGGCGAGTATCCCGTATCCGAGTCCGGATGTGTACAACACACACAGTCACATGATCACAGTGTGGAATCGACCATGTATGACAGTATGTAACTATTACTTGGGTAATGGGGCTGTTAAGTGATGACGTCACAGTTCCTTCGATACGCATAGCAACGATCCCACTGGGGACAAACAAAAGTAGCGTCGTCCCCACCGACCCAGTTGTCAGTGGCAACATATAGGAATCGTGTACATTTCTTCGTTTCTTCTTTGCTGTTTTCAGTGAGTGTTTTGTTTTCTCTTTGTCCTTGATCTCGACGATGTTGTCGTGCTCATTACTTTACTGAGACGTCTCTTGTGACTGTAGCCAGTGTCATGGAGGATTTTATTGGCGTGACAAGGTAGATCGCCGAGATCGAGCGTGAAAAACGCTCTGCATTAGTAGCTCCTGTAGAATGTTTTCTGGGTTGGCGTATCCATGGTCAACAAAACCAAGGTGCAAGACAGCATGAGAGATCGTGTAAACGATGTGAACTCCAAAAGGTAAGCTCCTGAACAAGTGGAAAGATATGGGTATTTACAAACTCTCTCTTCATCCATCGATTGGCGCTATGCATTGCATTTTGTCTTCACAGATAATCTGGCCAAATTTATTGTAACTAGAGAGTGCAATCGTGCACTGCTTGGAGCCCATCCCAATGTCATCACATGGCTGTGGTGACTAGTGTATATCTGGGAGAATTTTTCCTCGACTGATACGGAGTGCAGGTGGATCGATTATGAGAAATGCGAACATGTGAAGTAAGTAATTAGTTGTGTCGAAGAAATGTCCAATAAAATAAAATTTACTTTACACTCAAACATGCACTGTAGATGTACATCAAGAGTACATAACCCCCCAGAGTGTGCAACGCCGATCCAGCTCTGCATAGGGTCTTGGTCGAGCGGAATCGGATCTTCTGATGTCATGCGTACACTCCACACCAGCGCAAGGCCGGTCTCGAGGCAGGGCACCATTGTTTTTGATCCAAGAGTACCCGCGACTCCCCGGGTTCCCCTCAGATGTGTACGGTATTATGACGCAAAGATCCGATTCCGCTCGACCAAGACCCTATGCAGAGCTGGATCAGGCGTTGCACACTCTGGGGGGGTTATGTACTCTTGTGTACATGTAACATCATGATAATGATTCCATCTTCATTGTCCCGCAACTGGTACACCATACGCACCGAATACATGGTGTGTGTGTGTTTGCGCGGGCGCAAGCGCGCGCATGTACATGCACACACTCTCATGCGTGGCCGAGTCGGCCAGATGAACAGACCATGCATTTACACGAGGTGTCCGTAATGTCATTGGAACGCTGTACTTTATGACTTTATTCCAAAAGAGTATGTCTTGCCCCTGACGAATGGAGTTGTGTCTGTGCTCAGCGGGTATCGGGCTATGACGCAACACTGCAATCAGCGCTGCAATTAAAAGAGCACTGCATGGATTATTTTGACTAACTTCCTTTGCGTTTACTTGGTTGAGCCCGTGGATTCATTTCTGTGTTCTGTCATGATTGGCCTCTGGAAATAATCAGAGTGGATGTCATTTTGCCATATATGTGTGCCTTGTGCGACAGGTTCAAGGCTAGATGCACTTCACATTCGGCGTGCGATCTCAGCGTCTGGGACCTGATGAAGTCTTGGTTGGATGATTATTCAAGCCTGATACTACTCGACACACCAATGTTCATGTCAATGTAATTTTTTCAGAGCTGCACTATTTACGTGTTGACGCTTACTTCGGTGTTAGCGTGTTTCCCCCGGATTGTTTCTATCATCATGATCGTGTGTTCTTGGGCTGAGCGAGCACATACACAAGTATGCAGCTATACCCCTGTGTATCTTTGGTTACACTTTGTTCTGCAATGCATGTACCTTGTAACATTATGTGCTTGCACTGCTTTGTCTGGCCTGCGTATTTCAGGACTATTCAGTGCGTTAGACCCAGGTTTGTTTGGTTGCCGGATGACCTCTTGTTGCGTCGCTCTGTATTTGTATTCATCAATTTTTGGGCTTGAGAATTGAGCTGTTGTGTGGTTCCCAATATGAAAACATCATGCTGGTGCTCTGTGTTTCGATTATCGACTGTCGGAGCAGTCCTGCATTTATTAGCAGAACGGTCAATACTGTAGTCTTTTCACGTGTTTGTCTTTTTTGTGTTTTCGCCGGGGGTATTAGCGGTAACGTTGCACACAGAACGGCAGTGTTGCATCACTGGACGACCCTGCCTCTGCATCTGACTTAATTTCCCCAGGATCTGGTGCAGTTACACCAGACAGCCACTTCCTGTAAACACGCAAACAGCAAAAGAAGAGATCCCGCAAATCAGGAAAAAACATTATGGAAAATATAGAGTACTTCTTTTTGAAGTAGATCATACAACATTCAATAATCTGGAGTAATTACAGTGAGACAAACACTTCAAACAGTGCTCTCTCTCTCTCTCTCTGTCTCCATCCTTCCAAAAATACCCTATGACAATTCCCTAGAATTATTTTTGTGCTGGAATACTCCACTGGCTCCAGTACGGTGGGTCAGTTTTCGCACTCCTTTGTTATTCCCGCACCTGTCACTGCACTGCCTTTCCTCCGTGACCCGGAGCTGTTGCGAGCGCTCATGTTTCCTTTGCGTCTCCTTCGGAGCGCTTTCCTGCTCTCCGTGTCTCTTTGCATCGCTGCACTTTGGCTGGCGCTGTTTGCAAGCAGCTCCTTTATATTCACATGTTCCGTGCTTTATTTGTTAGTGTTTTTAGAGATTTAGAGTTTGTTAGAGTTACTAGTACTTAGAGAGTTAGACCTACGAGAGGTAGAGTGAGTCTAGAGTTTGCCCGCGCGGCTTGTAATTGTTGTTTCGCAGCTCAGAGTTTTGCTTGTATTTTCAGAGTTTCGTGGTTCACAGATGTCCCTCGTTCTTCACAGTATATCAGTTTGTTCTCAACAGTGAGATTCAGTACCAGAGTGTAACAATTTTATTTTATATTCTTAGGACATCATTCTGAACATAATAAATTCTTCCATGGGTCTTCAATCACCACGGAGGGCGAAAATATATCTAAGTCATGCAGTTTACGGGAGGTACGAGCTGTCATGGATATAGAGGCTGATATTGTGCCAGCGCGAGGGCAGAGACAGAAAGAAGACACTGATTTCTTGAACAACTCACCTATATATAATCGAATCCACAAGGAGCGCTCATACTTTGATCCATCAGGACGCGAAACATCTTCAAAGCACTCTCAAACACGGAGTTTTACTGTGGGCAGCCAATTTCACAGCCATCATGAAGGCACTCGACGACTACAGGAGTTTTGTAGAGGAAAGAACAAGGAGTAAAGAGCGACAACAATCGCTTGAAGAAAAAGCAAAGAAAAACAACTGTCTCTCCAGTCATTTAGATGCTGTTGCCCTTGACATCTGGTTCCATCCAGAGGACGCGACTTTTGTTTGTCCCCAGTGCTTTCCGTTGCTATGCGTATCGAAGGAGCCGTGACGTCACACTTAACAGCCCCATACATTATGACATTGTACATGTACAATGTTTAAATGTATTACCCAAGACTCAAGCAGGCAAGAGTACATCACCATGTATTACTTTACCAAGAGTAGATCTACTACTACTAGTACTCTTGAGAACGGTTTTATTCACAACACCATGAAGTAAGATTTTGGATAGTACGAGTAATACCAAGAGTACATAATCACCACGTTTCCATCATAGCGCTATATAGCCTAGGAGCGGTGGCATCATTTATGCACAGCAAGAAGGCAGCAATGCCTGTACCTATGGTGAAGTAAAATAAAGGTAACATAACATAACATGATTGTACAGAACAGTCATGTACTCTTGATAGTACACTAGGCTACAGGACTCCGGAGCACTGAGGTTTTGTAAATGCTATGCTTGCAACATCTTTCAAAGTGACGATGCACATTCTGTCCCCGGGGAAAATTGCGGAAAATTGCGGAAAAAATCGCAAAAAACGCGGGGAAAAACGCGGCATAATATGGCATAATTTGCGGTGAATTTGCGGTAAATATGCGGTGAATACTATTGATGTGCGGCAATTTTCAGTGAGTATGTAGTGAAATCAATCAGTTACAAGTCTCTGGTGTAAGCACTCGTCATATTTGAGTAAAAAGCCGCCACGATGAGACGTTGCTGACCGGACAGTGCACTGTGTGTACGTGTAGTGCAACAAAAAAGTTCAAAAAACGCGGGAATATCGCGGAAAACGCGGTCTTTTAAACAATCGCAAAAAACGCGGAAAAAAACGCGGCCGCGGAATTGCAATTTTCCCCGGGGGACAGCACATTGTAGGCATAATACACATTGCATACGTGGCAAAGCACACACAGCTGCATGTACAGCAAGCCAGTCGACACTTGCAGGCCGACAGCAAGCCACCAGCACGACACTTGACAGGACAGACTGGAGATTGTTGTACACAGATGAGTCAAATCTGAGTTATTGGATGCTATAGGTGAATGCATGCACGGAGACAACACGCAGCACCATGCCAGACTGTTCAACAGCAACACTTTGGATACTGCACCTAAAACCAGTTGCAACAGCAAGAAGCTATAAAAAACAAGACGAAGAAAACAGGCGTGTGTATGTGGGAGAGAGAGAGAGAGAGAGAGAGAGAGAGAGAGAGAGAGAGAGAGAGAGAGAGAGAGAGAGAGAGAGAGAGAGAGAGAGAGAGAGAGAGAGAGAGAGAGAGATAGTTGCACGGAGAGCTACAGCAATGAAGCATGTGTGCCAGCTTGCTTACAGCAGACAAAAGAAGAGAAAGAGTAAGAAGGTGGCCCCAGATGACTAAACTCAGGTAAACTATGGACATAAGTATTGGAGCCGCAACACTAATGCACAGGAAGTTAAGAGTCAGCAACCCAAGCTAGCCGGAGGACGGAAACTAAAGAAAAATGGATGGCACTGCAACTGCTGGCATTTATATAACTGAAGCAGATCTACTTTGGCTTGCGCGACTCCTGTTTTGTTCGCCAGGGAGGGGGGAGTAGCATTGATGTATGAGGCTTGATCTAGTGCATCAAGGTCAGGAAGGGGTTCAAGGAGTCTCCACCCATAGGGGCTTCTAATGCAATTTCACTCAGAATGCATGCACATGCACAACCCGCCCAAGAGAAATACTATTCGACGGAAGTCAGTAAGAAAATACATGGACAGAAACGCCAAAATGAAGATCTACAGTAAAATACCAAAGACACAAAAAAGAATACAAATAATCTGGTGAACGAAGGTGAAAGGAGGCCGGCTGTTGAGCTGGCGCAAGCATTGTACCAGTTGTATCACGTGCTCATCAAGGTACAGGGACGCCCCGGCCCCTGACGGGAGCCCACTCAACCCGGCAACAATATGTGTTCATCGGTGCCAGGCAGAACAAGTAAGTCTCGGTTGCTTTGCATGCTATTTACAAGGCGTACATACATGGCACACACTGACTGACTGACATGTGCATGCAAGTAGCATCTAGGCGTCCACGGCAAGGTGCAATCCAGCGTACCACCAGTGCACACCATAGGCCAGCTACTTCATATGTCCATTTCTCTCAACATACGGATAGCGGGGCGCCGTCTGGACTCGGAAAGCGCTTCCTGACGAAGAACCGTGTGCCAGGGTTCTCTTTCAGGATTTCCATAACAAGTGCGCCTTCTCGCAGTCGCCGTGAGCCTGTGGCAGAAGCAATGAATACACACAGAGCAGTATAGTCAGGTATGTGCGAAACCTAAAGGAAGAAGTACAGTATCACCATCACAATCTTCTACCAACAGCTGGACGTTTCAAGGGTAGAGAAAAAAAAGCACAGCACGTGCTGGTACAAGTCATGCAGTTTGCAAAGGAGAACAAAGACAGCAGAATGATTGTAAGCATGCGATTTGTCCTGACCAAGAGATCAAGTGAGGATGGCCAAGAGGCAATAGGTGGGGCACGAGCATAGGTGGGGCACTCGCCCAAGCTCTCTTGTAAGGGCCGGGTTCCACTGCGGCTTCGCGGCACTTGGCTGTGCAGCGCAGTTCCACTGACACTCGCCATTCACGTTACCGCGGTCGTGCTCCGCGTTTATTTTATGACCCTTTACCTGCCTGCGCACGTGCACACGGGCAAAATCAAAAAATCCTCGTGTTCCGGCCTGCGCAACGAATTAAAAAAAATGTACACGCATGCAACAAGTACTAGTTGACAATGATAGTTGCACCTACCGATATTTCCATCGCATTCGTACATGTCCTCATTGGTGATCACCCTGCCGTTGGCAGAGTTGTTCACTGGCGAGCTGTGGCGGCGCGACGTATAGGTGTCCTGGAGCGATGACGTGCTGGATTTGACACACAAGTGATCAATTCCCATGCTGCTCGGCGACGATGGTGACGAGCCATCCTCTCCGATTGAGCCCAACAACTGCTTGTGGTTCGTCTTGCCCATCGACAGGTCCAGCGCGTTAATGCTAGAGCAGTCATCTACCGTCTGGCTGCCGTGAGACGGTGACATCAGGCCCATCTGCTTGCGTCGGAAATTTGTCAAGACCTCACACACCCGCGAGTGGTTGTTAATTTCTAGAATCATTGATATCCTGGGGAACTCTGGAGAAAGAACCTTTATCACATAGTGATTGCTCTGTAACAAGAAAACCAATCAACAGATACACACACAGGAGTAAGCAGGATAGTAGTGCTTGTACAAGTAACTTCCATCAACGTGCAGCTGGAGGACAAGTGATGTGCGCTACAAGTGGCGGCCTATCAAAATACCGCTATGAGGAAAAAGCAGATGCACAGACAGACAGACACCCCTAACCATAACGTGTGAATAGGGCAGGTCTATGAAACAACCACCGTTAGGCACTGCATCTGCCGCGAGGGTTTACCGGGTGTTAGTGGCCGTCGTGAGTTCCCTTCGGGAGCAGCCACGATAATTTACTCTCTTTTTTGTAACGAAACAATCAGAGCATGCTTACCTTGGATACTTTCCCAACTACCGGGGATGGCAACTCGGTGCAGCGCGATACTGACAAAGACTTGTTCTTCTGCGCTGTCAGCACTTTCTTGACATCCTTGTAGTTCTTCGCCTTTCGTGTTTGACTGGCCTCTGCTTCATTCAGATCACGCAGGTGACTTATCAGTACGTTGGGTACAACAAACAGCACCTGCCAGTAGAAGATCAGAATACGCACGACCTGCGATGTTCCAGCTGCCAGTTTTACCTGAAAAAACACACAGGGGCAGAGAATAGAGGGGCATTGACTTCGGAATCTTCTGTCCATGTATTCAAGAAAGAGCTGCGCAAACATTCCTGTAAGTATTCAGGTCTACTCGCTGGCATGCCGCTATCCTGTTCATCGTAGCCCCCCCCCCCCCTTCCCAATCTGTACTCTCTTGTACTATCATCCTTCAATGCGACGGAATATCACAACAACAAACCTTAGAGAGAAGAAGAAAATACGTACATGCACAAAAAAGTGAATTTCACCTCTACTGATGTTCCTCTGGCTACACCTCAATGCAAAAAAACAACACTCTCTGACACTGTCTGCTTCAGCGCCAAAGCATCAGCAATAGGAAAAAAAACAGTTTCCTTATTTAGGTGTTTACCTCGCTATCAGCATTGCGACTCATTTTCCCAAGTTGACAGAAGAGATTGGGTGCAATAATCATAGCTACATTGCTTAAACCCATCTTGTTAAATTCTTCAAACTCCGTTATTCGCCGCAGCTGTCGTAGGAGAACCTGAAATATGCATACAACAGAGCAACAAATGCACACTGTTGGAAAACTACACTGTTATGGCACACACCTCCAGCAGAATGGAGATTTCAAAGACGTAATTCCCTTACGTAAAGCAACAGAGACTGGTTACAGGCAAGCTCCGTAGTAATTGTTACTCGCAAAGCTATGACATACCGTATTATCTCTAATATAAGCACGGTCCTTTATTTTTTCAATGTACCTCCGCCCCGTGCTATTATTGGAGACGTTCCTTTATTGGAGACTGTTCCATTATTATTTCAACCTCATTTCAGAGGCTTGTTGCCATGCCAAATTCATGTCAGATACACACATTTCAGGGTTTTTTCGCCGGTACAGATAATGAATTTACACAGTGTGCTTATAATGGAGACTGAGCACTTTATTTTTTGAATGCCGCCCAAAGGTGTTCTATTATTGGAGACGTGCTATTATTGGAGACGGCTTATATTAGAGATAATACGGTAGGTGGGTCACATCAAAAAGTGACACAGTACGCCTGGCATAGTAAAGGTACACCACACTGTATTGCTTGTGAACATAACGTGTGCGTGCGTGTAGGCGATTTCCGTGAGACCATTCGTGAGCAGGCAAAATGCGTAGGTTAGGTGTCAGCAGCCGCTCATATTGCCTAATCTACAAAGCATTCAATACAGGCGCATGTACCCAGTGTGTGCCCTGTAAGCAGGTGGCATGTGGCAACAAGATGTCTGGCCTCAGTAGTACTTCGTAGTATCCTGTACACATGTCCCATACCAGCATACACATAGCTACTGACACTGGGAAGCGTTCAATGACAGCACACGTTGCCAGTACAGTATCCTGTATATCATGACCCTATTGTCGCACAAAACGGGGAGATTTTCAAGCGTGCGAACAAAGCAACCAAATCGAGGGGGTCCACGAGCACACGGTCTCTTGTCGTGTATGTGTGTTAGTGTGGGCAGACCGGCATTATTCACATTTTCCACATGGCCAAGAGGTGTAGGGCATGTGCCAGCATAGCAAGGGCACTGAGAGCAAACTTTCTTGTTGTAAAGCTGTCAGACGTATGACAGAACCTCCAACCATATTCTTACCATCAGCGTTTCCCGATGGCCATCTGGTAACAGCAGTATCAATAAGTTAAGAGCGCCAATCTGATCTCTACGATTAGGAATGGCTGGAAAGAAAGAGCACAAGTGAAGAGAGCATGATAAGTCCAGCGTGTTGTATCAGAGTAGAGGAGTGAGCTCCCGTATCCTGTGGTGACGAATGTCTTGGATACAGGTACACGTACTCAATGTCTGAGTCAAGCTCGTCAAAAGTTCCAAGTGCCAGGGCTGAAGTTCTATGTCTTAGGCTAATAATATAAGTGCAAGTACATGTGGTTGAATTAATGTGTTAGCATGCACTGCACTCTGCAGCAACAATGCATGAAGGCATGAAACTCGACGAAAATCCTAAGCAACAGACTTGCAGCATACCTTCAGCTGTCGCAAATGCACGAAGGTATTCATGAGTGAGGAGCGGTATCGGCAGTTCTCTGTTGGCAGTAAAAGATCACAAAGCCAGCATGACACCAGTTTACACTTGCATGTTTGTTTTTTATAGTGTGTGTGTGTGTGTGTGTGTGTGACCTGAGTTGCCAATTTCAATGAAAACACCAACATTCATCAACACCAACATGTTCATCTGCAAGTTCCTTGAATTTGCCCAGTTGCTCTTCCTTGTTTACTACGCTGTGATGTGAATCTAACTCTCGACCATCACAAGATACCGTGAATGGTGCACTGCTGTGAAACATCGTTCAGACTTTAAGCTACGGTCTGTTACTGTGCATGTGCCCCAGCAAAGAAGTACAGTAGAGTTGAGCGCTGAAGAACGCCACAGCCTAAAGTTAAGAACGGCGGTGTTGGTTTCCGACAGCTTTCGGGATAGATAAGATCCAGTACGAATTGCTTCTAAGAACGTGCTATAAGAACGCAGCCAGATTACCCAACAAGGTAAGAACGCCCCAGACTAACCCCTTGGAAACAACGTTCTTGGACGCGCGATTTTACTGTACTGGTTTTAAGGCCCATGGTTTTGAACGCCATACGTTTCAATGTACGGCAAACAGTCTTGTGCAAACAACACACGGCATTAAAACCGAGTCACCAACACGATCCTAGCAGATATCCAGATAGTGCATACGCTGGCTTTCATTGTACGTAGTACGAAATAATATACTCGGAACGAGTGATGTGCGATTTTTCCGTCAGAGACCCCATATGCAGATTTCTTGGGGCGGCGGAGGTTATATTATACTCTTGATACTGGTACTGGTGGCATATGCAGCGTCCAGCAGTGAAAAGGAGCAGCTAGATCTTATAGGCAATACACTGACAAGCACTGAAATCACCGTGGACGGCCCATAATGTACCATACTGGTCAGGGCGTACTCTTCTTCACTCCCTAGCACAATACATGTGTCATATCGGCCTCGGCAGCTGACGGGTTCTCCTGGGCTGTGCGACGAACTAACTACTCTGCCGGTACTAGTTTACATGTTGGGTGAACATGTTCCCCTCATGAGCGCGCGTTTGTACGGCAGCTGTCTTTTGTATTTACTTGTCATTTTTATCAATGCATGGGCCGCGGGATGTTGTATCTGCTAACTGTCTTATCGTATACGCTAGCTGTTTAAGTTAATTCATAAATAATACGCATTTCTCCTTGTGATCAAGGGAAAAACAAAGGTTAAAAATCCAAAGAAGTGTGACACATGACGCGTAAGTGAACGTATTACAATTGTAATACTTACGCGTCATGTCTCACACTTCGTTGGATTTTTAACCTTTGTTTTTCCCTTGATCACTTTAGTTCCGTATTTCCACTGATGATCGGAGCTTGAAAATCGATTCTGGAAACACACAATCTAAAACCTTGAACAAATTTCTCCTTGTCTTCTCCCATTGGTCAATTCTGCATAGCAACAAGCTTTCTATGGTCTTGATTGGTTGGTTTTTCCCGCCTTTGCTACGCCTTTGTCTAACTCGATCCTTTTTGTTATCATATAACTCCTGCTGCTTCTGATCAAAAGTGCCAACCTTCCTTCGACCTTCAATCTTGAATCGAGCTTGAAATCACAGTTACTCTCAACCTTCTTCGAATGACCAAGGTGAGCGTGTGTGGCTGAATGGATACTTGGACCAACTATATTGGTTGATGACCTGGTGGGGTTACTACGGCAATGCGAATGTATATGTTGTAGCCTTGAGATTGGTATTGTGTATGTCCGGCATGACATATTTGGTGCTGTGACCAGGATCCAAGTTCTGTTCTTCTGTATGCGATTGCTTACAGATGCCTCCGACAACTGTCAGCGTCGATTTGATGATGGAAGCCGCCGAACGCGGGGCAGCAGCCCTCGAAGCACTCGGGGAGCACGAACAAGCCCGTCATCTCCACCGAGTCCCGCAACATCTGGGCCCGTTGCTTCGGCACGCCAAAGACCTCCAGGCACTGGGGATGACGCCGGCCGAACGGTCGGCAAAGAAGAGTCGGAAATGGAAAGAACGAAAAGGTCGTCGTGCTGCCGAGGCGACTAAGGAGAAAGTGTGTGCGTGCGCATCCTCCGTGCCGGCGAGCCCCAAGAGGAAGGGGAAATCCGACTCTTCTTCATCCGCCAGTGCAGCTCCGAGGGCGGATTCCAAGGGCGCGACTGCGTCCGAAGAATCTGCCGAACTCGGAGTGGAGTGTCAGCGGCAGCGGGAAGAGGCGCATGAAACTTGTCAAGCGCAGGCGGCCGGGTGGTCTGCCAAGCTTGACGAGCAAATGATGGAACTGGAACAAGAGCTCCTCTTGGATGACTTATGAACATTTTTAATTTCGAATTTAAATAAACAAGACTGGATGGTCGTTGGTATCTAAATTCTTGTGTTCTGAGTGATCTGGTGATGGGTTACTTGCATGCTACAGACTTGACGGGGGTGCTGGAATGTTGGGGTGGATATCATAATTATTGTATGTTCTATGTTGTCTAAAAGCCGAACAGATCGAATGATTTGACGGCCGGGCAGCAAACAATGATCGTAATGTAGAGCGATTGCTCTTTAGCGAAGGCAGATTTGCCTGTTTTTGAGAGTTGCATGAGGGTTGAATTGGCGCGGACTGGTGATCGGTTGAACACCATACCGTACTACAGACCAGTTTGACCATGACTTTTGCTGACCCGTACGCGAATGGTGTGATCCGATGACGACTGTAGTACATACGAACGTATGTACTGTGCAGTACTTGTGACCTGAACAGCTCTCATTGGTCGGAGGAACACCGTACGAAGTAGCAAGTGGGGAATATAAGGCGCCACTGGGCAAGGAAAAGGTATCACAGTCTTGCGATTGCAAATGACAAAGAAATCCTGTTGAGAGCGAACACACTCGATTTTCTTATTATCATGGCTCACAATCAGGCTCCGGATACAGCAGCGAACGCTGCTGTAGGGGGTGCCAATGGTGGGGCGATGGTGGTACGGCCGGCAGTGATGCCTGAAGCATATGATGGCGTGGGGGATTGGGTGGAGTACTTGCAGTACTTCAACTAATGTGCTCGTGTGTACGAGTGGAATGACGTGCAAAAAGCTCAATACTTAGCCGTAGACCCGGGTGCTCGAATGAGAGACATGGTACCAAAACAGAAACAGCCTGAAATTGGACCTAAACTTATTCCGATTTCGTTTAGTTTTCACAAATACCATCAACATACGGCCCGGTAATGGTATGCCAAATTTCAGCTCTTCCCGGTAAACGGTTTTCGAAATACTTGCGACCCACTTTTTGTTGGGTCCTTGATTCGAGGATGTGGGTCCACGGTACGGTGCTACCAAAGACCTGCTGAATCTGCGGCTCCACTGACTATCTTGCTCTCAAAAACGAAGTAGTAAGTTACTACTCCCTGCCCTCAACTGCCATAACAAGCGTAGACGATGGTAGACCCGTGTGCTTGAATCAGAGACGATCTGACGAGTTTGCTGTTTCTGATTCGAGCACCCAATTTTCAATATCAAATTTAAAAAATCCGAAGGAAATACGACAATTTTACTTGAGACCGGTATTGTGTATGTCCGGCATGACACATGCAGTATTATACATTCCACATCTGGACTCCAGTGTGTCTGTAGCCTGAAACTGGAACTGTGGATCCAAAGTAAAGCGTACAATAGCAACATGTACTTGTGAGCGGAAAGTGACCGGAAACATACCTTAGATACTGCTTCAATAGCGTTGCTGCATCATTTGTTCTTCGGCCAGCCCAAGAAAACGTGCCTTCATCATACCCTTTCTCTAACTCCTCCCGTAGTCTCTGCAGCGCAAAAACGCAGAAAAACAGATAATTCAGAACGTGCCAATTGAAACACCACCATACCGAGCAAAGATGAAATCACCATCCCAGTGACAGTTCTCCTTTTAAGGACAATCAAAGATAGTGTAAAAGCAGAAATTTTCGGTGGTGTAGTATTTTCGGTATTCTCCAAAATCGGCGATTCGGTGGATGGGAAATTCTCGGTAAACCCGCTGTCCAGGTAAGTGCACTATAATTATAGTACTATATCGACATTTTCGATGCGTTTTATTTTCGGTAAAAGTGTTGGCACCGAAGTTGCCGAAAATTTCTGCTTTTACAGTATTACACATCAGAGCAACAGTCAGTCAATGATTGGCGCTGTAAAGTCCTGCTGATAGCATGGCTGCACACAGTTTACAGCTAGACCTAGCTTACGCAGTTCCCCTGCGCTCGCTCTCCAACTTTCTTCCAATGTTGAAGCAGGAAGAGTCACCAGATTGCTGATCAATGTGACACAAGTTGACCAACTAGCATTTATACTAGTGATCACTTGCTGGCAGCATGATCATTATACATCGTGTACTGACTTTTGGGCTTTTTTAGTGTTGACTGCCAGCTGCACCTCGCCCATCGAACAATAAATTGCCGAAATAGACTTCAAATTGTCGTGCCACAACTAGACATCCATGCCAAAATGACATGACAGATCAAATCACACAGTAACAGTTCTTTTAGAAAGGCGGGAAAGCTAATCCAATTATTTGCAGTAGCCATTTTGCTTTTAACACGCAGATGGAGGAATGAATTAGTCAAGCTAGATTGTGTATACCACACCTTTAATCTTGCCGAATTGCCCGGAATACGCAAAATTCCTTCGTCCTTCAGCGCTGCACAGTAGAATGACAGAAAAGGAAATCCACAAGATCAACACTCTGCCATATGGAAAATTGGAAATAGAACAGAGAATAGGCTAAGCAGCCAAACCTCAGGGAATAAAGGACCAGGAATTCCTCACACACACAGTCATCTCTCTCTCTCTCTCTCTCTCTCTCTCTCTCTCTCTCTCTCTCTCTCTCTCTCTCTCTCTCTCTCTCTCTCTCTCGCTCTCTCTCTCTCCACACACAGTGCTGCAGTGGTTGAAATGGGTCAATCTGCCAAACCAAGCAAAGAATACACTTCCTTTTGTCATCCACGTGCCCCATATGTGCATCAAGGAGTAATTGCATCTATGGAGACAACATGAGGCCATAGCACCCAAAACGATCTGTGGGTAGCGACCTTGGATTTGGAGGCTCTATATGACCCACGCAACTGCAGTCATGAACTGCTGACTCCAAACATGGCACAGACCCGCTGTGCCATAGTTGCGCATGCATAAACTGGACTTGCCCTTAGGGGCAATTGAAACAGACAGTCCAGGAGCGAAGCCCATGTCGTCTTTCCGTTCCACTTGCCCATGGCGTCTTTCCATAGGCCCTACAGCATCCTGATGTATATGCACTATGGATGTGGTTAGATACATTCTAAACACAGCTACAAGCAAACCAGCCATAGTCTGATAGAGCAGTGTACACAGCTCACGTACCATTTTCATCTAAGAAATTACAAATCTGCAAGGAATACACAGGGACATTGGAGAACAACAATTATGTCTTGCAACACAAAGCATATCCACAGGGAAACTGCTAGTAAACTAATCCACCAGAGCTAAACACACCTAGAGATCTGAACTGAAACAGCTTGCCAGAAGGTTTTCACTGTAGTCCATTTATCCCAAATAGTTGCGTTGGCTTTGGGATGCCAGGTTTTGGCTAAATAAATAGGCTCGAAAGCCCGAAATTTCTGGGCTGGGACCTGCTTCTGCATACGTCTTGTCACAGTCCACCCATCCTATATTGTAAAACCTGGCTGAATTTCTAGCTCCCTTGGACTTTCCCGACCTCAAATTAATGTGACAAGGAAGAACTGCACAGTTCGCATAATGCAGTAAGTACAGTTGTTTTTAGCAACGTTTTACCATATCTACCGCTATTTGGATGAATGGACAGTAGCTACGATATCCCTGATGATACCCGTACAAGCAAAAAGCAGGGTTCACGTTGAATTAGGTTTGGATTGTGGGCGCAGCCAAGGATGAAGAGGACAGAAGAATGTTTTCAATGCACATGCAAGTGGAATCCGGATATAGTCAGCCTTGCGAATAGCACCCCTCCCCCCCCCCCAACCGTGCATTAGAAAAGTGCCGTTATTCGTGAGGCTTAAAGTATGCAGTCAAATGGTCACTAGGTCGAGGTCATTGATTATTTTCGAGGTTGACTGTAATTCAAACGTGGCTTACACCAATTCAATTTCAGTCAATAAGATTTCAATAAGATCCCTACATTTTCTTGTCTGATAATTCGAACCGCAAACTGGGCACATACGCCCTTGTTAGAAGTCTCATGAAATCCGCCTACATAAAACATGTGTCGAATTCCTACTGATAATTTGAAGCTCAGGGTGCACAAGCAGGCTGTACTCGAGCAGTACTCGCCAGTGCAGAGGGTGTGAGATGCATAACGCAACTCTGTGTGACAATGCAAGCATTTGACATACACACTGCCTTGGGGTACACGTTTCGATAACTAGAGGTCCCCCTGCAAGTTGGGATTTGGGTTACCAGGGTTCCAGCTGTACTCGATGCCTTGAAATTAAGCTCAGCCGACTCCATTACCTCTTCCATGAAGACAGGACACTTGGCAGTTGGTATCCGCTCCTGATCTCTTTCCAGTAGAGTGGTCAGCGGCACACCAAGAACCTTAGACTCGGATGTGGTTGCTTTCCGCTTGGGTGGACGGGACACTCGCAGCGGTAAGCTGTGGCGATCGAACAGCGACGTCAGCTCCAGCAGTGCAATGTGACGTATCTTGTCACGATCTGGAACCGATAAGTCATCCATGTAGGATACGCCCGTCGGCTGAAACCGCAGTCGATACTCAGGCAGCGGTTGTGATTCATCCGTACGACCGTCTTCTCCGTACTGTAATACCAGATAGTCGTTGTCGCGGGGGTCACCAGGATGGGGGCTGCAAGTAGAAAGTACAAAGGCAAGCATAAATACAAGCATGAATACACGTATGCGTACAGCAGTCCCGCATATATTTGCATGGGCAAGAAGTGTGGTAGGTGTAGTGCAGACCAGCATGCATCACACAGCACAGGGTGTGTATGTACGTGAACAGCTACACTGTATGCTGAGACTTCACTAAATTCGCAAACGCTAAGTACAAGCACATTTGCTTACACATGAAGAACAATCACTTGGAAAAATCGTGGAACAGCGCGTTTCCAGATAATACAAACTGTTCTTGTATGCAGGGGATTACGGTAAACTGTATCAGGGAAAGGCTGTGTTCCCATACGAGTTTTCAGACTGGCATGAACATGGATTGACAGGAGTGTTTACATAATACACAGCGCTTAACCTGGGTTGGACAGGAAACGTACTACTGTACTTATGTTTTCACGGTGACAGCGTGAACAAGGCGAGGACGCACTGTATGGGAAACAGTGCTCCTGACTACAACCATAAACCGGTTGGTAGAGTCTCGGTCCTCGCCTTGTTCATGCTGTCACCGTGAAAACATGTTACCTATCCGGCAAGGCTTGCATAATACTGTACTTATGTGCGTATTTCGAGCTGGGATTGCACAGGCACATGTCCCACCTAAGTAGCCATGCGACTATACAGGACTCTGGAAATTGACTTTTGATGCCTACCATTGCAATAGTACAGAGCCCCTGGAGTGTGCAACTCCAGCCTATGTAGTCAACGGCAGCAGAACTTAACATCACGTGACAACCCCCTACACATAATTATTTGCACCCTGTGCATAATAGATACATGTACGTACCAAGTTGTACATAATCCTGCTTTCGGTTCAACGCTCAGCTGGTCAGTTTGCACTGTTTGCCAGCGTAACCTTGGTGTCATGCGAAGTTCTGCGTTCACAGACTCACAGTACTAGATTGCGGTTGTGCAGGCAGTTGCGCACACTTGGGATTATGTACTCTTGCTATCAGCAATCTCCCTGGGTCAACCCTGTTCATGTTAGCACCCACATTTTTCCACCATACTTTTCAACCCATGGTTGATAAATATGGTGGTAAAGACACACCTGGCAATATGGCGGTAAACACACGCCTGCCCACACACGCTCTCTAGGCTGTAAAGTTCTGGCACAGAGCTCTCCTTCTCACCACCACCATCAGTTCGCGCCTGGTCGATGCATGGCTGGCGGTATCCGGCATAGCAGGCTGGTACATCAAGTAGCGCATGGCACATAGATGATGACACAGCAACGACATAGCTCGATTGCGACGTACGTTTCGTCCCCGCTGGACTCATCAGGCAATCTTCTTCTTGGATGTCTTCATACGGAGCTTGACTTTTTTCATACTTTTCAACCCGGGTTGAAACATCTCATGTAAACACGGCCAAAGATAAAGCATTTGAGTGTAGACAAGGGGGCTAGTTCAAGGTCAAGATTGTCCAAAGTGAAATCCGATCATTGGTAGCTACACATGTAGAATGTAGTGCGAGGCACTTCTACTAGTGCTGGCTATTACATCACAATGACATCATACACTCACTCGGAATGATCGGCGTAGTGATGTGCACAGTCACATGACGTCCGCAGCGGAGAGATGACCTCGCTGTCGCCGGGCGCGTCCTCCTGCAGGCTGGCGCGGGCCAGTGCATGGCGCCGCTTACGCACCATGGCGCTGAGCAGGGCTACATGCTTGACAACAGTGACGGCCTCGCTGAGTGACAGCACCGAGGCGGGCCGCGCATCTTTCCGACCTGGTTCAGGCGTGCCATCAGCTTCCGGGTCTGTGCATGCAGTATTCAAACAGCAGACAAACAGTGGATTGTTGCAGGGCTGACTCCGACCATCATTCATGAGTCTGGGAAAGGACTCCCAGTGAGTTCAGGTAGACTACACGCTATCAAGAGAACATGAAAACCAGAGTGTGCAGCTCGGATGGGTGGCTGTCACGGCGGAATTCCGTGATTACATCATTTTAGTGATGTAGTGCGTACAAGCAGGATTCAAGCAGGTCTCTTTCTGCACAACTGCAGCTCAGTTGTACGTACTACGCCATTTCCCGCCTCAGATCTGGGCCAAATATGATGTATTACACAGTAATCACGGAATTTCGCCGTGACAGACACCCATAGCAGAAAAGGCCCCAAGCTGCACACTCTGGTTTTCATGTACTCTTGACGCTATCCAACCTCCCTTATTGGACTGAAGCAGTTGTATGCCTTTCTATAGACTATTGTCTTTGTACACACTAACAAAGAATACATACCATATTTACCACTTATACGTTAACCCCAATACTTGGGGCCTCGGTGCACTGGTTCAATATCAATATGATCGATGACAGAACTTCATGACCTGCGACAGCAGTTGTAGCAGCAGTCTTTCTGAGCAGATTTCGGCGGCCATTGAGGCACGCACCGTGCCACCGAACCTCCTAGCACCAGTGTTATCCTGCAAATTCCTTGACTATCTCTGTGGCAAATGGCTCAATTCTGCCAACATTACCATTTGGTCAGTGCAGTAAGACTTTGAACATTGGATTATGACGAAAGAATGTGAAGTCTGCTGTAATAGCTTGAGTGTTTCAGAAGGGACATTGATAGACAATGGAACACAACATAGCTCAGCTGACATGGAGGCAACTCTGCACCTCGTACAGTACAACAATCAGTAAAACAGAATTGAGCACTATGATCATTCACCTGTCTCCCTATCCTCTTTAGGGTCCTCGTACTCCGATGTCGGCTTCTCTGCTATGCCAGGTGACTCCTGCTCAATGCGCTTGGCTTCTTCCCAGTAACATTCTAGATTCAATGATCCGTTCACCCGTTTGCCCGAACGGCCCTTGGGTGAAAGGACATTGTGGTGGACCTCAGCTAATGCTGTTGCTGCCCCTGGTGGTGTTGATCTAACTAATGTTATGTCTGCAGGAGGAAAACACAGCAACAAATTAATCTTATGAAACAAACCTGTTGAAATGTATACCGGTATCTGACACAAGTTACACAACAAAACTGTTTTGATATGACAGGCACAATCCATAGCACTTTGGAGCGTGAAAATCTGTCCGATCAAAACAGGATTCTGCTTGGTACAGGGTGCAGCAAACATAGGTTTTACTCTATTTTGTATGTTGACCTGCCAGCAAGGATCATCCTGGGCATGACGATACACATGTATGCAGCAGTACTTGTGCACACGCAAGGCCAGAGAGTGAAAGCCATAGAAGTGATCTTCACGCTTTGCTGTTTGCTAGCGTGCGACGGGCATGCACACTACTGAACACGATTAATTTAAGGTCTGCGGATTGCACGTAAAATACTTATAATTCAGGGTCAGATTTCACTTGCAACCATTGCACTAAGCACAAACACAAGCTAACCCATGTGGTAGCTGCTAAGCACAAAGTGCCACATATACCACCTAACACAGACACACGGTATCAAGAGTATACCCCCCCCCCCCCCCCCCCCCACAAGAGTGTGCAATTCTGCATATGGGGTCTGCGGCGGCGAAAACTCACATCACGTGTCTCAGGTACGTTCGTACTACGTACAAACGAAGCATAGTGTGCGCGCTATCCAAATATCTGCCACGATCATGCTGAAGATTTGCATACCCGCGGTGAGTTTCTGTCAGAGAGTGCTTTTTTATTATTCCGCTGCTCGCTAAAAACGGGCTGGAAACGTACAACTGCGACACTGCACCACGTGATGTGAGTTTTCGCCGTCGGTATACCCCATAGAAAAGATATCAGGAGTTGCACACTCTTGGGGGGTTATAATTATACTCTTGATGGTATCTACAACACACATCACGGGTATCTACAACACACATCACGGGTATTGCTGTTGTTTGTATTCTTTATTTAGAGTGGGAAGTCCAAAACAGGCCCTAGCCTAATAACAATGGTCCCACTAGTGAGGGAATGCTGTATATCTGTGCATAAGGATCAGTGAGTGTAACAGCAACTAGTAGGGAAATAAAAGAGAGAAGAAAAACAACTCAAAACAGGAGTTGCGACTTGCATAGGGAGAAAATAACGTAGAGCAGTGCATACAGCATTTGTAAAAAGGCTTATTTATCTGGTAAGCAAAAAGGCAAGAGCCATTGACTTAAAGCGATTGCGTTTTCTTTCTTGCCTGACCGCAGCGGGGAGCTGGTTCCATAAGATGGTCCCAGCATAGGTGACACGTTTGGCAAGATATGCAGTTGGGCTGGCTGGGACAATCAGTAAATTGCTGTGCCTACCACGAGTTTGAGTGGAATTACTGCGGCTGAAAAAGTTAGCGAACAACATGCTGATGTTAGAGGAGTCATGGAGACAACGCTAGATAAAAACCAGAAGGTGCATGTTGGCGTATGTGGTCAATGTTTGGATGTTCATGCGTGTAAGAATATTGCTTGTGGGTGTCCCGGGAGGTACCCGACAGACTGTGCGTACAGCACGCTTGAAGAGCCCATTAAGCCGTCGACTTTGATACGCCGTGAGAAATGGTAAGTAAGCAGAAGCGGCATACATAAAGTGTGATAAAATGAAAGAACGAAAATAGGCTATGCGACATTGAAAAGGCAGGAACGTAGCGTATCGTCTGAGCACGCCAACTTTCGACGCGACGCCCCGTGCGACGTGGTCAACCATGGTGTTCCAGCTCATGTCCGCATCAAAGTGGAGACCTAAATATTTCGCAGAGCGAACAGTTGGCAGAGGCAGTCCATTACATTGCACTTGCAAGTCAAATGTTTGAGATCGTACTGGCGATATCTACAACACACATCACGGGTATCTACAACACACATCACGGATATCTCAACACGAGTGCACAGGTTAGCCTGGCATGTGCACGTATGGCAGATTCCTTGCACACACGGCACCAAGGACTATGCCAGTACGAGGAGTTAACATAGTACAGCCTGCATCGCTTGCATGAAAACGATATTAATTTTGTGTACTGCACAGTACATACTGCTAGCACATGTACATGTACTGCACTTGACAACCTTGATCTAACTCCTGCCTCCTGCTAAACACCAACTGGGAAGCGACACAGTGTGTGGAGTGTGTGGGGGATGGGGGGGAGGGGGGGGGGGGGGATCAACGGTACTTTCCGGTGCATACAGTGTACATGTGTCTGGAAAACAACATACAGAGGTCTGAGGATAGGGTGGGCAATTCTGCAAATTCTGCTCCTCTTCTCTAACCACACAAACACCTGTATGAGCTAGAGCTGTCCCAGATAAATGAAAGAAATTAATTCTGTAGATTTTTTGGCTGATATTATCCGCCGACCACAAACATGCAGTGACTGTCGCGATGGAAACGGAGGCCGTAGCTATTGAAAACATACATGTAAGTATGACGGTAGTTGAAGTGTCACAATCCAGCATTAGGTACTGTACGAGGTGATTCGTCATTATTTAACACGAAAGTAAAAAAGCCTTCTGTAGGGTTCGAGGTGTGAATCTTTCCATTTCGTCCTCTAAATAATATGTAATACTGATATCCTTGGATTGCAATGTTGGGATTCTCATTCACATAATCCTTGGTGTTGGGAAGCAGGTGGCAGTTGAAAAATGGCAATTTTTCCGCATATTATTTGTTGTGGTCATTTCTTAACATCGTGGTAAAATAGGCCTTAGCAGCACAATTTCAAGTTAGTTTTCAATAGAAGGAGACCCTACGTCTCCAGGATGGTCCAGCAAGACTGGATCAAGATCATGTTCATCCAAATACAAGCCATTCAAGCTTACATAGCAATAGGTGTATCAACCTGATTTCATGTGTAATTGTGATCAACATCTGTTAGCAAATTCAGTGATTGCCAATGTTTGGCCATTACTAGGGCCAACACACCGACATTCCTCCTTCCCAGGCGTCGTTTCCAGTATGTAGCTATCATATGCTTCCTATTCAGCTAAATATGTTGTCACTCGAGGTTGAAACCAGCGGCTATGACTCTCTTATACTCTATTTTACCGTAAACATCGCGCACATGCAGACTGAACGCTCTTGCAATGTCACTTCCTGAAGGAATATCAGTCTCAATTTTGGAGGCGAACTTGACAGAACATTGGCAATGGCAATGGCAAAAAGAAATTTGACGTGACTTTTTGCAGGTGCTTGCAATGAGATATTTTACCGATTTGTTAGGAAATGACTCAATGTTAAAATATTACGAATCACCTCGTACAGGCAGAAATTTTCGTCGGTCAATAATTTCGTCCAACTCCAAAGAAAGGGAGTTTGTCCAGTTGTAAATTTCATCCATCGATCATAAGAGTGTATTGAAAAGCTGGACAAATGGACATTCTGAAACTCGGATGTTGAGCCAATAATAAATGTAGAAAGGAAAAGGAAATATGGATACGAGTTGAGAGTATCTCCATCACTTTAATCAGATACTATATACAGTCAGAAAGTGCAATAACTAGGCACAAAACTGACAGAGTACTGAGACATTCGACGTCCTGACACCTAGCTTCAACACATCTCCGTAGCGCTAACCGACAGCCTTCCAACTTGGAAGGTTCAAGGTTACGGTTAGCGCCACGGAGATGTGTTGAAGCTAGGTGTCAGGACGTCGAATGTCTCAGTACTCTGTCAGTTTTGTGCCTAGTTGTTGCACTTTCTGACTGTATATACAATGTAGTATCTGGTTAAAGTGATGGAGAGTTACTCTCAACTCGTATCTATATTTCCTTTTCCTTTCTAAATGGACATTCGTCGGGCATTTAATTTAGTCCAAAAGCTCCTTTGACGAAAAAGACGAAATTAAATTCCAGACTAATATTTCTCCTTATACAGTATGTGGGAGCTACATGTATACAGTCATAAACCACTAAGCACCATCCCACGTGAAGCAAAGAGAACTACTTGGAACTTGACAAGTTGGGTATCCTGGGTTGCCAATTTTCGAATTCTTTTGTCAAGAAAAAAAAGATGCTCCTAGCTATTTGGACGATCGACGTGTTCCAACTAACGTTACTTCATAACCAAACAAGCACGTACACATGCAAGTAAAGTTTGAATAGCTTCGGTGCGTTCAACACTGAGATCTCCCTTCATCTGCACAATGTCAGTTTCCATAGTGTGAATAAAATTGCAGGGCAACTTCAGAAGTGTAACTGGTACACATGTACATGATTGTATTATTGTAGACATTACAAGTCCTTGAATCGTTCTTGGGAAAGCATCGACGGTATCTTTCATAACTCTGAGCACGCGAAGAAACACCATTGTCCAGCCTCAAATTGAATTGAATCAGTGACCCTCAATGACACCAGCAGAAAGTTCTTCCAACCGCAGCATTCTCCCATCGGAAAGGTTTATTTTCTGAAGAGCCTACACGCGGATCAAACCTTCATGGGCTGTGTTGCTGCGGGTGTCCTTCCCCACACATACAACAGGTTTCCGGTGTAGAGTAACTACTTGATGAATCACCAACTTCCAGCAGCACACAGCCCAAAGTACACCTGACTGCCTGAAAACTAAAGAGTCCTTACCCGCGTTGCCGGACATGCTGAGAAGATAGGCGTTCTCTCTGCTTCGCAACCAGCTCCAATCAGGTGTCTACAGCTCATCGTCCTATCATTCTTGCATGATCTCGGAGACTACAGAAAACAACAACTACTGCCAAGCTTCAAACCTCTAAGGTAGCAAAACCTCCGCGGTACAAAAGACAATGGCATAAACCAGCAAACCGGATCATGTCAACTCAGTGTTCAGGTGTTGCCTGTTGGTTGTTTCCTGACCTGGTATGGATCATGATCAGCGAACACGAACACCATGAACACCACAGTGACTGTTGTAGTTCATCAACCAGTGAGCGTGGAATCCAGTTTTGTACTTGGAAGTGGCATACGATGCACTCAGCATACTACCCTCGCGTACTGGGTCGTAAGCTACGTAGTCTACGGTAAAATCGAACACAACCGGGGCAACCACAACCACAAACTCCAAAAATGGATTTCGCGACGCCCGCGCGTCCCTGACCTGTGAGATTGTGGATCAGATGACCAGTCCGGCGCGGCCCAAGCGTAGATCTACCGGCTAGCACTGTACCCTGGGCCTGGTACCCGATACCTGCACCTGGTAGTCTACCCGTACCGCGCTTTGCATGTGCGAGTACATGTACCATGTGTACCATGGTGTACTGAGTATGTGTCGTACGACTAGACTCCACGAGTAGAGTCTACGCTTGGCGCGCTTGTTGTTGTTGTCAACAAGAAACCAGAGGCATAGTTACCATGGTTACCTGGGTTGTACCATGTGACTTGAGAATTTAATGATGGTGACGTCATGCATGGTGGATTGCAAATATTTGCAAAATCAAAAAAACGACTGCATGCTGCATGCATGCATGCAACGTGTTGCGAGAAAAAAATAAACAAATAATTAATTTTAATTACTGGTGATGAGCTACATGACTGTATACATGGGATTGTAGAGGACGTCGAGAAAATAATTCTGTTCCTTGTCCCAAGTGGAGTGAAATATGGCAGGCTTCCATGGTGGGAGAAGTCTGATGATAGTAGCAATGGCATGCAGTTTGCATACTAGTAGTAGCCGTGACGATCCACTTCTTTAGAGAGCTCGGATTTTGTGAGGACGTGTACAGCAGAGCTGTTCACTTGCACAACGCCCATTAAATACTTGTCCAGTGCTGATTTCATGCTCTGCCACGAGTTTGCCAAGCAAGGCCAAGTAGAATACCGTGGTGTTTTGTGAAGCTACAACCAGTGAATGAGCAAGATGCCGAAGACGGCAGCAGCGTCTACCGTTCCGTACAATGCCGGTATGGCTTCACGACTCTCACCTGTGCAGCAAATCATCTCAGCTAGCTCAGGTGCTGCTCTGGTGTCCTTTTTCAGTAAGTACCTACATATGCCTACATGATGTACACGTACATGTACATGTATTGTCAAAATGTGCATAAACTCTGTATCACACATCACTCTAGTGGAAATCAATAAAAAAAAATTAGAACATAGCGAAACAATTCCGAAACCAGATGGTGAGCCAAGCAAAATATTAAATGGAAACAAGGAAAACGGCGGTGCACAAGTTATGCGTTAGAGGTATTCTCAGCACTTACACAAGTGACCCATGACCGGAGTAGTCAGGATGATTTATCACCTATGATATCGAAGGTGATGACAAAGGCTAGAAGTTGGATGCACGTCATTCAGCTAATAGACCGATCCCCTTATTATTGTCTGGGTTCGAGCAAGGGGGCAACTCCGCAGTCTCGTGGGATCCTGCTGCACACACGCGACCAACCTCACCTCGGCTGTGCGCGACTTCTCGCATGCGAAGTGCAGAGCACGCGAAATCTACATCATGTACATGCAGTGCAAGCCTGTCTACAAAAAATGTCACAAGGACTTTTGATTTGAGCTGTTTTGTTTTTGTTTAGACGTCTTCCTTTTTACGACTTCAGGATGCCTTCTCAGGATCATTGCTGCGTTCCTCACTGTCAGAACAGGAGGACAATGCAAACAAGTCATTTCACTCCTTTCCTCGTGTGGAGCCACAGCGGCCTGGAGCAAGCGGATCCAGGCTATGCCCCGTGAGGAAGGACGTAGTTTTAGGGTCACTCTGAATAGTTGCAGCGATCATTTCGATCCCGAAATCGAAATCGTTTTGCCCAGCTCTACAAGGGCAGGATGAGTCCAGGAACCCGAACAGCTGTTCTACGGTACCAGGTTTGCTTTTCGCAAGAGAGTGGAGTCTGGACGCCCTGCTCCCCATGCTCGCAAAACAGTAGTTGCTGAGCCTAGTGCAGTTCGGTCATGGAAGTGCAGCGTCTGCATCACGAGCTCCCCATGCTCCCAAACCAGTATTTTGCTGAGAGGCAACGGTACTTTGAGTTGGAAAGGAACCTGGCTTAATGCAGTTTGGTCCTGTAATGGAAGTGCAGCATCTGCATCAGGAGCTGGCAGCAAGTAGAGCTCGTGTACAGAGTCTCGTGGAGCAGTTGGACGATGTGAGGACTGGGGTGAAGAAAGCCGAAAAACAGCTTACGTACAGTAACATAAAGAAAGACTCTGAGCCGCTCCAGTTTCTGACTGGTTTGCCTTCAGGTGTTTGGACCGCTCTGTGGGACTTCTTTGAGCCTAGCCGAGAAAATGTACTGCGCCGCGCCGGATCTGCGAAGACGGAAGCTGAGGGACGGCGGATACAGTTGGAGGTGGCCGTAAATCGCCAATGAGCATGTAATGGAGGATCAGCTGCTATTGGCATTGATGTGTCTAAGCCTGGGCCGAATGGAACAGAAGCTGGCAGGCGTGGCACAAGTTAATCATCCGTTTCACGGTATATAGCTAGCTGAGCTGGAAAGATGTCTTGTTCCTCCGTTTGGGCATGATCCCCATTTGGGCGAGCTGGCGAGATGTTCAGTCATCAATGCCATGTACCGCAAGACATTCTGCATTGTGGGTGAAACAGTTCTATTTTGCCATGCACTTAGGGTTCTCGCACCGGCACGGCACAACAAGACCCAACAGATCCTTGCGCTCGTATTTTCTCCCATGGTAACATTGCTGATCACAACACCCAGTAGCCAGTCGCAGATGCAACCAAATCAACCAGGTTCTCTTACTCTTTTTTTCCAATACTGAAACCAAGGTATACCAATATTTGCATCGAATGCAGTGATGATTTCAATATTGTCCACCAGTACAACGCATTACCAGACTGGCATATAATCATGATAATATTATCCATTTCGCAATCACTGTCATTGCTTTCTTAGATCTCCAATCATCAATATCGGACCATAAACCGTCTATCATCTTATATTATATCATCATTAATATCCTGCTACTATCCTCCTCTAACGATGAGCTCGAAGAAACGAAACAGCTGTCTAGAGGCGTAAACAATATCTGTCAACGGAAGTGTCCTTGCTGTGCTGGTGTGTTTATGCTTCGTGCATTAGTTCGGCCAAGAGCGCATGGTGGTGGCGGGTTGAGGGTGTAGTACAGCGGAGTATGACCGAAAGCTCTGTCACAATGTATTTTATTAGGAAGGTATAGAAACAGAAAAACAACTGTATCTTGATCTTGGGCGTAAACAGCCCGTCTCACATTAAATATACTAGAAAATAGTTCACTCTGAACATGCAGTCTTCCTAAGAGAGAGAGAGGGGGGGGGGGGGGGGGGTATATTCATACTCATAGGTTCGAAAGAACCGCACACACACTTTGTTGCAGACAGCGGCAAGCTTTGGCCCTCGTACTTCGAGGAGGGAGCAATCCACTGCGCTACGCTTGCGATTAACAGAAAGCTTCGATCTTTCAAAGGTACGACTCATCACTGGCTCTGGGGTAATGTTCCTGGAACAAATGCCCCATTGCCGACTGAGGGCCAGGGAGCACGCAATCTGCCTTCCTGGGCGAGAAGTGTTCCAGCACGAATACATGCTGACAAAGACCACCATCACCACCAGCCGGCACACAGCACTTCAAACACCATCCACTCCTTCCATGTGTTTGCACTGTCCTCCTCTAGCTCTTCACGCTCAACAAATACCACGCACTGCTCATCGTTTTTTTTTATGCTTCCTCTGGGTTGGCTAGCCCTTCGACTTGACAAAACAGCGATCACCACTGCTATCGTCACCTCATAGCAGTCGCTTCCACCAGTGGATTTTCCTGTCTTTGCAAGGTGTCCAAGGATGGCTGCTGTTGTCACTACAGGCAAATCAGAAGTACTTTAGTGGCTGATGTCCAACCAGATCGTTGAAAAATCGATTTTTCCACTTCAGGGCTGCTGATCGCGATCGCGACTTGGTGACTTCGCAGCACCACGGTTACCTTCATAGAAGATGGCTCTGGAGAGGAAAAGGCAGACCAGAAAAAGGTTACTACAGTCGTCCCTCTCTAATCCGGCACCTTTTGCTACGGCGTTTTCTGCTGGATTAACGAGGGTGCTGGATTAAGAAATCCTGCCCTCTGACCCGGCCCTACCCAAATGTATCATATGTACGTCAAAACGCAGGGTTTTTCCGTGTCGACCCAAGTATTTGGTGCAAGGCTTTATATTCTCAATTGTTCTCCGAGAATATACACAGTGATAAAGTGATAAAGTAAAACAGAGAACATGTTCACATTCACTCTTGCACACACACACACACACCTGAAAATTGGCAGGACACTACTCCTTGCTAAAATAAGAAAGTATGGTTGACAGACCGTTGTCTCCTGGACAACATTGACCAGACTGGCCTAGCGTGGAGTGCACCTGTGCGGTACGCGATTTACGACTGCCGGATTATGAAATCAAACTACGTGCAGTTTGAGCGATTCGTTTCAAAAAGTCACTGCCGGAGGCGGAATTCAAGTGCCGGATTAAGATGTAGGAATTGAACGAAAAAAATTGGTTTCGTCAGAAAGTGCGCCGGTTGGCAAGGGTTCCGGATAAACAAGTGCCGGATTAGAGAGGGACGACTGTATTATCTTCAGCACCGATCTCAAGGAGAAAGAAATACGGTCTGCTGTAGCCTAGGCACAAAATAAATCTCACAACATGATTCGCGACTCGAATATTTCAACAACGAAAAACCTCACCTCTGGAGTAACTCCTGTTTGTGGCCCGAGATCGTTCCCTCCCGCGCCTTGAAAAAATCCTGCAGCTGCATCACAGTCCATGTCTCTCTCGGAGACTCTGCTCCTGCCAGCAGGAGGTTCAGCACCGCTCGAAGCCATCGCAAACCACTTGAACTAAGCAGAAGACATTCCAAAACAAACCTGAAACACACTGTCAAAGATGCTGTCACGTTCAAAAACTAGCTCGATCGCGAGTGAGGTTGCCCCCGTGCTCGAACCCAGTATAGTAAGGGGATCGGTCTATTTTAAAGCATCAGGTGTCCAGCAGTAGTGGTAGTCTTGAGATGTATAGTTATGATCCCGCACCTTTGCCGACTCCTTCCGATTTTTACCAGCCTTGAACCTGGTAGAGCCGGTAGAGGAAAATAGAAATTTCTGTTTGGGGTAAGAAAGAGGAACGGCTCTATCAAAACCTGTAGATCAAAAACGAACGCCCCCTGAGACTATTCCCGCAGAATAGTACGGACAAAGTCCTTGACTCCTGTGCATAATTATGCCTTCGAAAACAGGTCCTTGTGCGGCAGTTATGTGGGGTTATACGGTGATTGTGTGGTATAATGTCAATGTGCAAGGGTTAATTAAGCCTAATTCACATCTGACGGGACGCTCAAGATGCCGATTGACGGTGTCGAATGTGAATGCCAGGAACGGGAACGCAGCCTCCTACCGTACAAATCGGGAAGCAACGGCAGAGTTGAACCTGTTCAACCTTTCGTACCATAGGCGGGGACGCAAGGGTACAAAAGGGCTACACTGGCACCCTTGACCAGTTCTGATTACATCATTGTATTTTTCACCGAGTACAGCGGTGCATTCTCGTGGATAGCGCGTGTCTTATGCAAAAAATTCTCGAAAATGCGGATAAAGCCAACAAAGCGGAAAATACGCATCCGCGGTATCCCGTTGTCCTGCGAGGACAGCTAAGAGGGAGGGGGAAGCTACACAATGGGACAAGGACAGTACAGACAAAGGAAACCACTGCTTTAAACCAGGCATGTTATGTGTAAGTGCTGTTCTGCTTTGTGCTACTCCTATATGTATAGCTCTTGTCCCGTCTTGGTTCTGTCCATGTGCTCTATCCAGCAACACCATTTGATGTGGTCAAAGTCCGTCTACAAGCGCACCAGAAGACCACCAGTGCATGTATGTTGCCTTATCAACTTGTGTGCTGCGTGACATTATCTTTGCAAGGCCTTGACCTAGATTGTATAGTCATAAATTAGTAACATCTTGAATAGAAATGATTCACTGTGACACGACAAATGACGGCATACAGGATTGAGTCATGCGAGGAGTCATCCCCGAGCAGTGTGTGACATATGCTGTGAGCTGCGGGTCTTATTGTAGCGAGCACATGCTTTGCAGAGCTGACTACGAACCCATGCTGTCCCTGCAGGACTCCAGCTGGCGTTCTATTTTTGCTCTGCTCATTTGGTCTTGTTCTGTCCACCATCACTGTAGTGAGCAGTGTGCGGGGTCTCTGCGAACTGTGCTTGTGCGGTGTGACCAATGCTGTCCGCACGGAAGCCATATCTTTACCTCAGATATCCAGAGAACGTTACACCTCGTTTGTAAGTACTGGCTCCATACACGTAGTGCCCGTACACTCCACTATGTAGTTGAACGTATCGTTAGTATATTGATCTTGCATGCACTGAGTGTACACAATGGTTACCATGGTGCAATGGGCGCACATTGGTTACTGGCAAGATTCAAGCAGGGGAAGGATGGATAGTACAAGTCTTCTATTTGGTGCCCACTTTTCCTGACGATGTCGGCTTTGATTGCTATGTGCAGACCACCTGGTAAAAGGAGAGCGATCGCTCTCGCGCGCCTTCGCTCTCCTTATTTTCTTCTAGGGCGCACTTTTCGTCGCGCGCCTTGAGAATTTCGAGCGCATCCGCATCACTATGAAGTTCTGAAAACACTCATATATTTCGTAACTCGGCTTTCCCTGAGCGGAATCAAGTAATCGAAAGATCTATTCGCATTAGAAAGTTCTCAGCTGTCGGCTCCAACAAATCGGAAGTCGATCCGAGGTCCAATATTGGAGTTACGGCACTCGCAAGGTATTTTACGTACCGTTGCAAATTTTCACTTCCGCACACATAATTATTGTGACATAAAGGATTTCGCTCTTGCGTGACAGTCCGGGCATGCATAGACCTGTGTACGTGTGACGCCAGGCACCGGTCTTTAGCCGTCAGCTACAGAACAAAGCCTCAAAGGAGCGCTCTACGATGAATACTACAAAAATACCATGGATCTAAGCAAATTGTCTCAATTTCCCATTGCGTGTGTCATTGTCCCTGATGAAGGGAAACTAAAGTTGTGGTCTGAACAGCTTTCATTTGTAGTGCGTACGGCGTTTTTCCAGAACGAATTTGGCAGCTATTGGGTATTGAATCCGATTGGGGTATGGCAAGATGTTGAAAAAACCCGTATTGTGCTCGCCTTGGATAGATAAGGCGAACGACTTTTGGGGGGGGGGGGGGGGGTGGTGGGGACTGCTCTCCCACTACTCTCCTTGAGAGGATAGCGAGAGTGATTGTTCCCTCTCCTGGATTTTTCTTACACGAAGGTCTGATATGTACTACTGTACTTCGAAGCATTGTGGAACTATGTGCCCAATGGGACAAGGCCAGTTTTTACAGGTGCTGTTTGTTCTTTTCTCTTCTAATCACAGCAAATGGTGAAGACTATTGCAGTTGGAGAAGGACCTCGTCACCTGTGGCGTGGGCTCTCTGCATCATTGTACGTACCGTTTGTTTCCCCCGAGGGTGTTGCTTCATGAGTATTCTCCATGCATCTATGCTTGATTGTAGTGATGTCATGGTTGGAAGCTGGTCTGGCTTCTGTGGTGTCAGTTTCTCGGAGTGAGTTCCTGTAATTTCACCTACCCTCGGGCTGATGTTGAGTAGTGGGTTGGACATATTCTCTCTCCCCCTCCCCTCTCTTTCTTTCCCACTTCCAACCAAGACTTCCTTCAAGCTCTGCTGTTGGTCTGGGGGCCCATCCGTTTGCCGTAGTGTGTCAATGTGGGCTGTCACGTATGACTGAGTCACGGGCTTACTGCTTGGATTTGGGGGTGGACGCTGGACCAGACACCACACAGCCAATCTTGGTGTTCCGCACAAGCTCGCCATTGACCTCTCCTTCTTTCTCTCCCCCAACACACTCGCGCGCCTTCTCGTCATGATTTTTGATTCCTCTTATGCCTAATTTCCCTCCGCTGGCATTCTTGGCTGTCCTGCTGCTGCTGCTATGTGTGCGGGTATGTTTTTTCTTGCAGAGTGATGGCAATACCAGCCACAGTTATCTACTACACTGCTTATGACATGATGATGGCGAGAACGAGCTTCAATGAGAACCGCTCAAACCTCATCTATCCCATCGTGTGTGGCTCGTCTTCTCGCTGTAAGCCGGATGTGTGTGGGTGCGTGCGTGTCTGTGTGTGTGTGTGTGTGCGCGCGCGCGTGTGTGTGTGGTGGTCTGTGTGTTAGAGTGGGTATGGGTGCATGGGTTGTACTTTCCATCTGCCCCGCCTTTTCATTTGTGTTGTCTATTGATATGAGGCTGTGTAAGCTGCCATGTCTTCTTTGGCTTTATGTTAACATAAAGACTTCTCCAAACCGATTGTGGAACTGTTTCTGATTTTGTTTATTCTTTTTCATCTCAGCTTTGGCGGTGCTGGCTATTTGCCCCATTGAAATGATCAGAACGAAAATGCAGTCACAAGCACTCAGCAGCCACCGAGGTTAGTGGGTGATATGGAGACTCAGACTGCAGCTGTTGCTTCTATTATCATCAGTATTATCAAGAGTACATGATCCCCTCCCCCCCCCCCCAGAGTGTGCATCTCGACTATGGGTACTGTCCCGACAGAATTTCGTTGACGTAGTTTTTATGATGCAATGCGCACTGTACACTTGTTATCAGACGTATCCTGAACCTGTGGTGGACAAAGCCCCATTTAATCCTGTACAAACTATTGTGAAGAAAAACGTGTGATGCGTACAAATGACGTTAGTCACTCGTGCAAGGAGAATTGCATCATAAAAATGACGTCAACTTGAAATTCTGTCGGGTCAGCAGGTACGCGGTAGTTGCACACGCTTGGGTTATGTACTCTTGGTATTATTATTTTATCGCCGTCATGTATTGTGTGAAATCATGATAGGAATAGAAATTGGGACAGTTTAAGAATGTGTTGGCATGTCTTTGCACTTCTGGTGTGCTTAACCCTTTACTGTCCGTACATACAAGCATCGATCCAATGGGATCGATGGGGTAGGCATTTTGAAATTATCGTAACTTGCTCAAATCTAGGTCTTTGGGAGAGATCGAAATATGTAGGTCGAAGAGAAAAGTCTCAGCTGTCGCCTCGAACAATTCCCGAAGCGATACGAAAAGCGGTTGCTGAGTTATCGCACTCGTAATTCTGGTCCCGGGAAATGTGCGTTCAGAGCGCGACGCGCATGTCGACGGCTGGGATTTTCCCTGTTTACGTCACCTGTTGGCAAGGCTACACCGATTCAAATTCAAAAGCAGGTTCCCGGGAGTCTCTACGAAAATATTTGAGCTCGATACGAGCAACAGGGGTGACATGGTGGATTGAGATCGATCTCGAGCGTGAGCTCAGCGCTTTTGCGCGTTCCCCGGCTTGCAGCGCTGGACCAGTGCATCCTGTGGTGCCGAGTGTGGGCTCATTGCGTTCGTCTCGTCAAGACCTTTCCAGGATGCCCAAGATCGTGGAAATCGTCAAATTCAAACCAAAGTTACGTCTAATTTTAGTTTCAGATTTTGTGGTTGCGTGGGCTTGTATACATTTTAATCGGACAGTAAAGGGTTAAAATTCCTGCTTGAATACAAGTTTGACCCACAACGGTGTTTTTGCGCATCCGCTTTATGTGATGATCAGCACTGCTTTTGTGCAACTAAGCGGTATGTTCAACGCTTGATCTTCTGTACACCTTATGCTGTGCCTCTATTGCCTTTCATCAGGACTAAAGTCTGTGCTGAAGGAAGCGATTCAATTAGATGGTGTTTGGTCTCTGTGGCGAGGAATGGTACCAATGCTATGGAGAGATGTACCCTTTTCAGGTTAGCTTGCTATCTTCATGCTATGTCTGGCTGCTGTTCAATTGTTAGTACATGTAGTGCCTTTTTCCAGACATTGCTCCTGTTCTCAGTGTGGTGTAGCAGCCATGTGTTGCACAGTAATAATATTACTGTGCAACACATGGACACAAAAAGCATGATATTATCATGCTGTTTGTGTCAATGCATATTGTATGCGATCTATCACATAATTAATTATTATGATTATTCCTGTAGCAGCTGGAGCTTGTGTCTTGCATTCATCCGCATGGTGATACTGTTCTTTGTCTCATTGTTTTCACGCCCAGCGATCTACTGGTGTTCGTATGAGGTTATGAAGTCGCGTGCTGTTCGTGAAGGTCGGACCATCTCGACTGTGGAGGCATTCACAGCTGGTGCTGCAGCGGGAACGGTACGTCGGGAATAATGCTGCGTTGTGCTCATGCATATAAGATATCGACCGTGTGCACACGTCCCCATGGGCACTTCCATCCCTAAGATGAGTTCAAGTTGATCTGAATGCCAGCATGCACACACATGCACACGCATTACCACACACGCGCACACACACACACCATTGGACCATTGGACGCCCATCGCCGGAGGCGATGATAGCGATGCTACAGCAGAAGCCATAGCAACTTGTGCTGGGATTGCACCATTCAACAGCTTGCAAGGCTGAAGAATTGGCCCCCACTATTCAGCCTGGTCTACACCACACAGCTATGAAGTGGCTTTTTCTGGCCAGTGAATCCCTACTTTTTGGTCTTTTTTATTTTCCCGAATAAAAAAGACCACACACACACACACACACACACACACACACACACACACACACACACACACACACACACACACACACTTGTACTTGCTCACTGCTAAAAAAAATGGTCACGTGGGTCTCCCCGGGAGAGGGGAGAGAGACTCAAAAGGAATCTTGGAAAGATGACTCAATTGGCCATTGAACCACCCAACGGCCGACACCCCCTGAAATCCCCAAACTAGGGTGGACTTGAAATGATCCCACTTATGGGCTCACCACACCTCAGTAAGTGGGTGAGGACAAGGTGCAGAAAAAGGATTGACGGCATCAGGGTATCCGTCCCGGGATCCAACTGCAGGTACCCCTGCCCCCCCCCCCCCCCCCCCCCAGTGAAGGTAATACTTGGTACTAGTGTGGGTGGCTAAATCAGAGTGGATCTGATATAAGCTTCACTAGCACCATTGATTACACAAGAGTTAATCTAGCCAGAAGCAGTCCATGGCTAACAGGTATGTATACTTCAAATAGAAAGTATATGAACCCTGAAACCAACACACACGCACACACACACACACACACACACACACACACACACACACACACACACACACACACACACACACACACACACACACACTGAACTCAGTTACACAGTTACTAGTACACTGAACACTTTAGCACGGAAATCACTGATGGTATGGTAGTTGTTCATGTAGTGTGACCATTTGCATGAATGCATACCGACAATATATGCACCGATAGTTATCATTATTTTACCACATTCAACTTTAAGATCATACTCAATGAAATCCTCCTCTCCTGGAACTCATTCTTGTGCTGTATATAGACTGCAGCCATTCTCACAAACCCGTTTGATGTTGTCAAGACCTATTGGCAAGTTGAAGTTGGGGACAGGCGGTGCAAAGGTAAGGATGCGAGTGAATCATGAATATTTCTCGGCGCCACTACCAGTGCCATGACTGTTCTTGTACTGTTGTGGACCATGGAGTGATGTCAACCTTGACTGGCCTGAGCTCCATCACCTAACCTCCCAAACTCCTGCCATTCCTACACTAGTAGAATACTGTTATATTCTGAAATTGTCTGCTTTTTTGTAATTGCTTTTGACGTGTGCTCACCATTGTCTTCTCTTAGTATTGCTCCTTGGCTCTTGCATGGATTTGTTTTTGATTATTTGTTGTGGTTGTTGCGGTGGCTATGGTCTTTGCTGCTGCATTGTGTCTACTCGTTCTACTTGTGTAGCTGTACCGAAACACCCAGCGCCAACTGTGTCCATGGGTGACTGCATGGGGCGGATTGTGAACGATCATGGTGTCCGTGGATTATTTGTGGGTGAGTGGAACGCACTTTACCTTGTGTAGGCGTGTATGACTAGTGAAAGGCGGTACCTCAAAGTCGAGTATAAAATATGTTTGGCCTGCCGCGTATGTTCTAGTGGTACAGTGCCGGTACATGTGATAGGCATTAGTTAGTCACTTATGCTATATCATGGATATACAAATACCTAGCTTCCATTCTTCTTCGTCCTTCCTGATGATAGTCATAGACCGGCATGTTGAATGAAGAAAAAGAATTTTCAGCCACGATTTGCTCTATGGTCGCTAGTCCAGACGTATACCTGCATATAAAAGCCGGTCTTTAATCCTTCAAGTTAGTATTATAGCAGCTAATGCAAGGGTTATGTTTATGTCTATGTACAGTGAAACCTCGTTAGGAAGAACACTGATAAGACCAATGTTTGCCTAAGAAGAAATAGTATCCGTGACTATTGGATAAAACCCTGTGTATTCACTGGGTAAAACCGGGGTTGCTCCCCACATTAGCAATGCGTGCACATGCTACGAGATTGAGTTTAATAATAATAATAATAAAAACATATGGATAAGAAGAACTCCCGTTATTGCGAACAAATACCATCGGTCCCTTGATGTTCGTCCTAAAGAGGTTTGACTGTATGTGGACACAACGACCTGGCTTGTGTTATGTGCCAAAGTTCCGTCTTGAGCATCATGCGTTTGTTCGAAACCAGATTGTAACCGAATGGCGCCTAGTAGCATGCACTATGATCCGACACACCGCCAAAGACAACAACCGACCGTTCCTTCTTCGTTCTGGGATTCTGTTGAGTAAGAAAAGTGTACGGTATTATATGTGACCAAAAAGATACAGTGAAAGAAAAGCCTAGCAAAGCATTGCAAGCCACGTTGGTTCGGCTGCACGACTTCAGCTGCAAGCTAGTGCAAACATACAGATCGACAATGTTGTGCGGGAACCAAACATCACAACATTTCCAGAAACTAACTTGTTCACACCTACATATAATCATGAGTCCATAACTATGCACGTGTCTGGTTTGTTATGTTAGCAACCTAGAATGCATTGAACACATGGATTCGATCACAAGATCTACGCAAGACGGTACATTAATGCTTACTCTGGTGGGGTGTGAGTTGGTAACCAGGTGTGTTCAGCAGCGTAAACAACAAAAGAAGTGTAATATTTTACATACAGTACTAGTATGCACCGTATACCATAATATAAATTAAATTTACACCCACATGCCGCTTGGTGTCTTGGTTTTCCCAGCTCCGGGGGGGGGGGGGGGCATTGTTCCTTCTTTCTCCTTGCCTCTGCTTTAAAATAGTGTGTATTGTTTCTTGTTTTCGTTTGCGTGTGTGCGCACGTGTCTATGTGTAACGTTTCGTTTTCTGCTTTAGGTCTCGCACCTCGTGTCAGTAAGGTTGCACCAGCATGTGCTATCATGATCAGTAGCTATGAATTCTGCAAAACGTTCTTCCATGAGAGAAACAGCAGTGAGAGGTGAGGCTCGGATGTATCGGTGTCCTGGATAACTCTGGAACCTCTGCGTGCTGCAATGATTGCCCTGCTGCTGCAACAACTTCCCTCGCGGTTCAAGTTCAGTGAAGAGGCAGCGAAGCTGGCCTCTTTTGCCCTTGTTGGAAACAAGGAGGCGGGTTAGTTATTGGAGCAGCACTTCTTCTGACCACTATGTGGTGAACAGAATACCTTGCGGTAATGCCCAACCGCCTACACTTGTGTGCTATGGCACTCTGATTCGCCGGAGTATGCCTTCTAAGCTACTGCAAGTGCTCTGCCATCTGCTTGGCCATGTGCCACCGATGCTCTGCTGATGCGAAGTGGTGAACTATGTGCTACTGGACAGATGTCACCCAGTCGCTTTACTTCAGGTGTTGTCAGCCATCGATGGCACCAATGATAAGCAGACTTCTTATGTGTACATGGCTGTACTGTTGTTGGAGGTTGTTGGGCGTATTTTTTTTTATTTCCAGAAAGGCAGGAGTCGATGGCTGTCCTGTTCTTTGTCTATTCTTAGTGTGTTGATAACTGTTCCAGTCAACATACATGTGCCGTCTCAGAGTGAATCATTCATGATGCGTCTCAGGCAGGCATGCACCTGATTACCCTCTATCTCCCTCCATCCCCCGTATATCATCTTGTAGGTTATTTTATAGGCGCGGTCGGCACATTCTTCTTTCAAACAAAATTTGTTTTTGTCCATCTGTTTTGTCCCATCTGTTACTATTTATTCTGTGGTATCTGGTATATCAAGAATTCCTGTAAGAATCTGAACTCGGATAATTATAATTCTGTCTGCTGTTTGCATATTAAATAAAAAGGGGTTTGTCAACTGACAACTACCGGTACTTGCATATTGCAAAAGAAAAGGCAGCCATGCTCACACCAGGACATTGCGATGAAGAAACACGAGCACGGGTAAAAAAAATAGTTGGAGTGGTAATGGTAAGATTATGGTAATGCTTACAAACAACAGCATGCAATGCATCATAACTTAGAATTCATGGGAGGAAGAAGTCATGTGTAGTATTATGTACAGCGCAATTCTTCCATTTTGTACAGTGATGTAGCTATATTACACAACACAAAAAAATACTGTATATACAGGGTTACCACTATTTACACTTGCAGCACGTATTGAGTATTTACATCCCTAATAAACAAATACAAGCACCGTCGATGTAGAGGAGAATACCGATATAAAATCACATTACTCCAGAGTCGAGAAAACTTCAAAAAAAGCCCACAATAACAGCATGGAACATGTTAGCACATACACTGCTATGAGCCTATCAGCACTGCATAAGTACCACCTGCACAAGATTGTACTTCCAGTACGAACTAGATGCTTTGTGATGAGGCAGAGGACCCAGTGTGAAACACATGTGTACGTGGACAAGACCAGGCGTCCGTTACGTCGAACAAAGATAATAATTATTATATACAGCAACCGTAGCAAAGCGTTGGAAGACAAGTCCAAGACAAATGCGTCAGCAAAGCAATGTACAGCGAAGATGGGTCGGGTGAATGGATTCGACAACGCCACAAAAATGAAGCGTATTTTTTTGTGGCAAGGTGGGACTCAGTGTTTGCTGGCAGACATGGCTTTAGTCGATGATGATGATGAACTCACGGCTGAGGTGGCTGACCTTGCCGCAGTGGTGCTAGCCACCTTGGATCGGTCTAAGCTGGACTTGTGCTTTGCCTGCTGCAGCACCAATAGTGCTTTGGACGATACTGAGGAGGAGGACAACGATGACCCAAACAGTGGCTTGGACTGGATTTTTAAGCGTTTCTCCCTCTGGTAATCGGCAAAAGCTGCATTGGCCACACAGTAAAAAAAAAACAGTTGAGTGAACACACATGAAGAGAGAGAGAAAACACTGAAGGAGAGGAATTTGAGTGTGGATGCAACTTGCGTGGCTCCGCTCAAAACTGTTGTTGGTGATGTAACTTGTTCAAGTGTACAGTGGGTCACACGTCGTAGCAATCTTTACTATCGATTTTGTATATTTTTCCTTGCCCGTATAAGCAGTCTTCTTCCATTTTCATGACCACCAAAAAGAGTTGGCACTCAAAAGTTAAAGTCATAACATTCAAGAACTGGTAGGGCCTGGCCTCGTAAAGTGGAATCCCAAAAGCCAGAACCCTTTCCCGTCCTGACCTTGTCATCATGCTCCACAATCAAGAAATTGGATTCCATGGAGGCGCATCCACTACAAACATAGTTTAGGTGAGATGAACCCTATCTTTGCTACATTGTAGTCAGCAATCTTAGAACTAAGGAAAAGGCATTAGGGTGCGCAGAGACGATGCATTCTCCTCGCTCCGGCTTGATATTTCACAACTCAGGTGGGAAACGGGAACCCATACGGGACTTTGACTCATCCATAACATACATATGCACCTCCCAAACCCAGCATTCCAGTTGGCACTACACCTCATAACGTGCCATTCCGCTAGCACTATTTACATGCACATTGTGAATGTAACTGAGCATGAACCTTTGCCAAACACAAACCTACAGCTGTGCATGACACTTAGACTAGAGCCTGGGTGGCATGTAATATATGGACGTACACGGGCGTTGGTGCTTGAAGGCCACTGCTTTGGCCTGCTTGCGGTCTTCCTCTGACTCTGGTAGCAGCGCAACAGACATAGATCCCTTGGCTAAGAGTTCTCTATCTGACGCGTCTCTCGCCGACAGACTTCGTTTCTCACCCTGAGCGTGTGACAAGGCAAACGACACAGGCACAACACCATTACAAACATGAAGGAAGCGTAGCATAGCACCATCACCATAGAAAACTGATCGAAGCAAACTACCCAACACACCCAAACGCTAATAGGTCTCAGAACAAGCGATGTGATGAAGTAAATGGGAACTCATTATCACAAAGTAATCCTAAAGGTAAAGGACATGTCTGGGACTCCAGGTGTGCTACCTTTCCTGTTGAGTTCTGACCAACACCATCCATCACTTTCTTGCACAAAAAGATTGCTCAATCATGTTTCAAATCTTACTCGAAACTTGCGCCTGGCAAGCTGATTGAGCGCGTAGTCATCCTTCTTGATTTCTTGACTGGCCTGAACGGGGATAAGAACCAAAGCAAGACCGACATACAAGTGGAATTGCTCCAGTATTAGGCGAACATACGTAACATAAATCGATTGGTGGACACCTTGCTATCAAATACATGTACAGTGGAATGTTTCATTTCAGACCAAGAGAAGGCCTATCCATGATGAATACTAGTACAGGATAAAGTATGTGCACAACTAAAGTTAGATTGGGAGTAGCAGAGATAGAACAAAAAGTCCAGAATACGGAGGTGTCCTTTGCTGAGAGATGTCTTGAAACAGACGTTCTACCGATGTACAACTTCTCCGCCATTCAATGACCGCGATCTCGGTGGTAAGTTGCAAACAGACTTGATCAGCCTACAGGTGTGCTATAGAGCGATACACCATGGCTGATCACACAGCGGATTTCTGCCAAAATTACTTACCTGTAGCTCAGCAATGCGAGGTTTGTTCGCCTGCGCTTTCTTAGCGTCAGTTGTGCCATGCTCCAGACGATACATTGGATCAGATGCCAGCCGCTTTTTCGCCTCCGAATCTAATAGAGCGTAGCCATGAGGTAAGAACAAGCATAATAACAGCAGCAACAAAACACACACGGTGTGTGAAACAAGTAAAGTGCAGTGTGACTGTGGAGAAGCTTCCTGAATTCCCAGTCAGCAAGGCCAGACTGGGGATGCGGTAATGAGTTACTGCAATTGTGCTCACAGCTCACTAAAGCCACAAACCCTTGCTCAGAGTCGGCAAAGTCTGACCCAGGCTATATGATGGAAAGAGAAATCCAGTCACTAGAGGCATAACTTACTATCACATACAGAGTACATGGGTGATACCTGTACACGTTGCCAAGTCACAGTGTAGTGCTGGCTACAATCCAGCTCTGCTTTACACAGGACTTGGGAATTTCATTGGCCATTACTGTACACATTGTTCTTCATTAGTTCGCTGACAGAACAGGCAAGTGCTGGACAACAAGCCAGAGGTACCAGATAAGACACTTGCATCGCATGTACTGGCACTGGAGCTGTCCAGGAAAGACCACATACCTGTTGCCTCTACCGTCTCAGTGTCCTTCGAATCCCAGCGTTCTTCCTTGCGTGTTGCACCACTCACAATGACATACTCCATATTCTGCAAGGAAAACAAAATACAGTCAAGACGCATCGGTACCAGAGTCAGTTTGCCTCTGAACAAAGACCTCTCGGGATGCGAGTTGCGGACAGTAAGACATTCTCTAGTCCGTGGCAATCTCAACTCAAGTTCTTGTATGAAGTACTGAGTACAGGGTACTCTCACAACTCTGCTTGTCTAACGATTGCAGCACATACATGTGGTCCAAAGAAGCCCTGTACACACCTTGGGATCCGTTTCAATTTCAAAGTGGTTATCGCAAAGGTGGCATTTCATGCGAAACCGGTAAATCGGCGTGGTATAGTAGTTGCCAACTTTCCGCTTCTCTGAATTGTACCGAACACCTGCATATGTACGTCAGAACAAGATAACGCACGACAAGACAATGCATGACTACACCACCTGGTAACAGCACAGATCACACCAGCTCCAGCCAACGATATCCAGCCCTTACATCCCTGACAAGGGGCAACACATCAGTGGCAACAGCTGGGCTTCAAAAGGGAATCAAGAAGAGTGCTTCCACCAAATTGACATAGCTTCCACTCTAACTCACATGGTTACCACTCAGCTGCACATGTGCAATCAAGTGCTCTGGACTGTCTACGATAGGAGAGCAGAAGATTCGTCTTCTTTGAGGGTAAACAAAAAGGTTTCGCTCAAAGGACGGTGCTGCTCAATGAAAATCGATTGGGCGAGACAACTAGCTCTGGACAGCACTCACAATGCAGCTTCGCCTACGTTTTCGATACCGCTGGCCATTTCATTCATTGTGTGCTGCACACAGTCTCACAGCACAGAGTACACGTTATCGTATTTTCAGGGTCAGAACCGCACCCCTCCCCATAGGAAGAAAATGTTAAATTCCAGTTCGTTTTTGTTCGCGCAAATGCAGATGGTTTAGAGTGGGGTAGAGTGGGGTAGAGTGCTTGGCAGCATAACTTACCCATTCCAACATGTTTGCCACAACCACCACACCAAATATTGTAGGGCAACTCAAACCTGAACACCAAAAAGACAGGCAAAAGTAGAAGGCGGGAATAACATAACATCGATCATGAAGTGTGCGTGTGCATGCGTGAGTGTGTGTGAGTGTGCGTGTGCATGCGTGAGTGTGTGTGAGTGTGTGTGTGTGAGTGTGTGTGAGTGTGTGTGAGTGTGTGTACCATGCATGTCACCATAGTCACATCTCTGTGCATCCTAAGAGACATCAGAACACTCTCAGAACACTCTCAGAGATCTCGAGGGCATCATACAACAGCCTCTAGCCTAGGTGAGAAGTCAGCAGATCATTATTAGACTCGCCATTGTCTAGCAAAAGCTTCTATTGCTGTACAGTAAAACCGGGTTTAAGCGACCACCCCACGGTGCAAGCAAAAGCGGTCGTTAAAGCCAGGTGGTCTTAGGGCATGTTAGATTGGTAGGATCGGGATCCCGATCCACCGGATCCACTGGATTCGCACCCTTTCGATTGGTCGAATCCGGATCCGGATCCTTCGGATTCGGATCCGGTCAATCCACCTCGGGGAGCAGGGTTGACCGGATCCAAATGTAACCTTTGTGCGTATATGGTGGGTAAAAATCAATCGTTTTGTACGCATTGTGGTACGCACAGGCATTGGCGGATAATGCTCGAAAAGGTGGCAGATTCTGCTCGAAAAGCAGTGAAATTGGCAGAACCATACAAACCTTATGGCGGGCAATTACTCGAATTCTGCTCCATTTCTTTATCCACATACCAAACATGCATGAAACTTACCAGAAAAAGTACCGAATTCTGCCAATTTTTCTGCCGGCATTATCCGCAAAGACCTAGTACACACACGTGGATCGAGATAGAGCTTGCTGATTTTTTGTACAACTGGCGCGGTGAGTACGACTTTTTATTACTTCGTCAACATGGCAACAGTCAAGGCCAAAAAAAAGTGTCCAGTTGACTCTGAAGGATCCGACGGATCTGAGATCTGGATCCCGATCCTTACCAATCGAACATGCCCTTAGAACCAGGTCCCACAGTTTCTGTGTAGAACTGTCCGTGCATGAAAAAACGGTCGTTAAGAGCACGTGGTAGCTAAACCCAGAGGTCGCTTACACCAGGTTTTACTGTATACACAATAACACAAAGTGTGCCATTAATGGGATCAAAGTCAAAGGGGCATGCTGTCTGGAATGAGCACCACGGTACATGTACTTTAATGACAACAATGGGATACTGACATAATAGTATAGGGATCAGGGGGGGGGGGGGAGGATAGCATCATGGTTTCGCGGTGGAAAATCTGGTCTCATGACCATTGACGTTGCAGATCCTGCTGCAGGCGAAATCTTTCGCCACACATGCAACAGAACTTGAATAGCAGCCACTCATTCACTGTTGGCCGCTTGCCGAGCGTACAATTTTATATGCTGTTTCTGATCTGCGTGTGGATCAGAAACAGCGTTCAGATGACGGAATGCACAAGACTATTTCTATTGAAGCACCAGGTGAAGTGCAGGGCCGACCAAGTTTGATGGCTGCTGGGAAGATGATGTGGGAGAGCACTTGTGCACCTTGAGCCAACCAGTACTTCTGACCCATTCATCACAGTGAGTGGTAACAATACTTTGCACCAGGCTGCTGACAGATAAGAAGTTGACAGGTCGAATTGCACTCATGCCGCTTGTACCCAGACATACTGAGACGGCGGTTACAAACATTGTAGTATTGTAGTGCACAGTCGGATTAGATGACAGAGATGGCAAAACATCAGCCACACACAATCTCCACAATGGTCGATCCTGGGCTGTAGTGGAGCGTGAAGTGTGCAGGGAACGTACGTCATGATGGACATGGTCCTTGAGCCGAAGGTGCAGACCTTCTGCCGGACGAGCCTTACCAAAACAGCCAAACAACAGCTGCTCGGCTTGCCTGGTATCAAGCATGCGAGCAGTATGCCCAAGCCACTCCATGCACTGCTTGTGAATGCTGTTGGACAACTCTGGCTTTCCCAAATTCGCCTCAACTCCTCATTTGGTACCACAGAGGATTAGCACACAGACACACACCTTGAACCTTAAACGTGCCCATTGCCGATGGCAATGATAGCGAAGGGACTATCTGCTAGCTTTGCAGTACGGAGCGTGGCGCTTGAGATCCCCAGGACGACGGCAGACCACACCTTGGTCCTTGGTAACACTGCCATCAAATGGTCACGTGTCCCCTGTGCAGGGGTCGACAGCACTGAGTTCAGCATTGGATCCAGAAACGCCGCTCTACTTCCTGGACAGGAAATTAGCACAGCTATGCAGGTCGAAACCACGGGATGACTTGCAGCAGCGACCGCAGCCGAGACAATGCGCTCTGCAGCAGGGCAGGGCAACCCGCTGTTTCCGGACCGAGTCTGCCGATGCCACAGCCGAGACCGACGCCACTTCAGCAGCCGAGTTGGAGAGACACTTATGCGAAGCTAGCCCACCAGCACTCAAGAACCATTTCCCGCACGCATTACATAGTCGGCTGCCGGACTGCTCAGATATGGGCTTCCTCCTCTCGGCCAGGCACTTGTGGCGATTCTTGTATTTCTGGTGGGCGAAAGTATGCTGGCAGACATCGCAGAGCACAGAAGTGTCACGCTGAGCCGATCGCGGTACTGGTTGAGCGGAATACGCACTGCGCCATTTCCCACGCTCCTGGGCGAGGTCGTACCATTCCGTGTGGTCGATGTTCACTGCGGAGAGGTCAGCTCTGACAGAGTCTCGCCCCCGTTTCCGAGGACCGCAAGCCGGCCTAGGCGGAAGGAGCGCACCAAACAGGAGCTGGCGCGGAGTTCTATCGCCGTCCATCCTAGCTAGATGGCCTAGCCACTCCAGACGGCGGCGAAGAACACGTGTGGTAATATCCACTGGATCTTGACAATTCCAGGCCTCCAGAATGGTCTTCCTGTTGATGTGGAAGTCCCAGGTGTCTCTTCTACCGAGGGCTAAGACTGCGAAAATGCAGCGAAGATGGAAGGCGGACAGCGCCGCTAGCTCGCTTTTCAGGGGTACCCAACACTCCGCTCCGTAAAGGAGAAGAGAAGCCACACATGCATCATACACCATTCGCTTCGTTGCCAGTGAAAGATCGCCATCATCAAAGACAGATCGATGCAATGCTCCGAATGCCCTAGATGCTGACGCTATTCGGGACCGAGTGTCCACTGCGGTGCGGCCACCAGTATGGATGATGGAGCCTAGGTAGCGAAAGTCATGCACATTCTAGACAATTTCCCCGCCAACCACCAATGGACGACGATCCTCCGGAGAAATGCCGAAACCGACCGCCATTACTTTGGTTTTTGATAGGTTGATGGTGAGGCCGAAGCGAGTTGCGACGTCCATGAACCGGCTGAGCGCAAGTGTGGCACCATGGTGAGTTGTAGCAATAAGTGCCGAATCGTCTGCGAATTGACAGTCACGATGGATGTTGATTGTGTCAGTCTTCTGGCGTTTGAAAAGGAGAGACGGTCCAGAGTTAGAGGAGACGGGAAGTCCAATCTCAGGTATGTCCGCAACCTCACGCTGCCACAGCTGGAATACTGCCCACATGAATATATTGAACAATACTGGGGCCATACAACAACCATAGTCTTGTTGCCGCCAGGTTTAGGCTCGGCAGGGTCCTGTGGAAACCGCGGAAATCTACAAAGAGAGTACGATTTGCAGTGCATAATCTGCCCGCAGTGGTTTCGACAGATGCTGAGGGAAACCACCGGAGGAAGGTTGACGACTACCAGGAAAACATCAGACCACACACACACACACACACACACACACACACACACACACACACACACACACACACACACACACACACACGCGCATATAAACATACACACATGTACGGACACAGTGACACAGTGCAGTATACAAATACCTGATTATCATGACACCTTCATGCATCTTTCGTGCACGATCCCGCAGCGGGTGAGAGTTGCGATACTTGTTGATGGAGCCCTGGGACAAATGCAGTATAAACGCCACACACACACACACACACACACACACACACACACACACACACACACACACACACACACACACACACACACGCGCGCATATAAACCCACACCCACCCGCATGTGCGCATACACGCACACCCGCGGCACAATGATTCAGCAAGCTAGGCCTTTGGATACAAACCAACACAAAATAGTCTCAGCTCATCGGCATACCATTTCTGGCCTCCATTCTGGAGGGTAGTACTTGTTGACTGTCTTCCTCTCCGCCTGTATGCCAGCAAAACGGCACAAACACGCACATGTACATATGCACACACGCGCCCGCGCGCACATACATACGCACACATACATATACAGAAATACAAAACAGCTTGGGATATTTCTTGAACAGCTCAGCCTTGGCAAAACTCAGTAGAGTACCATTTTGTTGTCTTCAAGCTGCCAATAATGGAGAGGGAGAATGTGACTTATCCAGACTCGAGTTGTCAGATGATTACATGCCTCGAAGTCTGAAAGGCAACAGCAAAGTGCACCAGTCCTCCAAACACACAACGATTTCTTTCAAAGACTTCTGATCCGAAATTCTAACATTAGTTAGGTGACTTTATGGACTGTCCCTTGACATCTTTTCAATCTACCAAATCACAAAAGCCTTGAAGTAACGTGTTATAATACTTCGCGTCTCGATCGTAGTTCGCTGAATGAAAACGTTGCACTGATACTTTGATAGGTCAAACAAACAATTGTCCAAACTCAAAAGTCACAAACTCACAACAACACAGAACAGCTTTAATTGGAATTACGTCATTCTACACGAATTTTGAAAACGAAGTTCTTTCGATGACGTGACGTAATATTCTGAATTTTCTGCTTTGAGTTTGAACCAGAGAGTCGTAAAATACGTATTTTACGACTCCCTGCTTTGAACAAAGCTCGTTCGATCTCTTCGAAAATGAAATTTGACTTTGGATTCACTGCACTACAGTAGCACTGCATCTATCCCGGCCCTTTCTTGAACTAACTTGAACAGAGAACAGTCGCAAACTGAAGGATTTTGTTGGGTGGGTGTAGTGTTAGACGTATACGTTGGCACATTTTCCTAAGGCCAAGGGTGCGCTTTGGCACATTGGAGGAATAATTATCAAGGCTACTTTTATTTCGGAGTTACAGCTGAGGAGCGATTATGCTTTCAGATTTGATAATTTGCTGGTAAGTCAGTGACGACTTGTGCAATTGTGGGCATACATGATTGTAATCAACGACAGTTACGTACAGCAGTTCATCTTCCCTTTTGGGCCAGTTTGTTGCACAATTATTTGATTCACACAACGTCACTACATGTGCTGTAGTGGTCACTCTGACTGCCTCGTTGCATCTGCATCCGAACTTGATCTATTCAGCCAGGAAAGAATTTCTCTTTTGGTGATTTGCCTACTAAATGAGAGAGAAGAAAATGTACCCATCGAGTTCACCGATTCATTTACTAGTGGGAAAAGGACGACAGTGTTATACATGTACCACCCCATGATTTTTGTATCGAATGAAGTCATTGAAAAGGACAAATCACAATGGACACATTCAATTATACTCATTTCCGTCCATTTTTGACTTCTCTATGACGTGTTTCCCGTTTGATCACACAGATAATTCCGTCTGTAGAATCGATGGAATGGAATCCCATTTCACTGATATCGATGTGAAATTGTGAAGGCAGAATTTCTAAATCGCCCACCAGACATGGGGTGTATACTCTCTCGATACCACTCATATTTGCTGCATGCATACAGTCATAATTATAGGAGATCTCTTCCACGGCTTCGTGAATGGATCATCCCAGTGAATTCCTTTTCGCTGACATGGCCATAATCCGCAAAGTCTGATCCTTCTAAAAATATTCAAACCTGGATCGAGAATGTGTAGTCGAATGCGTCCATTGTGTTATCTCTAAGGGGACATCTTTTTTTGATTTACAAGTCACTGCTTTTCTTTAGATAGCTGCGTTCTTTTTTTCCACCCCTAGTAATATTAACTTCAACTTTCCTTTACTGGCTCTACCAGGCGTTTGGGGCTGGTAAAAGTCAGTAGAGCTACAGGAATGGAGCCATTTCCCATATTAAATCATACAACGTACTGTACATGTTGCAAAGATAGGTTCAAGCACTGGGACTGCCATGGCGAAGTTGGCTGATTTGAATCTGAAAGTAGGGCACTGTTTTACGTTCGAACTCTTAGGGCATGTTCGATTGGTAGGACCGGGATCCAGATCAACCGGATCCACTGGACTCGCACCCTTTCGATTGGTCGAATCTGGATCCGGATCCTTTGGATTTGGATCCGGTCGACCCACCTCGCACTAACCAGCGCTTTGGCCGAGTGGTTGTGGGCTCGCCTGCGAATCACAACGACACAAGGTCCCGAGTTCGAGACCCGCGCCGGGAGCAGGGAACGTGTACTGTGCTAACAAATGCGGTGATTCATGCATAAACCACTTTACATGCAGTGAACTGCGCCGACACCCACGGTCAACTTGGTACTCACTACTCGGAGTGAGGGTAACATGGAATCAGCTAACGAGGTGTTTGCCCCTTTGTCGGGCATTGGTTGTGAGACTTACCACCTCACCCTCGCCGTTATAAGCTGCATCTGCCACCCTGGTGTCACAGGCATGGTGGTGTCCTGGCACATGCGAAACTTCCTGGGCTGGTTGTATTTCTCAATACAATTGTATAGCCGGTTGTAACGCGGACGTGCAAACTTTACTTTACTTTGCAACCCACCCCGGGGAGCAGGGTTGACCGGATCCAACAGATCCAAATGCGACCTTTGTGCGTATATGGCGGGTAAAAATCGTTTTTGTACACATTGTGGTACGCACACATGATGTGGATCGAGATACTCTTGTTGACTTTTCGTACGACGTGCACAATGAGTACGACTTTCACCCTTTTGGGTGACCTGTGAGCACCATTTTATTACTTTGTCAACATGGCAACAGTCAAGGTCCAAAATAAAGTGTTCAGTTGACTCTGTAGGATCCGACGGATCTGAGATCTGGATCCCGATCCTACCAATCGAACATGCCCCAAGACATGCCGCACCTCATTGTTTAGGGCAGGGCATAACACCCACCCCTAAAAATAAAATAAATTAGTGGTGTGCACGGGTAATCGGGTACCCGTGCTACCCGTGAGGACCTCGGGTAGACGGGTACAGAATACTAGTAGTACCCGAAAACCCGAAGCCGCAGATGACATCATGTACAGTGCACGTGTGCTAATTCATGCAATACTCTTCATGCCTACCCAGTGTGTAAGGGAAGGGGTGCATTGTGGTGTTACCATGGAAACATTACCCGACCGGGTACCCGTGCTACCCGTGGAAAACTACCCGAACCCGATACCCGAAGAAAATGCTACCCGACTCAGCCCTAAAAATAATAATTTCAAATCCACATCATGTACACATACATGTACATCACATGTTTACCATAATACCCCATTTTGTGGGGCATGGCGCCCCTGCGCCAGGACCAGCTCGTTGCCTACTAGTACTACACTAATACTAGTGTGGATGGGATTGGTGTATAATCACTACGTGCAATGTGTTGTCTGTGTGTGCTGTTTGCGTCTGATTTTGCGGACAGTACGTTGTTGGTCAACGCTGGTGCTGTACTCAACTTCAAGCTGTGAGTTATTTCTTTGTGTCATGGAGTGATTGGATTTGTACTACTGTAAATCAACTGATTTTCAAGAATGGACTCAGATAGAGAGCCAAGGATAAATTTATTTATAGAAAAGAAAAGGACCAAGAAACTATCAGTTACGCTTATATTATCCACTAACACCACCAGTTTCTAAACAATCATCAGCTCATGCGATAACATTGCACGACACTGACGGACGGTACTGACATTCTACAACTAACTGGCTATCTGCTCCAGCACATCTTGGATGCGCACTCCACCACTGAACAGCCTTCCAACTTAGAAAGTTCTTAAGTTATATGATACCGTAGGAGGGGAAGGTAAGCGCAACCAAGACAAGCACGAGGTGAAAGTCTCAGCTATGAAAGACCTGGTAGTTCATTGGTCCTTTTCTTTTCTATCAACTGATTTCGCTGATTTCGCCGCTTGGTGCCAACCAACCAACGTAAACTGCAGGCCAAAGTCTGTCATAGAGGCAAAGGATGCTAGATTGAACCCCAATCGGCCAAAGTTTGATCGCGACCAAAAGTTTCATTTCGAGATCGGCCAAAGTTTCTCACCCGCCAAAATTAATTTTGTTGATTTACGGTATTGTTGGATATGGCCAGAGTTAGTGTTTACTGACGTTTTCTTGCAATGCGTTGCTCAATACCGTAAACACCGGGCCATTTTAGTATTGACATACATAGAAATACCTGGTTTGAATAGAAGCCTGCTGGGAATATAAGCCTAGCCCTGACATCGTCTTCTACAGGAATAAGCCCGGCTTTAACACGCGACATTACGGTAAATTGGGCATCAAACCTGTGACTTCATGTTTGGAATGCCAATACTCTAACCATTTTGCCAACCATTTTACCTTAGCTAATCTAGTAGAAATCTAGCAAACCTGAATTCCTGTTCATTGTTATTATGCTCCAAAGTGGCGTGATCGCCCATGCAATTGTTTTGGTCAATTGATTTTTGATTATTTGCCACTCAGAATCTCTCCTTTTTCTCTCTGCATAGGAAACGGAAAGGACCGGATTCTGGTTTTGGTGAAGAGGTTGAAGGCGAGGAATCATTTGGTAAGGAGTCATCCATAGTTATCAATGTTTTTATTTCACGAAATGTTGTTAATGTTGGAGCGGTCTCTGCTGGGATGACAGCTACACCATAGCCCAGTCAGTGGTTAGAGCATCGCTGACCTCAAGCAAAGGTCCCTGGTTCGAGTCCTGGTAGTGGCAGTCAATTTTTCTGCAGACTTTTTCCTTTTTCAATTTCTTCAACTAGTGAATAATTCACTAATAACTGAGTAACGAGAGAGCTTGGAAGCTCAGGGCCCTACGCTATGCTTTTATGCTTTTTTGCCTAGCTCATCGTACATGTTATAAGAACTGAGGCAAAAGTATTTGCAGAATTTATTGCGGATTGTTATTTCTCTAATAATCATCTTCTTTTGGTTTGCTCCTTCTTTTCTTTTTATCTCCTTATACTGTAAATCAACAAATTTTGGCTGATGAGAAATAGAAACCTCTCTATTAGAGAGGTTAAGATGCACGTTATTTCCGACGTGACGCGCAATTTCACGTCAAATTTGAAATCGATAGGTATTTTTCCTTTCACATGCATCCATTGCTCAAAAATGCATCAATTTCCTATATGACAAACTTTGGCCTGTGATTTACTTTGGCCGGTTGGTACCAAGCGGCGAAATCAGCGAAATTAAATCGCCAGCGAAAATTAGTTGATTTTAATACAGTAATCGGATTTTCTGGCCTTTTTGTAGTAATACATGTACATTGACCTGTTGAGCCAATGACGACGCCGAATGCATGGTTGCCTGTGGAGCACATTACATAACTTAGCAGTCTCCTAAAATACGTATCCTGTCCGACGGCAAAAGAGTCTGCAGATTTAGTTTTTCTGCGCGTCGACGGGATGTCTGCGACGCGAAAGTTCAGCTCGCGTTATTTGGCTCGCACGTCGAAAAATCAACGCGAGTGACCTGCTGCTCACGTGGAAATTTGGACATTACATAACTTTACAGTCTCCTATAATACGTATCCTGTCCGACCGCAAAAGAGGCTGCAGATTTAGTTTTTCTGCGCGTCGACGGGATGTCTGTCCTGACGTTCACTGGGACCGGCGCTGACTTTGCCGATCACGGGCGTTCTGGACTCGACAGGATGTCTGTCCTGACGTTTCCTGGGACCGGCGCTGACTCTGCCGATCACGGGCGTTCTGGACTCAACGGGATGTCTGTCCAGACGTTGCCTGGGACCGGTGGACTCTGCCGATCACGGGCGTTCTGGAGTCGACGGGATCTCTCTTCCGACGTTTCCTGTGACCGGCGCTGAATCGCTCGTTCACGCTTATTTTGGAGACGACGCGATCTCTCTTTCAAAATACATGTATGTTTATGCTGACGCTGTTTATGCTGACGCATCCTATCACCTATTCGGCGTCTATTCTAATTTAATTTCCTCCTCGTCTCCCTATTTCTTTCCAAATCTCCCTCTACATCAGGGAGTCGTATACATAATACGACGAATATTGGTACGGTACGGGACAGATACAGGAGCCCGCAAATATTGTGGACAGCTGTTATGTACAATCCTGTAGAGCCTTTGTAGTCATAGATACGGGACAGATACGGGACAGTTACGGGATAGCGCCAGGCGTGACACAAACAAACAAACAAACACACAAACAAACAAATACCAAATTAAAGCTGTGTGGACCCTGGCTAGCGCCAGACGTTACTGAAGTAACGTCTTCTGCATAGCTACGGGAATAAGTTCATTTATGGTGATTGACCAGACCAGTTTTGTTTTGAATAATATCAAGAGTATATTAAAGAGCGTGCAACTCCTAATACCCTTTCTATGGGGTTCGCCGACACCGATGGCGAAAACTCACATCACGTGGTGTAGTGTTCCAGGGAAAGGAAAGTCGTATGGCAGAGTGCAACGAAGTTTGTACGGTGTGAGAACCTTATTGTACTAAGGTCACACTTAGCAGGTTTTTGTGTGGAGCTTGTGTCCCCGCTCGAAGGTACGGATTGACTGCAAAACGTGCAATATGTGCACAAGGTTCGTGTCGTATGACCTACAGGTAGCAGACCACCTCCACAATGCGACCTTGAAAGGACGAGATGGTGGGGCACTCTCGTGGTACTTTACGTTACTGGTACTTTTTAAAAACAAATATCTACTTTTCTCCCGTCTCTCTCTCTCTTTCTCTCCTGCAGGTGACCGGGTACGAGAGTTTCTTTTGAACCTACGCTACTTCCGGATATTCATTGCGCTGTGGAATGTTCTAGTAATGCTGGGCATGATCCTGTAAGTGAATGGCCTGCCGTATATCCTACAATTCTAAGATTATTCGGAGATTGACTGGAGACTTTTTCTTTGCTAATACTGTACTGTAGTATTGACCACGCGGTATGAACCTCTGGTCAGGTGAAGTTCAACTTGCTGGAGACCATGTCAGCATGTTTTTGGAGCTTCTTGACTTTCAAGTATGCAGGGATCTAAAGCATGTCCGGTACCTATGTTCCCTGTGCACATGGCAAAAGTGGTCTTTGAGGCGGATAACGAAAGCGACTTCTCACGTCCAAAACCAAGAGGTGGAGGGGTTACCCCTTCAAGTCTTGTTAGGCATTATGCTGGTTTTACCATGCTGTTCAAAAGTTGGGCGTGGTAGGTGCTAGGTACACCATGTAGACCAGAACACACTCCGTAGTATTTTTGCGGTGTTTTCTTGTTCTTGCAATTTATTGCCTTTCGGTGCCGGTGCATGTGTTTCCATTGCCTGGATGCTTGTGTAGATTCTTCGGGAGCTAACGCATCGATCAGCGCACCATCAGTTGTCTGTTGAAGAGTGTACAGCACTACGCCGAATCTGCCAGCGCACTTCTTCAGGTTACTGTAGCCAGCTAAAAGCTACTACAATTATTGTGCACTGTATGCACACCAGCGGCTGGAATCCTCCGAATGCTACCGGTGTCAGTTTATCAAGACAAGAAGTGTACTCCATGTGACAGTGGATGATAGTGGTTTTGCTTCTGAAACACCTGGGAACCTGGTATGTTCTGATTTCAGATTTGGCAAAGGCCATTCTTGAGGCTCATCGTTGCTTGCTTAAACAGCTGGTTGCCTCTGTGTGCACAGGCACGGATTGAACATCTGTACTAAACACCGTGTGTAAAATTTATCTCCCTGATCCCTCTACACTCAGGGTCATTGCGTTTTATCATGGATTATTTTCATGCACTTGAATCTGATTCATTGTGTTCAGTGTCAGCACAATGACTTTGCACTACAATCATGAAGCTTCCTTCTACCTCCAATGACATATATTTTGGACAGATAACTTGTAATAAGTACACTCATGCCTCCAGACACCTAAATTACGTGCACGTTGATCTACGAGGCACACTTTGGCGAGTTGTAGTGGATTTTTCCAAGGGTACATAAGCTCCCCAGAGTGTGCTGCCCTGGATGCCCTTTTTATGGGGTCCACCGAAGGCGAAAACTCACATCACGTGGTGTAGCGTTTCCGTTGTACGTTCCCAGCCCGTTTTAGCGACCAGTGGAGTAGTATGTACTTTTGCTACTACATTCATGTCTTTATTACAGCGATTTAAGGGGAAGTTAAGGTTAAAATCAAAATTTCACCAGTTGTAGTCTTCGGGGTGCTGAGTCGAATGGTCTTGGTCCGAGGAAGCTGAGACGCTCCCTTCCTGCTGTAATCCCAATCGAACTCGTGCACTTCCACCGAAACTGGGTGACTGCTCCCTACTAGATGGGGATTTGTATGCAAAATGTCACTAAAAGCGCCATTTCGTTCTTATAAAAGAACGGATGCCCGCGATTGGCCCATATGTTGTAGTCTTTTGGACGCTGAGTCGACTGGTTTTGGTCCGAAACGGCTGCAATGCAGCGTTCGGCCCTTATTCCCAATCGAACATGGTTGAACAAGCGGTCACGTGCTCCTGCGTACACCAGTCACCTGGTCACCGTGCCTGCAGGGTACAACTTACTAGCCTGTTTGACCTTTTTTGGGTGCAGTCCTGTCACTCGAGTTGAACCTTGATGTGAAAGTAACTAGTTGTCGCCTGCTAGCGCTGTGACCAGGTGACTTGGGCACGCAGGAGCATGTGACCGCTTGTTCAACCATGTTCGATTCGGAATAAAGGAGGAACGCTGCAGCGCAGCTTTCTCGGACCCAAACCAGTCGACTCAGCGTCCAAAAGACTACAACATATGGGCCAATCGCGGTCATCCGTGCTTTTATAAGAACGAAATGGCGCTTTTAGTGACATTTTGCATACAAATCCCCATCTAGTAAGGCGCAGTCACCCAGTTTCGGTGGAAGTGCGCGAGTTCGATTTGGGATTAAAGCAGGAAGGGAGCGTCTCAGCTTCCTCGGACCACGACCATTCGACTCAGCACCCCGAAGACTACAACTGGTGAAATTTTGATTTTAGCCTTAATTTCCCCTTTAATAGTTTAGGGAAGCGGGAATTTATTTTTATTTTATTTATTTATTTATTACAGCATCTCATAGCACAGTGAGAACACCGGCCAATACAAAGAGAGAGGGTGTTAGCCAACCACGGCAAGGAAGGGAGAAGGGAAGGAGAAGAAAAAGGAACTGGCATGGATAAGCAGTGATTGCAGCAAAATGCAAAGAACAAAGATTAATGTCCGCTTCGCTTACCGTATTTTCTCTAATAAAAGCCCAGGTCTCCAATAATAGCCCAGACTCCAATAATGACCCGGGGTGAGGGTGGTTTGAAAAATAAGAGCACAGTCTCTAATAGTAGCGCGGGTCACAATTGGAGTATGCAACAAGTATATTGACTGCATATAAAATAGCAGTACAACATGCCAAGAACATTTTGTAAGGAGGTTTTCGGTCTACTGCTTCCTTCCTGGCGCCAATGCTATTGTGAAATATCTGTTTTGACAATATTCCTGAGTTTAGGGTTGAAAAATCAGTGTTGATATGGTCAGTTTATGCCTGTTTAGACTGGAGTTGGCTTGATAGTTGGCAATTGAAAAAATAAGAGCCCAGTCTCCAATAATAGCCCAGTCTCTAATAGTAGCGCGGTTAGAGCTGTCACTGAAAAAATAAGAACCCCGGGCTCTTATTAGAGAAAATACGGTATACTATTAATCGCTGTAATAAAGTTATTGTCTCCTCGTCACCTATTCATAATAATATTATCTCTTATCCAGACCTCCAAGTTATCATGGTTATGGGCACCTCGGTCTCAGTACCGGGCACGCTGTGGCTGAATTTTAGTGGAAATATTACCAATCTTTTGCCATTTTTTGTTGAAATAGTGATGTCATTATGCATGCCAGATCTCTTGCTCTTTCCCATCACAATGTACCGTATGTGATCCAGAGTTATGGTCATTTACAAGTTCATGATGGGCAGTGCCCGATCCCAGGCTGTTCAGATAAGAGAGAAAAGTGTACTCTTTTGTCATTTTTGTGGAAATAGTGACATCATAATATCTTGCCTTTCAAACTTCCCTCTCAGAACGTGCGATTCAGAGTTGCATTTTTTAAGTAGTTACGGGCAGTGCCTGGTCTCGGACTAGACGGTCCAAATGAACGAGGTATGGTTACCTGGTTACATCGCATGTTATCTCTCAACGCCAAAAACAGCGCATTTCGCCTCACCTGCACAGCTAGCTTTTATAGCACCTACGCGCGGGCCTTAGTTTTCCACTGAGTCTGTGTTCTCTGTTGTTGTTGTTGTTGTTGTCCTCCTCCATTCTATGTAGGCATATGCTTTTTTTTAAATAATAAATAAATAACGTCGTATACACATGTATACGGTCTGAATGAGCATTGTACTTACTGTAAAACCGGAAAGTGTAACAAGTCACAAAGTACCGTTTTAACGACTAATTTTTTCTGTTAGGCCAAACTAAAGAAGGTGTGTGGTTCGACTCACCCGACCGACCGTACAATTTCAGCCCGACCGTAACTTTTTTTCGGCGGGCTGTCGTGTGACTGACGTACGTGGACTGAACACGTCCACGTCTACGTGCTGTGCGGCGTGAGTCTGCGGACGCAGGCGGCTCCTTTTGGACTTGACTTGTAGTTGTACTGCAGTGCAGTGCAGTGAGTGGTACGACTGCTGCCTTGTGCTGGTAGTAGAGTCTACTCGATACGCGTATACAGTGTATTTACATGTACTAAAAAATATATTTAAAAAAACAAAAATCCGCCCGCCCGCCCGTAAAAAAAATGTCCATGTTAGTCGAACCACACACCTTCTTTAGTTTGGCCTTATTTGAAGAAATGTTAAGATGGGCATACAACTGGGTGGTACTTTCTGCACGCTATCATACCAAAATAATTAATTACAAAAACGTCGCTTCTCCTCGATAATTTTGTTCCTAATAGTAATGGCGTAATGCATTATCTGAGCTACGGGAGTCTGGATGCAAAGAAAGTCATTGCAGAAGTGTACAATCATGGTAACGTGTCAGCAAGCAGAGACCCGGTTGCCTGGTACTCGTACTGGTAGATCCGAACGCAGCTCACAGACAGAGTGCAGTGGACCACCACTCACAGTTTGCATGGTTTGGGTCAGGGAGCAGTAAATACCGGTATTTTACTACTCCCTGGTTTGGGCTACCACTACATGTACTAGGTAAAGGCTAAACGGCCGTGTATCACCAACTAACTGCAACTACAACTGAGTCCGTCGATGTAGACACACGTGGGGATGCATTGTTTCCTGCCACTGATTCCGCAATGAAAAATCCTTCCACCCTTCTTCCGCACCACGCAGTTGTGCAGCAGGGGAAAGAATAACACTTTCAAAATTTTGAATACGGGACCCAGCACGTGGAATCTCACAACCAGGATTTACAAAATATGCGATGCCTGAGGTCCATGATCCGTCCGACTCCACAACTACCGGTACCGCGGCGTAGTCTGTAGATCTACCATTGAGTAATGATTGACTGCAGTACAGCAAGAAAAAAAAAGCAACACAAGATTTTCGTTCTTCCCTTGCAGCCACCTGTCGCCTTTGCAGGGTCCTTGCAAAATGCAAGTGCTTGGCAAAGGATTTGAACGACGGCGAATTGTTGTTCGTGACGCAACGGTCAAATCATTACCATAGTAACACGTGATGCACATGCGCATTGTGCGAAGGGGCGAGGCTCCCGACGAGCAGTGTCGCAGGATGACGACGATTGTAGTTTGAGGGACTTGGGAGTATGATGTTGCCGTACTGCCGTTTTTGAGCATGTTATGGCTGTTGATTTGGGCTAGGTAGCCAACAGCTCGTGTCGATGGCGCACAGAAGATGATTAGAAGAACACTCAAACACGCTGTGTCCAAGAAAAAACGGCGGTTCCTTGACCTTGACAATGGATTCGACTTGGACCTCACCTGTATCCTTTTTGCTGCTTTTGTTCAACTTTGTTCTTGACCTTGCTCAGTCTCTTGAGTTTGAGAGTGAAAATGTTCGTATTTTTCTTACTGTTGTACTTGGCATGTAAGAGTGAGTCCAGCTGCTTTCACTCATGGACATTGGTCAACCTGTTGGTCGTAACTGTGCATGTGCTGTCTGTTGTAAATGTCTCCCATTTACATAGTCAATGCGTGGAGATTTGTTTGTGGGGATTTTCTGCTCTTCATTTTTCCTGTCATCCACTCTACTCCTTTTTGTTTGCTTGTACTTCGAGTTGTTGCCCTGGAAGGACATTTCCTTTACTTGCTATGCATCAGACATTACGCCGCAGATTATCGCAATGGGCTTTCCGGCGGAGAAAATCGAAGGCCTTTACAGGAACCACATGGATGAAGTAGTTCGGTAATTTTGCTTGGCGTGACCTCCGTGAACTCAGTTTGTTCCCTACGATGGACGCTTCATGTTCCTGATACGATATTTCTTACTCGTGGGTTGGTTCGTTCCTTGTTTCTGTATCTTGTATTCTAGGTTCTTCGAAGCGAAGCATGCTGACCACTACAAAGTCTATAACTTGTGAGTGGTGGATTGCGTTTGGTCTTCGTTGTTGTTTGTCTCTTTTTTTTACGCTTTCCACAGAAAACTACCTTTGGAGTACTGGATTTGGAGTTGCATGCAGTTTGTTTGGATTCAAACTGTCCCATTACCGATTTGGTGGAGTCAGATCAGTAGGCGTTCATTGCAGTGCTCCTGGCATTTCGTGGATCCTGCTCGCTTTGCTTTGGAAAGTAGTGATAGTGGCAGATGGTTGATGCCTAAACTTGAGCGAGATTACCGACACAGCTGAGCGTCTGTCGTTGGTTCCTCGTTTTTGCTGAAGTTATGGAGGCCTCGACTGTTGGATGCTGCTGTCACGCCTGGCTGGAAATGTCTAGATTGTGGAGTAGAACAAGTCAGGGTGGATGTGATTAGCCCTATGCTCGAGCGCTCCCCGCCGTTCGGATGCCTCAGGTGACTCGTCGAAACGCCGGCCCTCAAACATCACTGCCCGTTCTCTGCAGCTGCTGCTCTGTTGACCGTTTGGATGAGCACAAAACGAGGGCGGAGCGCTAGATAGCCGACCCACCGTTATTGGAGATGTTTGGTATCGATTGCCATCGCTGACACTGCTGTTTCAGTGTTTGGAATTGTGGATGTGTGACCCTGAGTGTTCCTGCCAGTTGTCCACACTTTCATGGATTTGGAAAGCTCGTATCAAGCCTCAGTATCTTTTGTGCTACTGGCCTATTGTAAACTGTGATGCTGAGAAACTTCTTTGCTCCCTGTATCATGGACGTCTGGATCCAGTGACTTCCTGCCAGTATTACTCTGTTTGGTTGCTGCTGACCTGCTGGTCAAAGATTCCCTAATTCGTGCAGTGCATACTGCCCAAATGAAGTTGTAATATAAAATAGATTTAAAAAAAAGTCGAAAACACACTTCGGACAAAGTCCTGCAGTATTTTGTAGCCAGCAGCTGATCTTTGCCATCAACATGGGTAACTTCCTGTTCGATTCCTACTGGCATATTCTCATGTTCCTACCTGTGTCACTGTGAAGTATGGTGCAGTGTTTGCTTGAGCTCCTTGTGTTCCATATGTGTGGTCTCATGCTGTGTATCTCTAGGTGTTCCGAGAGAACGTACGATGCCGGCAAGTTCCATGGAAGAGGTGAGTCAACAGAGAAATGTTCATGGCTGAGCCTTTCAAAACTCCCCTGTCAGTTTGCTTTGTTTCTACCACTACGGATATGGCTACGTAGGGAAACATCTCTTTCACCCCTGTCCACAGCGTAATTTTTGTGTGAAATAACGATTTGCTGATCATCTGAAATTGGCAGCTTGTATTTTCTTTGTCTCTTGATTGAGCTCCTTCCATTTTGTAATCCTTTCTGCAGTTGCTATGTACCAATTTGAGGACCATAACGCACCGCCGTTTGAGTTGATTGAGCCATTCTGCAAGGATGTGCACGATTTCCTGAGCCGGTCGGACGAGAATGTAGCCGTAATCCATTGCAAGGCTGGCAAAGGTCGGACAGGAGTGATGATTTGTGCGTACCTGCTGCATGCTAACATGTTCTCGACCATCCGCGAGTCTCTTGAGTTCTATGGTGAAACGCGTACCCAGAATGCAAAGGTGGGTTTCTTCTTGGTTTTTGCTTGTGTCTGATTGGTACGGCAAATGTATCTTCTATGTAGTCTTTTTCTACCTCCTCATGTAATTGTCTCCCGTTTCGTGTTCCTTTTCCCTTTTGTTGTTGTCAGGGAGTGACCATTCCTAGCCAACGGCGGTATGTGTACTACTATGGTTTCCTTCTCAAGTAAGTGCACTGTGCTGTTTCTCAATTTTCCTGTGCACCTCTGTGTATACTCCGAAGTAGACTTTTTCTGCCTACAAAAGCACCAGTGTAAATCTCAGTGTTCACCCCGATAGAGCTGGCCCTTACTTTCAAGGCTGATCTTTTGATCATATCAGATTTCCGTATCTGTGTTATCAGTACACAGCCTGATTCAGACGATAGTATTATAAAGTGGCACATAAGTTTTTAACGCTATGAATACATAGATTATTGTAAGTTTTTGGTGGCCCTTTACCTTACGTTTGCACATGGACCTGTCCGTCCAATGCGATCTCAATCTGTTTAATACTCGTACATACACATGTTGTTTACATGCTGCTATTCTTTAATACCTGGTTTGGCACTGATCTGTGTTCTGTTTTGACAGGAATAGTCTGGTCTACTCACGGACCACTCTACTGTTGAAGTCGATTATTATTGACGGCATTCCTCAGTATAGCAATGGCTGCCGTAAGTCTTTTTCTCGCTCCCTTCTTGCTCTACTTTTCAACTTTCTCAATCTACGCATGAGCTGATTGTCAAGTAACTGGTGGTGTTAGTGGACATTATAGCGTAACCTGTAGTTCCTTGGTCCTTTTTTTGCTATTAATTCTCCATCTACCGTAACTTTAAAGAGATCGAAATATGTGGGTCAAAAGTCGACTCAAAAGACCACTCTCAGCTGTTGCCTTGCGGATAGGATACCGGTAAGCGGTTTCCTCAGCTGCGGCACTCGTAATTTCAGTCACGGCAAATTTGTCCTCAACAGTCGGGATTTTTTCTGGTTATGTCAGCTTGCGGCTAGGATAAACTTGTTAGTTTGAACTAAGACTAGGTACTCAATACTCATAACTCTCTGTCTCTCTGTCTCTCTCTCTCTCTCTCTCTCTCTCTCTCTCTCTCTCTCTCTCTCTCTCTCCCTCTCTCTCTCTCTGGAATCGAGTTTATGCTGATAAAGTTCCAAGATACCCAAAGCGAGGGCATGGTCCAAGGGAAACCAGGGCATCCATCTCAGGGTAAAAAGCTTGAGTTCCCTGTATACATTAAGAGTTGATCACAATGGGTTGATATTATGCTCATGTGACCACCTTTGCTGTTGTTGTTGTTGTTGTTGTTGTTGTACTACTGTTGTGTGTGCAGCGGCATACGCAGGGTTATACTTGTTGCACACACAGCGGTAGTGAACATGCATCCAGTTTTTAACTTTTATGCAATGTGTGAGTTGTGCATGAACCGCTATCTGGGTATAGTGATCTAGGTTGAAGGACGGCTCAAGGTGGCGGCCAACACAAAACTTTCTTCTGTCTGTATTTCCATGCAGCAATGTGCTTTACGGTGAAGCAATTGAAGGTCAAGATAGCTGTGTCAAAAGTCTATGACGTAAGCTTTGGTTTGGGTCATTTCTTTCTTCTCTGGAACTCTAATTGTTTTATGAATGCACTGTCTGATGGTTCTTTTCGCTTCAAGAGTTATGTCCGAAACTATGTACTGCTGTAGTAGCAATAATATGTTTGCTTCTGGTGCTTGCAGGCGGAGCGACATAGGCGAGGCGACTGTGTGGACATGCCATTAGAGCCTCCAGTACCGGTCTGCGGCGATATCAAGATAGAATTTTTCCATTGTCTTAGATTCAAGAAGGTAATTTCTTTTGGGTACCAACTAGTATCGCTGGCTACATGTTTTGCTTATAGAGAGGTGCCGCGCAACTAAATACGTATATACGTCTACGGAAAGTCTTAGGAACCACGTAGCTGTCCATGGCAACTCCGGGCGCGAAAGTGTACGACCCAGAGAGAGAGAGAGTCATAACTTTTTTCCCAACCCTCTTACGGAGCACCTCCGTTAGTGGAGCCCTGCATACATACTCTACGTGGACAACTTTCCGTACGTGGAGTGAAAACTCGCGAATTCACGGGTTGCTCAACTTAACGTAGCGCAGAACCTCTCTAATATCAGTACAGGGGCATTGGGAACCAGTGGGGGGCAGGTGTGGCCAAAGCATCACCCATAATTTCATCTTGTGATTTTGAAGCAATAAAATATGGGCTCTTTGGGCCCAATTTTCCCAAAAAATTCCCGTGTAGAGCCCCGGACTTCCACCCCTCTGTAGCCGCACCAGTGTTGACGTTCAGAGAGAGGACACAAGACCATAGTAGCCGAAGTGATGTGTGTTTGGAGGTTTTATGTGACCCGTGGTCTATGCAATTGTGGCTGTGTCCTGCTGACCACTGGGGCGACTAGTACGGGTAGCTCGAGAGCGAGGCACACGTCGTTTCACATTTCCGTTGCCTGTGTTGTCTACGACTCCCTGGTAGTCATGTTGAACTTTGCGTAATTCCAGTGATAATACGACACCCAGTTTTCCCATGTTCATGTGTAGATTTACAAGTAGTAGTTACTGTTGTTCTCTGTCCTGGACCAATAAATGCATGCTGTTTAAAGCTGTTCAACTCGTCCTTCTTTTTTTCTTCAGCGAATTGTTGCTCCATTGATGTGGTTTTCTGTTTTATCAATGTTTCGGTAACTACTGCAGGAGAAAATGTTCCACTTCTGGCTAAATACGTTCTTCGTGAACCATGATTGCTTAGTCGACGACTGGGATATGCCTGGAGGTGCGAGTGGACAAGATGACTCCACTAGCACATCCAGTGGTAGTGGCGTTCAGTCATCTGAAAGCAAGAGTAGTGTGGGAGGTGGTATCAGCCCAACTGATAGCAAGCAGAGTGTATCGAGCTCGAATACAGCGTCATCTGCTGGAGAGCCTGCAGCAGCGGCGGCGGCAGCAATGCGACCACTTGTTGCACCTGCCCCCAGGTATGTCACAAGAATCTTCTCGGTGTGTCTACTTTTAGTTTACCAGCAAGTACTAGGCCCTGGCTCTATTGTACTACAGTACTGTCGGTCGCCGAAGAACTGGGGGGTCAGCCTCCTAGCCTAGACCGTTCGTATTTCCATGTACTACAGTCGATGGGCAGTTGAGTCCTCGTGTATACATTGGTATGCTTGCTATGCTTGATGAAATTCTAGCCTGGTCGTTCTTCGGCGCCCGACAGTACTGTAAAGTGGTTGTTTAGATTTCTGTGTATTTCTGCTGTCATTTTAGATTGCTGATGCATTTATTGTGTGTGTGCCACTGTCCTGCCACTTTGTTGTCATTGCCACCATCCACACATAGCGGTCACAGTCGGTTTGGGCGTCGGCGTGGTGGAGCGGGCAAGTAAGTCTTTTTGCCTTGCCATGCCATGTGACACCACTGTGCCCATCACAGCCTCTGTAGTAAGCTACATGCTCTATGCTGTTTGGGCGATGTGCTCATATCATATTGTCATCCATAGATCACGCCTGGTTCTGCTCAGCGCGGATCATGAGAGAGACGGCCTTCTGGTTCGTTCATTTTTTCTTGCCCACTAAAAGCTGCCTGAGGGCAAGAGAGTAGTGTAGACAGAGGCCGATTATGTCCCAGCATTCTTTTACCTTCCATTGTACTTTTCCCATTGGTGTCGCATTGTCCGCTCCTATCTCGAATAGTGGTGAAACAGTTGTACTGAACACCCGAAAACCAAGTTCACTGCAGAATTCAGAGTGTCACTTGCTTATTATGATTGCGGCCTGTAGGGAAGAAGTGGTGATTGTGATCCCGGATCTGCACACCATGTCCTGTAGTGTGCAAGTCGTTTGGCAGTGTTTTTGCATGCTCTGTGCTTGACATGAGCTTGATGTTTGTGCACACCTACACCATGTGCTGCTGTTTAGGTCTGCGGTGAGCGTCCATAGTGAGCTTGGTACAAGTAGCTCTGCAACACATTTACCGTACTACGGTCAGCCCGGCACGCATATTGTATGCATTCAGCAAGGTAACCTGGACAAGGCTAACAAGGACAAGCGTCATTATCCTAACGGGTTCAAGGTTAGATTACTCTTGTGATATCCTGATACCTGATATCCTTTATTGCTCGTATCTATTCTTTTTGGGGACAATCTTTCGTGGAACAGAAAGCTCTGGAATAATGTAACACTAAACGGAACAATAATTGTCATGGGAAGTGATGAGCACGCCAGCGGCACGTCCTTACCGCATTAGGGACAAGAATGAAATTAAATGGACAAAGAATCGCATGAAACTCACCACGGGAAAAGCCGGCCTCCGGCAGAGGAGGAGCCATGTCCAGAGGCATGGGGATCCATGGTTGGCAATGCCACAGCGTAGGCCATGAATGGCTCGGGGAAACTTGGAGGCCCTTGTACTGGTCACTGCACCATTCAAGGAACCTCGCAGACTAGAGACCAGATTTGAGTCGTCAGGCAGACTAGAGACCATGAATGGTGCCGCTGAAAAGCTATTGCCAAATTACACGTGACATCACCTGTATACGACATGTAGGGTACAATGTGTGCACAGCAGTACTCCGAACCCCACAGATTCGTACTGCCGAAGTCTTGCCTCCAACCAGGATGCTTGTGAAACCGAACTGCCAGAGGTAGAAGCCTGGTTGAACCTTGTCATGAAACTCGCTAAGTTCCATGATATGGCCCAGTATCAGCGAGAATCGACCTTCGGGTGAAAATCATTTTTTTCAGAATAAGTCATTTTCTGCAACGGCAAAAAACTCTTGCTTCGCGCTTTGCACATTCAAACAAAAATTAGTTCATCGCAACAATGAATGCTTTTGATCGTCCCAGTAGCAGGAGAGTTCGCTCACGATGGCCAGCTAGCTGCCGTCCGGCTCTGCCAGAAGTCATTGGATTTCCTAGGCAGGAATCGTCGCGTCTGATAGAGAACGACGACAGTTTCCAGAAGATGTTTTTGTCGACGCGCAATTCCTATTTAGCGGCGAGAATTTCAACTTGATTTAGGGGCTCCGCCAAAGGAGCTCTCTGCTGGCAAAAGTACTTTCTGACATGAAAATCCTTGTAGGGCCCTTCTGAATTTAGTACAGCTCCGCTCAGGAGAAATACTCAACGAGGAGAAACTAGTGAGGCGACGGCAACAGAGGTAGACGCCCTGGATCAACTCGAGTCAGGACGAAAGAGCGCTGCCGCTAGTGACATGATCTGAATTTTCCCAGGCTCCCACACTGGACTCCGTGGTGAACACCAAACCCCTTGGACGGGGCAAGAGCTGAACATTGATTGATGAGCTACGAACTCTCTGCGCTCAGTGCTGGAATCATGGCGCACTGACGCGCATGCAGCCAGTTCCCACAGAGCTCAAATTTCACAGAGGTGCAGCAGTGATGGACTACCTCTAAATCGTACTGTAAGACATGTTATTATAACGAGTCGCAAATTTAACGATTGTCCAAAATTCATAGGTTAACGAGAAGATATGTTAACGATCTTGCAGTATTCTGCCATATCCACACACAGCATATATGAAGCAGTACGGCCTCAACGGATCTTATTATAACGAAGAAATGACATCCGTTAAAACGTTAGATTTGCTTCCTCGTTATATATACATGTCTTACAGTATATGAGATGAAGTGTGGGGTGTTAGAATGTTGTGCCTGTGTCGTATTCCCTGTTGGAGGCACAGACTGGGACTCCAGGTGTAGTCGTAGCCACCCTTCCCTCCTGTTCTGCACTGCTGTGGATTTTCAGCAGACTTGGGATGGCGTTCAAACAGTTTTCATTGATATGCAGTGATGAGGATCAAGGCCATCCATGCTCTATGCCAGAGGTTGCCCAAGAGTTGTTTTACAACAAAAACTGGATGGATGATTTATTGCACTGTCTATCTTTTATTTAGTTCACTGTAACACATAGTATTCCGATAAGGAAATCACTGTGATAAATTGTTGCATTTCCTGATATGTACCTATGCTTGTTTGAGAAGCTTCTGGGTCATCAATATTGCTTTGTTCGGTCTAATACTTTGCCATGTGATCACTAGATACCTATAGATGACAACAGCAGAAAAAGTCATTTTGTGAAAAATCACCCTGAGGACCATTTCCGCAGATACTGGGCCATATTTCCATGTCGGCTCTGACAATTATGGGTGTAACGAGTTTCTGGTTATTTAAACTTCTTTAATCCACCAGCGCCCCACGATTGGAAATTCTAACGCTTAGGTTCAAAATAATGGTGCGTGAGCCTGCTGACGTACTCAGGTGTCAACACGATATGTTTTGGTGCTCTGTGCGAGTAGGAGTCAACAGTGTCTAGGCAGTGGAATAGGAGAGCTTTGACATGTTAGAGAATAATAAGGACGTCTTTAGATGTGCAGCCCTGGTGTTTAGAGTTTGGAGAAGAATGGATTGTTCCCCTGTCGTTGAATTAGTATTCGAGCGAATAGTTATTGCAATTTGTTACATCCCTTTTAGATTTCATCGTCGGTAGAAAGTAGGAATGAAAGTGACCCAGGAGAACCAATTACATTTTATCACATGCCACTGAACATAAGTGTGTGTCCGGTATTTGCTACACGGCTGCTGCTCCCTTAGTACAATCTGCTCGATCCTATCCCCTATCATACCAAGCGATTGTCCCGTGTTCACACACAAGTATCTGCTCGACATGTAACACGTCTCTTTGTGTGTGTGTGTGTGTTCTGTGTGCAGGTCCATGTTGTGTTCTCCGTCGTGGGTAGCCGGCAGAATTCGGATAGCGACAATGGAGGGTACGATGTGGACTCCGGCGCGTCTGATGACGACAACTACAACTACTCCGACACAGATCCTGAAGATTTTGAGGATTGGAAGAAGACCGATCCAGTCACCAAACAACAGCACGCGCATCATCATCAAGCATCAGCATGACACATTCACCTCACAGCGCTCTCTCTCTCTCTATCTCTCTCTCTCTCTCTCCGTCCTTCGCTTGCCGTCATATTTTCGGCATCATGTATGCTCCATCAAGCCCGGCTATTCTCTGCTTACACCAAAAATACATACAGACACAATTACAGTGGACTCCTGCACGTGTCCCATTCATATTATATTTCCCTTGCTTTCAGAAATGGTCTCAGTTGAACTGAATTGCTGCACAGAGTTTGTGCCCGGGACCGATTTCTCATTCATAGTCATGTTTTTTTAGTTCATAATATTGAACTGTAGCATTTCATTCACTCCCCTCCAGCGTGACATTGTCTTTATGTGTTTGAAGCGAATTGATTTGCCTTTCATATAATAAAATATCTCATATCTTTTTCATATAATTCATTTGTTTGTTCGTTCGTTGCCTGAGTATTGAATGTTGGTTATTTGAGGTGTCGTCTGAAAACAAATGAGACTGCCATCTGTCGTAGCTCTGTTTAAGAAAGCAATCCATTTTTAGAATTGTTTTATAACTGTGCTCTTCTCTCCTCTCCTCGCTGTGGTGTACTTGACACACACACTGGATCCCTGTACCATCCTATTGTCTGTTTGTTAGTGTCCTGTGTGACTGTCTATGTTCTACTGCTACTACTACTCCAACTACTATTGTTTATTTCGTTTACCGAGAGACAAAAACTTCAACCTTGTCTTCTTTTCGTCTTGCGCTTCTGTGTGACTGGTGACATGCAGCCGGGGGTACGCTCCTATCTTGCCGCCCGTCTAGAAATGGGAGCTTTGTAGGTGATCTGACCACGGATGATCTGTACTCTGAAAAGGTCATGACTTTGTAGGCATATTGTATCCTGTCTACTGTCAATACGTTTATATTTACCACCGGTGACCCAATATCAAAAGTACATGAACATGTTTGTTTTCATGTACTCTTGCTCTTATTCTGACCATTTCTATCGTCTTGTCCTGACCTACGCCACACACGGCTATAAAATACTACAGTCCATTCAGAAAAAAATGAAGTAGTTAGTCGACAGAGCTAGAGCCAGTAGGTTTTAATAATTATAATAGTTGTAAAAACTCGTAGATCTACCCTTTTTTACGACAAATTTTGCTAGGGAGTTCCCCTTCTTTGAAATTAGTTCTTTAGTTTTGACTTTACAAGTCATGTACTACTGTTGTAGTAGTTTGTCGTTTGCAGCACTGTGTCTCTATGACCAATGCATGCCCTTTCTCCTAAGACTATTACATGATGGGAGATCTTCCTATATCAGCCTGCAAGGAACGGCTGTTGCGCTTCGTGTCTGACAACGATGCATTGGTTGTAGTAGGTGCCACAGGCAGTGGAAAGACGACTCAACTGCCTCAGTTTTTGCTGGATGCTGGATATGACAAGAAAGGTATCATTGGAGTAACCCAGCCTAGACGTATTGCTGCCATATCCGTAGCATCGCGAGTTTGTGAGGAGAGGAAGTGTCGCTTGGGAGAGGAGGTAATGGCACGTATAGTGTAGAAATGATTCGAGTCATTGAAATGGAGTTCATGCATCTATACATCCCATGAAAATTAGAAGCAGATAAATGTAAAAAGTCAACACACGAGAAGACAATAATAATTCATGTTAAAAGTCATCACACACGCATGCACGTACGTACACACGCACACGCCGCAGGCGTGCGCGGGCACACATACACACACACACACACCACCACCACCACCACCACCACACACACACACACACACACACACACACACACACACACACACACAGTCAAGTTTTTGGGATCACCTAAAGCATTTTCTCGTGACATCGATATTTCCAACACATCTGGTGTCAGTCTAAATAGTTTCACAATCTATAACTTCGCATGCAAAGACGCAAATCCACACAATCAAGTAGACACTTCCTTTCATCTATCAAACGTTTTCTTTCCCTTCTCTTCAGGATAGTACAGGGAATGTTGGAAATTCGGAAAAACACATATTATTAAACTATCATCATCATCAGCCCTTTTGCGTTGGCATCGGCATTAGCCTAGCCTTCGCTTGGGCCACACCCAATGTTAGACATGATACCAGAAGAGAAGGGGAGAAAAAGAGAAAGAAAGCAAAACCAAAAACGAAAAAGGGAAAATATAGGTGAATAAACACATAACTATAGAGTTTGTAAAAAAAGAAAGGAAGAAAAAGGCAACACTTCAACATAGGTGAGAAATGTTTAAGTGCTATAGCTCAAAAACAGAAGTTGTAGACAAGGTAGAGAGTGTTTCCTGATGTGTTCAACCCTATGATATGAACTGTGAATGTGGCTGGACTGAGGTGTTGAAATTAATTGTGAGTACATCCAGGCAGTTCAGTGTGATGTGCTGTGTTTTCGCTCCTTTCTTTCAGGTAGGTTACCATGTGCGATTTGATGATTGCACGTCGCAGTCGACCGTGCTCAAGTACATGACGGATGGCTGCCTTCTTCGCGAGCAGCTGACTGAGAAGTGCCTCTCTCGTTACAGCGTGCTGGTACTGGATGAAGCGCACGAGAGAGGCCTGGACACGGTGAGTGTATACTTTGCTGTCCGTGTGTGACGCTCACCTGTAATTTGTATTCCATTACATACACACCCTAGATGTTACAAAATGCTTGCTTGTGGTCCAGGGTTCATGACGCTGCATTGCAAACCATATTGGAGAAAGACGGCATGCACGGTACTTTTACTTTGTGCCTGGCCCAGACTCAATCATGTGCTTTGTGTGTTACAACCACAGGACGTTCTTTTCGGCTTGGTGAAGCAACTATTCATGAAACGTGCCACCGACCCAAGTCTTCATGTGCCCAAAATAGTAGTCATGTCAGCAACGCTGGATGCTGGCAAGTTCAGTGAGTTCTTTGATGATTGCCCGGTTTGCGAAGTGGAAGGCCGACTTTTCCCTGTCGATATTGTGTACCGAAATGTCATCACTGCGGAGGATTTGAAGAGCCCTCCCAGTTACTCGAAACAGGTAACAGTGATTTTCCAACATTTTCTAGGATCATGTCCAGGAATTCGAATTGGTCCTTTTATTGACTCCATTTTCTTCCCATTTGAGTGAGGGCTACAACAATAATTTTCAACATCACTCTTCGCCAAACGGTTTAAAAACTTCATTTGCTGGCCTTTCATATTTTGGGATTGCTTTGCAGGTTTTGTGAATGTTTGGCTGGTTCTGTGCAGCTTGAAATCAATGAAATATGTTGGGATTTTTCCATTTCTTGGTCAGAAGTCGCCAGGCCCCACTGAATAATTCGCTGTTTGTCATACTTGAATGAAGTTTCAGTCGGTGTTCAAAAACACAGTCGGTCGGGTTGCCAGAAAATAGACCGGTTCGGTTTGGCCTTGTCCGATTTCCTTGTTAGCATGACACTCTGGACATTAATGTCAGGTCAATTAGCTGGTTCTTTGATACCTGATATTTACCTCTGGATTTCCTTTATCTGATAAATCATGAGGCCAGGTATTGGCTATGGATAACACGTTCATTTTGTAAAACAAGTGCACAGAGCTGTTTGTCTTATCCTGGCTTGTTCTACCGTTCTTTTGTCCGTAGGTTGTGGATATTGTGGTTGACTTGCATTTGGAGGAGGATCGCGGTGACATTCTCGTGTTTCTGACAGGCCAGGTGCGTGAGTGAATGTGGGAACAGTGGGCTGTTTCACCTGTTAGTTCGTTTAGGGGTCGTCCGTATTTTTCGAAAAATTAAAAAATCCGTCCTCAGGCAAAAAGGGGGTGGGTGGTCAAGTGTGCTGGCGGAATTTAATTTTTTGATTTTTCGTACATTTATTTATTTATTTTTTATTTCGCTCCAGTGACTTTGATACACTTGTTGCACTGATTCAGTATATAGCTGACTGTGTACTGTACTGTAGACGTAGTGTAGGATCGATTGTCGCAAACACCAGTATCTAATTGGGGGGGTGGGTGAGTGGGTCAGAGACAATACATGACGTTTCATGTAGTTGTAGTACGGTGCATGGCCGTGACGTAGGCCTTGGCGGATAATGCTGGCAGAAAAATTGGCAGAATTCGGTACTTTTTCTGGTAAGTTTCATGCATGTTTGGTATGTCGATAAAGAAATGGAGCAGAATTCGAGGAATTGCCCGCCATAAGGTTTGTATGGTTCTGCCAATTTCGGTGCAAAAAAAGCAGAATCTGCCACCTTTTCGAGCATTATCCGCCAAGGCCTACCGTGACGTCGGTAGACCTACTACTCACTGTACTTAGCTGCTAGTACTTGACACAGGTGCAGTCAGAAAACGTGGGGTCAGGAGTTCTTATTTTCGAGCTGGGCATCGGTAAAAATCAAAAAATTAATGGGAAAAATTGGGGGGTGGGTGGGTGGGTCAGAGACAATTTTGCACGAGGACGGATTTTTTAATTTTTCGAAAATTACGGACGACCCCTTACTATGAATCCTGTGCTTGTTTATGATGGGACTCTGGCCTGTCATCTGTGCAAACTACAGTTATTGTAAGCACTTGCTGTTACATTGTTCTTACTCCGTGTGTCAACAAAGACTAAAGACAAAGCACTATGACTGAGAATTGAGAAGCTACGTGGATGAGTGTTGGTGCTGAGTGTAGCCAGTACAAAGGCAAACATGATTCACGTGCAGTAGTATTCACACGCAGGGAGTCTGAGCTGGGTGACAAGAACACACAAAGGGTATGCAACACTATGCATAGCAACACATGTATGCAGGGTGCAAAGGGCACACAATGCATGCATAGTACAACGGGAACACAATACATGCATAGTACAACGGGAACACAATGCATGCATAGTACAACGGCAACACAATGCATGCATAGTACAACGGGAACACATGTAGGCAAGGCATGTGGGGTACAGAAATGGAACACGTTACATGCAGCTAAGAACAATGTATGAGAGCATAACGTTAGTACATGTACAAGTGAGTCATATTCCGTAGCAGTACATGCGTACTGTAGTTTCGGCATTGCATACTCAACATGTGATATTGGCATACAACAGCAAACCGTCTGAGCAGCCCTTTCTTCAGTATCATTGTTGCTGAGGACTTTGGGTGACCCGTTGGGGCTGCATCCACTCCCATTTACCCAGTTTGACCGCTAGACTCCACTCCAGAGAAGAAGAAGGAATTGGCAGTGAACAAGGGAAATAAAGGTCACTGGACACTGATTCCATCGGACTCAGTGTCACGACTCACGAGTATGTAACGTCATACACCTGTGATGAAGCCCGGGAATAAAGAGATGTACCCCTACCCTTGATTGTATTGCGGCCCGAAGTGAGACCCTTGTACCAGGCTTGTGACGCCCTTTGCTTCTCTATATCGTGTGTCAGATGTGCTGACACTATTGGAATTCTGTCTGTAACACTACGCGTACCCAGGCAGAGATTGAGGCAGCGTGTGACAAGATCCACCGTCGTGCACAGTACCTCGACTATGACAACGACTGCCGGTGTGCTGACATTCAGGGCTTGTTGGTGCTGCCCTGCTATGGGTCTATGTCAACTGGTATGTACGTGTACGGGTACTAGTCCTTAGCAACTGGCAATGTCTAGGGCATGTTCTCTGGTTGTGTGGATGTCCATGTCTTCGGTAGCTTAGGGGTCGTCCATAAATATTAAATATCGAACCTTTTTCTCAAAACGAAATATTTTCGTTATGGGATGGGAGGGGGTTGACCACTTTCGTTTCAGAGAACATTGATTCATATACATGGCAGTTGGAGTAGTGACACACTTGCGACTTTTGTTGTACATGTATATGCATGTATTACACCAACACTTTTTCATTCTGAGGGGCGAGAGGGAGGGGTTGGGTTAAAACGAAATTAATTCGTTTCGTGATAATTATAATATCGATATTTACGGACAGCCCCTTACTACGCATGTTTTGAGAATTGATGCATTTGGCTGAAGCCTGCAAGAAAAAAAACACATGTCAATAGGCCAAAATACCTATACAGTAGCTGCAAAATTTTTAAAAAAAAATAAGCCCTCAACCACACTGAGGTTGCGTTTGGTTGGGCATTTTCAGAATGTAAATGAGAACCATTCTGGAATGGGAATCGGCAAGAATCACCTGACCAAACTAACGCGCCAGAATCAATTAGGAATCACTTGACATAGCAATTCCATGATGTCGTTGTGGAACGGCGGCTGTCTTTTCTTTTACCCGACTCTAGTTTCCTTGAGAGAGTCAAGGTACTTCTGAGTGCATGATTTGAGGCACTTGAACCTGTTGCTACATTGTTTGGCTCGTCGCAGCCATTATCATTTTTGATTCCGGAATGAGAATGCTCATTCCAGCATGTGAGGTGGAGTGATCATTCTCCAAAAAGAATCATTCTCAGCGATTCCCATTCTGGAATCATGTGGAATGTGACCAACCTAACGCACTTTTTTGACCAACCAAACGAACGAGAATGATTCCGAGTGATTCCAAGTGATTCCCATTTGGGAATGTGACCAACCAAACGTATTGTCAGTGTTGAGGATTTCACGAGCCAGTTTTCGCACTTTTCATGAAGTCAAGTACAAGCATCCAGACCAGAACTAATGAAATGAAGGGATTGGTGGCATTACAACGGTGGTAACCAGTTTTTTTTTGCTATGAACAGTTTCAGTCGACGTCGGCGCAGCAGCAGCAGCACTGCCGGCAGCATTGCCAGAGCCCTGCATTTCGGATTAGATTTTGGACACTGCAACTTGGTTGGTCAGGCAAAAACATCACACCTTTTCAGCATTGTATCACGTTTAGTATACACAGATTTGCTGATTACTCGGCTCCGCTCGTGAGACCTAACTTCAAGAGCTGAGTCGGGTAGCAGTTTCTTCGGGTATCGGGTTCGGGTAGTTTTTCACGGGCAGCACGGGTACCCGATTGGGTCTTGGTGCCGTGGTAACACCACAATGCACCCCTTCCCTCACATACTGGGTAGACCTGCGGAGTATGACATGAATTTGTACACGTGCACTGTACATGATGTCATCCGCGTTTTCGGGTACTATTCTGTACCCGTCTACCCGAGGTCCTCACGGGTAGCACGGGTACCCCCGACTGCCCGTGCACACCACTACTAACTTCAGCATATTTGCTAATGTTGACGTTAGTGCTCTTTGGTGTGATCAGGTGTGTCCTTTGTCATGTGTGCTTCTGTGCACTCAGAACAGCAATGTAAGATATTTGACCAGCCACCACCGGCCATCCGCCGTGTTATTGTGGCCACTAACATTGCTGGAACGTCACTAACTATATCAGGTGTCAGGTGAGTTGCACTGGAGGTTATTCTATATGTATGTGTGTGTGTGTGTGTGTGTGTGTGTGTGTGTGTGTGTGTGTGTGTGTGTGTATGTGTGTGTGCATGCATACCACTGCCACTGTGCTATTCATCGTGCAGTCTTATAAGTACCTATGAATATGGAAGCTTTGACCCCATTAACGGTGGGTCTGATCTACTCAGCTCCGACCGCTTTAGGAACTGCATTTGCGCCCTGATCCTTGAGAGTGGCTTCCCCACGGATGCGGAAAATTACATCTGACTGAGTCTCACACAAACCATGATTGCATTTCGCTTCACCTCTTCATGCAATTATGATTATACATCAGAACAGAGTTCCTTGTATAATCGTCAATTATTGTTATTATTTTTAGCATGGAAAGTTGGAAAGACTATGCGCACTATGGGTGTTGTTCTGCTTGAAGCCAGAACCTGCTCGAATTGTGTACCGTTCGGCCACTCTGACAATGGTGATTTGGCATTGAGCAGCTTGTAATGCAAGATTTGCCGTGATTTGTACAATGGCTGATGATATTACATGTATGTGTGTGTGTAAGGGCACCAAAATTCCCAGGCCGACTGCAAGCAGGCCAGAACTTGGCTGTGTGAAAAGATTTCCAGTATGCATGTCGCTAAGAACGGGCCTATTCACTTCAGTAATGCTGTGTGTCTAATGTCTATGTCTTTAGGTCATATGACCGCTGTGTGTCTATGTCTTGATCATGTGACCGCTGTGTGACTATGTCCTGGCGTGACTGCAGGTTTGTTGTTGATAGTGGCTTTGCCAAGCAGCTATGCTTCAATCCCCGCACAGGCCTCGACGCATTGCAAGTCAATCTAATCTCTAGGTGCGTGCATGCATGCACATATGTTTATGTATGTTCAACTGGCAACGGGTTCAGCTTCTTGAACATGTATTGTGCCTCCCACCTGTGATTATTTCAAGCTCCATAATATACCCTGTGTTTGAAGCCTGACTACCCATGTATAAGAAATGAAATGCTGAAGTAGATGCAATATTGTCCCACCTAACTGTGTTATGCCTTATGGCTCTTGTCGTTCACCTACGTCTGTGCTTGAGCCCCGAAGTCTTGCGGTCTCTTGTAGAATACTTCAAAGCTATCAATTATGCACGCACGCTTGTTGAAATGCACCTTGACTATACAGTCAATGCCCTGTGTAAAAGCTGGTCATGTTCGGAAGCCTTACCTTTCACAAGGTGCATGGGCCGCTTAGCCGCTATCTTACTGCACGGGATGCCAGGATGAATACCTTGGGTACATGTTCTAGCAGCCCTGTTTTGCTGTTGCATGTACCGATCCACTGACTTCTGCCTATTGTCTACTGTATTGTCTCCACTGTTCAGATCTGAGGCTATTCAACGGGCAGGTCGTGCTGGTCGCACCTCAGCGGGCCAATGCCATCGTATCTACTCGAGGGACGTATTTGAGACTACAATGGGCGAGAGAATTGTGCCTGAGATCCAGAGAACAAGCCTAACATCAGTTGTGCTGCAGCTGAAGGCCATTAACATCGATGACGTGATCGGGTTGGTAGCTACCACCTACTAGTGTGCTTCGGGATTATGCTTGTTGGTGATTGACGATTTTTTCGGAAACTGCACTCGCAGGACTTGTCTGCGTAATCAATCATTGTGGCAATGTATGCTGAGTTGAAAGCTTCCTGGATTTTTCTCGCAATGTAATATACTTTCTGGCTGCAGGGAGATGTCACCTACTGCTCAATGCCATGGTGTGTGTTGTCTGTGTGCATCGGGTGGATAAAACAGCACTCGTTCTCAAGATTTAATGTTTTTTAAAGGTCACTCTAACATTGTTCAAGCTGTCACTAAACATGGTCTTTGGCAACGACTTGCAGAAGCCGCGGCAACTTGTGCTGGGATTGCACCACTCAATACCGTGCAAGACTGGAGAATTGACTGCCGACTTGGGCAACAGAAGTTTAGGGTTCACGGCTTGCCACTAAAAGCACCCGTCACGTGCGCCTCCATTTTGGATTATGGACGCGCGCTACAGGCCGCGACAGCGCCTATCGAAGTAAAAAAATATCGACTCGAAGTCTAGCCGGAGAGCGTACTTTTTGAATTTTTCCTTGGCTTCAGCGGCTTCACTTCACTCGGGCTTTGCATTTTTCTGACTGACCTGGACTTGATGATGGCGGCGGTGGCGGTCTTGGCGAAAGATCCAGTTCCATCTGAGACACTCTGTCGTCTTTTCTTATCTGCTGAGGTTCTGCCAAAGCGCAGCTGCATCGAACCTGACTAGATGTAGCTGCACGCATCCTTTGTTTGCCCTGCAAATCTCGATCTGTTGCTCCTCTTGCTGTTTGGCCGCTGATGCCATGGAAGAAAATATTCTTCCTGTAAAGAGGCCGAAACTGAGCTAGGGCACGTCAAGATATGTAGGGTATACAAAGAAAAAGAAATGTCATGGTCGTTTCAGCAGCTCACGACAGCCAACACGCTCCATCGTCGGGATTGGAAGTATCCAGCACGGCTGTTCCGAGCGCTGCTGCTCTTGTTATTCTTCTTCTTCAGAAATTCTCCACACCTTGTCGGCCAAAGTACGCGCGCGCGTGCACGGAAAATAGATGCGCTGAGCCGTTTCTTGTTCGATTTTGACAAATAATGGCTTGTTGTTTTGCTCTCGACCTTGGCTATCCTTCTACCGTTCAGTATTTTACGGAAACGCAACGGCTCCCCCTGTTTTTTTAGCCGAACTTTGGCCAAAGTTACTGGAAAACCCGGAACTCGTTTGAAAAAATACGAACGGTGGAAGTCTTGGAACGTCTTTCGTGCGTGTGGATTCAAAAATTCAGGCAGTTTGAGCCAACCGTAATGAATCCCGTAGAGTTGAAAGTGAGTGATATTGATGGGAAAATGCGATTTGAGCACTGACCGATTGTGTGGGACAGTATATGCACGCGCCTGTCACGTGCATGATGTAGCTGGCGACGCTAGCATGCCAATCCGTGAACCCTAAAGTTGGTCGTAAAACTCAGGCTGCCCTTAGCCTATTGTGTCCTATCTCCATTTTAACTGTTCATCTGTTTGTCTGTTTGCCAGTCCAACGTGCTCCCTGTCTTTCTACACCATGCTCTGTCTTATTCTGTTTGCTTGGCTATGACTGTATTGCCATTCTTGCACAGGTTTCAGTACATGGATGCTCCTCAGGAAGCGGCCATTGCTGCTGCATTGAAGCAGCTGTTCATCTATGATGCTCTAGATAAGTAAGTCCGTTGTAAGCTAGATGTATGTCAGAATCTGTGCTCTTTCCCATTCCGTGCTGCGTGCAACATTGCCATCATGACCTACTGGGCATCCACAATAGATGACTTGCACAAAGATTGTCTGGGTTCGAGACGGGGCAAGTGGACCTTCTGACTCTGACTTCCCCACCTTTTGAGTTCGTGACTTTCGAAGTTTCGCTTTTTGCCTGAAGAACACTGAGCTAGTTTTTTTGGCTAGAGAGTAGAGTTGTTTTGATTCGGCTTGTATCGTCATGCCGAAGCGCTGCTACGCTCCTGAATGCACTAGCAGACGAGAGATGGAACTGACGCTCCCATTCCATACGTTCCTTTCCGAGCCGGCCGGCCGGGAGGCAGAAAAATGAGGGAATATTTTTAGTATCATTGGTGTAGGCTGCAACAAGCACGTCGTGGTCCTGAAGTGTGACTACTTTCCCGCAGTGGAAGCGAAGTCAAGCACAACGAAAGTTTGTGGACGTCTGAGAAAGAACTCGATTCCCTTCGATTCGGCTGCACTAGATCCAGAGCGACTCTCTCCTGAGGACAGACTGCGGAGAGGCCAGGAACCTGCCGAGTCACGAGTGGAACTGAGCCCAAACCACGAAAATGAGGGGTGGAAGGACTGAGTGTGAGAGCCAGATGGCCTTTAGTAGTACTTCAAGTAGTATCTGAGTTGAAGGAGAGAACAAGTGTGCTGGAGAAACGCTGCGAAGTCCTCAGGCCTAATGTGTACTAGCTACTGTTGAAGTCTCACTTGTTCCGATATGAACACTTCATCAGCCCTGACTCTGAGCAGCTGTATCTAGACTTGGACTTAGGCCAGAGACATAGCATTGTAAACCTTACTGAAGCCATATGTATCCAATGCCTGGCTCTAGTGAGAAAGCAGTTTGGCGCAGGCTCGCAAGCTATGATTGAATCAGGGAGTGGTGGAAAGTCACATTATACCTCCCCATGATTAGCTGGTAATGACGACGATGCGGCTCCGACTGGGTCTCAGTCTCAGAAAGGATTTGTTGGAGCATCATCAAACAGTGCATTCGCCTTCATCATACACTGGCTCCGTTGCCTCAGTAATTCACATTTTGACGGGGCGCGCTGGGACGATACGGAAGGAGCGGCGGGAACCATTGGAGTGCTCATGATGCTGGTTAGCGGAGACGGATGTGAGTGTCAGGAACGGGAACGCAACCGCACTACTGTACAGATCAGGAAGCGATGGAAGAGTTGAATCTGTTCAGCCTTCCATGCCGTGTACAGGGACACAAGCGTAAAAATGGCTACATTTCGAATGTGAACTGGCGATGGCATTGTGTGGCGACGAACACAACTGCAACTGTTCAAATTTCAGCATTTCGAACATTATGCTTCTCATAATAACTCACCGAATGGCTCACATGACGGAGTTGGACATTACCAGGCTAGGATTATCATTTGCTGTATTTATGGATAGTCCTTGAGTTTTCAGATGAAGTGCTTTATCTTTTCCTGTCGTTCCTTTAGTATGGCACAATGTCCATGGCTGCTTCCTTGTCTTCATAACAGATTGGTATAATTAGCATGATTCTGCTTTTTTGAGAAGAAATAAAACTTTCCTTTCGGAAAGGAAGCCCAGAAACGTCAACCCCCATGGACTTTATGACTCTCGTCCATCGACGTTAACCGTCGCAATAACTGCTGCATGTATGTTGTGCTGTGCGAACCGTACAAGATTTTACAGCTCACCCACGCCTTCCCAACAGGCTCCTATATCCCGCACCGTTAGCGTTACATTGAATATGAACTAGGCTAGCACAGTTATCCTTCGTTCTTTTGATGGCGGCGGGTAGCATGGAACTTGACGTGTTCTTGGGATCCTCGTGCCACACTTGCTGTTCCCGGATGCCATATTATTGGATGCATCGAGGTTGCTTCTATGCTCACTGTTGTTTAGTAAGACAATTTTGTTATCTATTTCACCGAAGAATAAGGCAAGAGTATTTTGGGTTGATTTGGACGCCTGGCTTCTCTTCACATAATAATACAGTCATGTACATGTACTTCCACTCAGGGAGTAGTACAATACCTGCTTCCACTAACCCTACAAGTGCACATGCATGACTCATGAGCTACTGAAGACAGTGACGGTACTGATCATGTACATGTACATGCCGTGCACCGTTCATTCATGCTGACAAAAAAGTACACTACACTAGTCTACTCTACAGACGGTGTAGGGTGCCCGCAGTGTAGCCTGGGTCACGTGGGTGCACAGGGTGCACTTGCCCCGTCTCACTCGCGGCTCGGATCTTTGTGCAAGTCATCTATTATTGGGCACCTTCTTTCTACATGTATATGTACAGTGCTGTTCAATGAAATCCGATCAAATGGGTCAGCTTGGCACCCTGTACCAGTGAAACATACCAGTGAACATACCAGTGCTCACAGGTGTAGGGCTGCACAGTGTCCGGCGCGTACTTGACTCATGCAATCAGAGTTCATTGTTCAGCACTGTATATCCGCTTCGAAGTACATGCACATTGGTATTCACAGCTCCGCATACAGCAAAATTAATAGTGTGAGGGGGTGGCGAAAGAGCAGAGCAAGCATGTGCACAAGCACACGGATCACCAGCATGGTGGTGATTATCTTACTGTTTTTTTTCTCTGGCTGCTTTCTCCTGTTGTTGCCGCCTGTGTTGCAGACACGGTGCAATAACTAGCCGTGGCCGACAGATGGTGTCGCTGCCTCTACGTCCCGACATCTCTAGCTTCCTGCTGACGGCGCTAGAGCTGGATTGTGTTGAGGCTGCTGCTCCTATTGCTGCCATGTTGTCCGTGGAAGGAGTCTTTATTCGACCTGGTCAGTGCTGACGATGTGGCTTTTGTTTGTGCTTTTGTTCTTTGAAGATCAAGATGGCTATACTTCAATGTGACGGGCTGGTTTATCTAAACGAGTAACTGTCGAGTGAACATCTCCACTAATAAGCGAGCTACCCAGCAAGCTTGCAAGGGTTTAGAAACTTTGCCCGACACAAGCATAGGCACGCGACTCATTGGTATGAAGAATTCGTTAGAAATTGACCGGTTTGCCATTCTACTTCGAAGTAATAGTGGCTGATCACTGATCAGATGAACAAACAGTGAATGAACACAACAGTGCTTCATACTAGCTATAAAGACTGGAACATGTACTATTTTCACCAGTAATCCACCAAAACGCTAGGCCTAGAGAGCCAAGGGCATTGAACCAATGCTACACCAGAAATGTGCATGTGCATGTGTGTGTGTGTGCGCGTGTGTGCTTATGACTTCTGTTTTTGGATTTTGTGTAACGTCACTGACGTGTACTTAAAAAAATGATTTACGTAAGCAGGGTTCTAGCCAAGGGGGAGGGGGGGGGGGCAGTGCCCCCCCCCCCCCCCCTCCCCCTTCTGATAGCGCACCACCCTACTCATTTTGTGTTTTTTCAGTTCACACAATGAAAATGCGGCCTCATATCGATCGTTCCGCGTGTTATCAGGGCTGGATCCCCAATAATAGAACCATAATAACAGCAGGACTGGCTGTGAGAGGAAGGTTGTTATTATCAACTCAAACACTGATAGTGATCGTTTAGTAAGAAAAAAGAACAACCAACGTTACTTGTTTCTAACACAACTGAACACAAAGGAAAGGGCCGCATGAGCACTACCTCATGCACTGCATGATGCAGTGAGCGAGCGCATGCGTGGGAATGTGCAGTGAAGCGAGTAACACTGTAGTACAGGTATTGCAGAAGCATGCACAGACCAGATCTACTAAGAACAATACATGCACGTGTCATGAGCAGTACAGTGAGACTTCACGCTACAGTGGTCCGCGTGACACTCCCCAGCGAACAAGTGTGGCAAATAAATCATGGGAGATTCTAATAGACAGGGACAAATAAAACGGGAGACCACCAAATCATGGAGTAGGGAGTATGCCGGGAGCAGTAGACAACATAAACGAATGAGCAAATAGCGTAGCGGGAAAAAGAAGGGGGGAATGTAACAGAGAGTGGGATGCAGCAAAAGGTACTACATGCAATAGTACTTAGCTGGTGTGAGTCAAGAGGTTGTCCACTTGGCAATATTTTCCAGTGCCTTGCGAGCGGCAGCGCAACTCGGTCTCACGTCAGCTGGAGGTGTCTGGTCTCTAGTATCCACTCGAGCAGGTGCTGGTGGCGGGGTGCTGGCTCGACACTCAAGTGGGTAGAGCTTGCATAGAGGTCGAGTCACTGCATGGCCAGCTGGTGTCTACACGACAGCACTTCGAACCTCGTTGTCGGTGGGACTGACAATGAGTTCCGCCACACGTCCGAGTCTCCAGACCGCACGCGGCGTATCATCTTCGCCAATGAGAACCACCTCACCAACCTCCGGTCGACCGTGCTGGCGGGCATGGGGAGAGAAGGATGATGGAGTTGATCGGGCCTGCAGCATCTGGAGATAGTCTCGCTGCCATAGACGCCAGAAGGCTGCACTCTGTTGTTGCTGACGCTTCCATGCGTTCAGGTGCTGGGTAGACGGAGAGGCAGACGTTGGCAGAAAGTCCGGGTCGCTATTGTCTACAGCTTGCAACGGAATGGACGCTGGACGGCCACCAATCAGGAAGTGAGCCGGTGTGAGGATTTGATAATCCAGCCCCTCACTATCAGCTGGTACGGTTGTCAACGGGCGGCTGTTAACTGCAGCTTCCGCTTCCGCTAACACGGTGGTTAGCTGGTTGACGGTCAGGAGTTGCCGTCCGATGGATTTCCGCAAAGACCTCTTCACGAGTCCGACCATGCGCTCGTACAGCCCACCTTGCCATGGTGCCAAAGCTGTAGTAAACTTCCACACAATGTCGTGGTTAGTCAGGTAGTCTTGCACCATGGGATCGGATGTAGCATCACGCCAAGCTTCATCCAACACAGACGATGCTAGTTTGAACTGCGATGCATTGTCGGAGTACAACAAACGGGGCACGCCGCGCCTAGCTATGAAGCGGCGTAGGCTTGCGATGAAGTGATCCGTGGACATGTCAAGGACACACTCCAAATGCACAGCACGCACAGCAAAACAGGTGTAGAGGCATACCCATACCTTGGTGACCACACCATCCGAGCTGCGCGTCAGGAGCGGACTGAAGTAGTCTAGGCCAACGAACTCGAACGGTGCTGCTCTGGTCACGCGTTCCTTCGGTATGGGAGGTGGTAATGGGAGCTTGAATGGGGAACCTTCGTGTCGACGGCATGTCACACAACGGCGAATGATAGCTCGCACGGTTTCCCGGCCTCGAGGTAGCCAGAAGTAGAGGCGTAGCTGAGCTAGAGTGTGAGTTGTCCCAACATGAAGCAGGCGGCAGTGTACATCCATGACAATGAGATGCGTGAGCCGATGACCAGGTGGAAGCAGAGCCTGCGGAGCATCAGCGGTATCGGAGGCGGGTTTCACTCTGCCGTGGCACCGAATGATGACGAACGTGTCATGAGCAGTACAGTGAGACTTCACGCTACAGTGGTCCGCGTGACACCGCGGGTGCTCTCTGTGCCCGTACATGTGCGTTGCTTTTTGTGTGACAAGGCGGAGAAAAATGGGTGAACTGTTTGCTCCCCCCCCCCCCCCCCCCCCCCCTCCGCGGCCCCAATCCCCTACAAATCTTTCTTGGCTGGAGCCCTGCCTAAGGCTAAGAGCAAGACTAAGATGGATGAATTCCTGAAAGGTGGAGTCACGAGTGTACTTCTTATACAAGTTGTATGCAAATGGCTTAGACTGTATGAATTGTACCAAGAGATGATTGTACGACTTAAATGTGTATAATTGTGTAGGAATGAACTACAGTCAGACCTCGCATATCCGGTCCTCGTTTATCCGGACCCCTCACCATCCGGAAGAAAATTGTTGGTCACCGATTTACAGCATACGCCATGCACACATACAGTATGCGTGTCCGATTATCCGGTTCCCTCGCCTATCCGGATATTTTTCTGGAAAACGGATGTGTGCGGTTATGCTAGGTCTGACTGTATACGCATCGTACCTTTTGCGTGCAATGCGTAAATTATAATAATATAGAAGCACACTCTACCTTACTTGTATCTCCTATTATAGCCTTTGTGACGGAGAAAGTTATGTGTTGTTGGGGATGGTCAAAATTGAGCTTGGAATTTGTCTGCTATTTATTAAATTGTTGATTTGATGCATGCTTATGGCTGCTGCTGTGTGCCTTTCAGGTGGTCAGGCACAGGGCGAAGTGGCAGCTGCAGCTCGTAAGCAGCTCGAGACAGCCGGTGGTGGCAACAGTGATTTCGCCACGCTACTGGCCGTCTTTCAGAGATGCAACAACAGGTACGGTGTGCAGCTTGGATAGATGCATTGATCCTCTTTGCAGTGCACATTTGCTTGGCTACGACAAACGTTTGTACAGTCAACCTTGCAAGTGATACCACTCGACCGGGCATGGGGAAAGTTGAACGTATTCAGTCGAATGGCTAATATGTTGGAGCTCGAAGGTAGTGTTGTTATTCGTGTGTTGTTGTTATACCCGGTGTTGACTGTACTCGTACTTACGCAAATTTCTACTTAGACGAGGGGTTCTACTGTGTATTTCCTACTCAGTATCAACCGATACCTGTACAGTAGAAGTGTATAACATCTTACAAGCACAATGTCTGTTTGTCTATTCTCTTTGCCTGTGCTGCTCTGCAGCGAATCACCGGCACGGTGGTGCAAGGAGAACTTTGTCCACTTCCGTGCGCTGAAAATGGCACACAGTGTTCACCAGCAGATTGAGACGATCCTTCGCACACTCAAGGTAACGTATGGCGGTCAGACTTGGGGTCCTGTACTCGCATTTGGCTGACCAGGGTACTACTTCAGTATGTATATCTGAGTTTCATACACAAAACAGAAAACTGTTTGTCGTAATGGATGTCTGCTTTGTCCAGTTAGCTAACACCACAAGCATGGATTCTGCTAGCGTGCTGACAAACATCCACTGTAGAACAGTGCCTGCCTATGTGACACATCCCTGTAGTGTATTCACTGTATACTTACCCTCTGTGCTTTCCCCTTCCCTGTTGTCCCTTCTCCAGGCATCAGTATCTCCACTTGCAAAGAGCTGCTCATTGAACGAGCGCTTACGGCGCGCACTGTCTGCTGGCTATTGTTGCAATGTGGCACGCAAGTAGGTTTGCTGCTGTCCGTATGCAGAACATCTGCTGCCTTGACAACACTAGTACATGTATGCAGATGGTACCAAGTATGCCGGGTACCGTGTGTAGTGCTTTTACTGGCACTGGCACTGGGCCTTTGAACATGTTCTATAAGGTGCATTGGTCCAAGCGAATAGCCTTCAAAGTTCAAACTCTTCTAATCTGCACCGATCTTATAGGCTAGGGAGAGCGGGAATAGAGCGGGTATATTTCCTCCAGAAGCGAACACTTTGTGACCTCCATCAGCCTGTCAGTTCTTGTGAAGTGAGCTCTGAGGAATCAGGCAATGGTGACTCCAAGTGAAATTCAAACAGTGGCAATCTCTTTTGTTTGAAAGTGTACAAAAGTGTACATAAGAAGAAAAGAGGACCAAAGAGCTAATCCTTGGCTCTTCACCGAGTCTAAAAGTGTACAATCGTCATACTTCAAACAAGTGTAGTCCACTCATTGTCTTGCAATGTGTTTGTTCCACTGAACCAAATTTATTGAGCACAATTCTCCTTAGAATGTGTCACGAAGTTTTTGTTTCCGGAGGAAGTAAGAAAATGACACCGTGTGTGTGTGTGTGTATGTATGTATGTGTGTGTGTGCGTGTGTGTGTGTACACGTGTGTGTCTGTGTCTGTGCCTGTGCTTGCTCCAGGTCTTCTGGTGGCAGATCGTTTCGCACGATGGACGGCCACTGCTCGACTGCCTTTATCCACCCATCCTCAGCTGTAAGTGCTACATGTGCATGTAGTGAAGTAGTGAGATCATGAGTGCTGCATGTGCATGTAGTGAGGTCATGAGTGCTGCATGTGCATGTAGTGAGGTCATGAGTGCTGCATGTGCATGTAGGGAGGTCATGAGTGCTGCATGTGCATGTAGTGAGGTCATGAGTGCTGCATGTGCATGTAGTGAGGTCATGAGTGCTGCATGTGCATGTAGTGAGGTCATGAGTGCTGCATGTGCATGTAGGGAGGTCATGAGTGCTGCATGTGCATGTAGGGAGGTCATGAGTGCTGCATGTGCATGTAGTGAGGTCATGAGTGCTGCATGTGCATGTAGTGAGGTCATGAGTGCTGCATGTGCATGTAGTGAGGTCATGAGTGCTGCATGTGCATGTAGTGAGGTCATGAGTTCCTTGCTTCGTGCCACACCATCTTGTGGCACATGATTGCAAGATTTGGAAAGTAGTTGGAAATGAAGTAGGTTGATCATCTGAAATCTTGTCGACCATGCATTACCCTATATGTACAAGCAAGTTCCTCACTTCTTTTCCCAATGCCGGTCTTCTTTGGCAGCCAAACCAATATACCGGTATGTATACTGTATGTCTGCCTGGTGTCTAGATTGCATGTGGGGAAATTCTTGTTCAAAGTGGACGTGTGTATGTGTGGGGTGGGGTGGGGGTAGACCAAAAAAGTGGGGATTCCCTGGCCAGAAAAGCACTTCAAAAAGCTATGCGGTATAGACCAAGCTACATAGTGGTGGTCAATTCTCCAGTCTGGCATGCTCTTGAGTGGCGCAATCCCAGCACAAGTTAGTTGCCGCTGTGGCTTCTGCTGTTGCATTGCTGCGGTTGCCTCTGGTGATGCGCGTCTAAAGGTAGGTGTGCGTGTGTGTGTGCGTGTGCGTGTGTGTGTGTGTGTCTGTGTGTGTGTCTGTGTGCATGCTTGCGTGCGTGTGTGTGTGGTTTGTGTCATCATGTGTGTGTTCAATGTTGTTGTTGTTGTTGGTGGTGGTGGTGGTAGTGCTGCTGTTGTTATTATTCTTTATTCTCACGATGGCGACTCGCGCGTTGTTGTTGTTGTTGTTATTGTTGTTTTGAATTGAATTTGAATTCTTTATTCTCACGATGCCACCATCGCCAATAAGAGATAAGTTTATGAGAAGGTGAGATGCTGTGGGTTGTTGTTGTTGTTGTTGTTGTTGTTGTTGATGTTTCAGCTGTGCGGCCTTGAGGATGAACTAGACTGGATAATCTATCATGACATTGTCATCACAAACAACACCTACATGAGAACTGTGTGTCCGGTGAGTGCTCAAGCACCCCAGCCCTAGCTCTGCACGAAGTGCCAAAGCTTCTAAAATCATCAACAACGCAGTGCAAAGTGCAAAGATGTGTAAGCTGTGCTCTGCTAGCTTACAGTGGCTACCAGTCTATCAGTCTATCAGTCCAGCGTTATGATTAGGCTGATGTGGATTATCTTTTATACTTTGATTTGCTCTGGTGCAGTGAATGGGATTTCCGGTCTTTGACCACTTTGCTGGTGGGCTGATCTGCTCACCTCCCACCGCTTTAGGAGCTGCGTCTGCGACTTAGAACTTTGCAGGGTGACGGCATTCCTACTGATGCTGAAAACTCAGTCTGAGTCTCAAGCGAACCGTGAATTTGTTTTGCTGCTGGTGCTGTTGTTGAATGAGTGCTGACAATCTACTGGCTCACAGTGAAGGCACAAAATAAAATGTGCAGTTATATTGAAGCATTATGTGCATGTATTTAGTTTGAGTGACACGCATCATACCTTGCCCTGTTGTATCCCTGAACGAGTGTCTGCATGCATTGTATGTATGCTGGTGTACTCGTATGCGCGTGCATGCATGCTTATGTACACATGTCTGCATGTGTGTCTGCAGGTACGATATGAATGGGTTAAAGACTACTTGCCACGCCAGCATGATATTGACGTTGCTGCTCTGTCCGGAGGCGCTATCCTCTCACACTGGTCCGCGTCGTCCACTATGAACCGAACGAAACGTTCTGCCGAGCCTGCACCAGGTGAGCGTTGTGTTTTTAAATTGCATTGTAACTCAACCCCCCCCCCCCCCACACACATACACACACACGCACACACACACACACACACGCATACACACACACACGCACACACACACACACACACACACACACACACACATACACACACACACACACACACACACACACACACACACACACACACACACACACACATACACATACACGCACGCACGCACGCACACACCACAAGTGTACCTGTAGGGCTGTTGTAGTATTCTCGTCCGATATCAAGTGTACCAGTACTGGACCAGCTCGGGGAATGGAATAATACAGACTTACGGTAATGAACCAATAGCATTACATGTACCAGTACACAGCACACTGCTGTTGTTTGGGAGTGTGGGTTGCTTTTCCCAAGTTCACAATGTTGATCCATGGCATCATGACATGTGATGGAGAAAAGTACAATCACTTATTTTTTTAATGTTCAACTTCTTCATATTCCAGTCAACCTAGCCACCAGGGCTTTGCAAGTGCCTGCACGGGATCTGTGACACTGCCTGCACTGTGACACTGTGTGCACTGTCGGGTCTATACCCCCGCCCAGTTGACTGCCACCCTAATTGGGTTGTGTTTCTCTCATTCTGTATGGTTGTGCGATCATGAATGACATTTTAACATGGTAGATGGTGATAGCAGCAAGCTGGCACGTCGTAATACAGATTCTAGCATCTCGGCTGCCAAGCAGAGGTACTTGGATCGCTGCAAGGTGCAACGGCCAACCTAGCCAGACCTTGCACACCGCAGATATTAGGATGTGTGTGATGGCGGGTCTGCGTCACGTCATATCGGTGTTAAGGAGGTAAGTCTGGCCTTTTGCTTATTTACTCTGTATTCCCACTGCTTCAATAGAAAACTTGGTGAGCCCGTGTGTAGTGGAAGGAGTCGCACTTGTGTGCACGCACGAATTAAGACAAAATGTGTTTGTGTGCTATATCACTCCCTGCCCTCATTAGCTACACTTGGTCATAGCAATGGAAGTTGATATGTTGTCAGTTTTGACTGTAGCATCATGGACTACACTAGGACATGCACTGTATGACTGATGAGTCAGTGTGATGGTTTCTACTTTGTCTGCAGGTATCATGGGAGGTCACTACTGTTCATGGCGGCTACCTGAGATCAAAACTGTGAGGTCTTATCTGGATATCTATCATGCGCCGTGTGTATCCCATTCGTCCGAGTGTCGCCTTAGTTATTGACGGACTGGTTGTATCTAATCGGCACAAAAGGGCACCAGCCATGTGGAAGTTGTACACTTCTCCTCTGCTTCTGGTGGGCACGCCAGCTTTGGACGCCTATCTGTGCTCCAGTTTGTAACCGAGCAATTCTGCTGCAGTCACTGCATCTCTCTCGCCCCCCCCCCCCCCCCCCTCACTCACAGACACACGCACAGACACAGACACAGCTACGCACCGTCAGCGGAGCTGGATTCTAAACTGGAACGTAGACGAGCATAATTTACTGAGTTTGTTTGAAAAGTGATCCGAGACCAGAGGCTAGGGAAGGGGGGCTCACACAACAACAATTATTGGATGGGACGCTGAACATATCTTTTCTCCGTTTCTACATTTACCAGTACTAGTATTCAAAATGCCAGCTGAAGCTTAGAACACCAAACATCATAATCATACAATTGAATCTCCTGTCTATAATGATTGTGTCCTTATGGCAGTACTTGAAGTAGCATGACAGCATATCTCTAGGGAGAACTGATCGTCTCCATGAAAATGCATGCAAATACGAATATAAGTTGAGGTGAAGTGTGCTGTAGCTCATAACATCACATTGCAACATGCTGATAGACACACTTTTCTTCTCTCAGTACCAGCGACACATGCCATATTTTTTTAACATGATAATAATTTTTTGATATTCTGAATATTGTTTGAAGCAAGCTGGTTTGCTAACATGCCTAGCTGGCCTTCATGCTTTCAAAGCCAAGAGCCGCACGAAGTTCAACCAGATCCTCTCACTCCAGTGGGACAACATACCATGATGTGTACATGTACTTTGATGACTCCAGCTAACTTCACTTCTTTCTCGTGACATGCCCGGCGTTAGGTAGATGTTCCCGTGAGCCCAGGCTAGATATCGAGTGCAGGTCTAAAATAGGCTGAAGTCCTTGTTCGTCTTGGCCATTTCATCAACGAATCTGAGGTTGGAAGCACATGGCATGCGGATGTACAAGAAAACATTGTACTGTGACTGCATCCTCCTAGCCAGAACACGTAGAGCACCCACATGTGCAATGTTTGAAACATTGCTTCATTCCCATGTTGCTCTTGTGGATGGGAAATACTGTAAAATATACAACATTTCGGCAGCTAATTCCGGCTATTCGGCACCGACCCTAAACGCCTAAATTAAACCGCTGATAATTTGTCTACATCGGCTTTGGTGATGTACTAATCGTAATTGCCGCCGAAATGTCGAAAATCGTGAAATGCCGAAATTTGTTTATTTCCAGTACAGTACATGTATGCAAATGTATTGCACAACACCGGTAGCAGTGGAACATCCTGCTTGGTTATTATGATGACTCACTACAATACACATGCCGCTGTAGGCTGTTTGCTGCATGCTGTAGTCACCGGTGTGACACGCACGCGTATCTACAGCTTTCATTGCCGACTTACTTTGTCACCTCGCTGGCAGCAATGCCACGCCGTCTCTCCAGCACCCACTGTTCGTCCTGCGGCATGCATGTACGCAGCCAACGGCCGTAGTCATTTGTCGTCGTTAGCTGCGGCGTGTAGATATCATTCGGACCTACATGTGCATGTGTCAGATGCGTGATAAGACAATAATACTACTGTTAAATTTGGGATTAAACAAAGTACAGTGAGACATAGGGAAAGGGTCTGTTCTCGTATGGCTGACTTAGGGCGCGTTTGGTTGGTACGAACTAGAACAGGATTCACCAGAACAGCGCGTTTGGTTGGGACTGCACCTGTTCTGGGTCGGCCAGAACATGTTCTGCTTGCTCCGGCCTCGAGGCCGGAGCAGACCGAGCAGTTTCACTTTTTCACAGTAAAACCTGGCGGGAACACCGATTTTGGTCCCAAATGATCACGTGCATGCGCTTTTAGGGGGGGGGGGGACTCGTTGTACCGTACGAAGTGACCATGGTGACCCATACACATTTTCAAGTTTCACACATTTTTCCACGAAAATGTGCTTTGTTTCTGAAGCACCGTTTGGTTGGCATGAGGCTGCTCCATGTGCACCAGCTGTTCGATCCTGTTCTAGATCGTACCAACCAAACGCACCCTTAGGTTACACAATGATTCCAAAAAATTCAACTGCCAATGATCTTTTCAACCTGATAATCTGAGGGCTACTTTATTCGTTTCAAAAGATGATTGGAACATGTTACCTATTAGCATTATACTGAAGCATTAGTGACAGTCATTGACACAGCAGTATACTGGACTAGATTCTGATCTGCTTCGGGACAGTGGCCACATGTACTCCAAGAAATATTAGTTGAGTTGGGCCCTGAGCGCATATGGATGTGGAAGCAATAAGATACAGATTAAGTTCAGCATTTTGAATGATGACGGCAGTGCATGTGTGTTTTTGCTGGCAGTTGAGCCTGTTTCGGCACTGCAGCCTCTCAGGTTTTTTATTCTTAATTTCGGTACTATTCTTGGACACATCGCCCTCAAGACTCATTACTTGTTGAGCGCAGTGTGCTTGCTGTTCATTTGTGAGGCAGATGATGGAGAGGTCCAAGAAGAACTAATTTCTTTGTTTTTAGAATCTTCCAAGGCAGCTAGATAGATACGTAGTGTTGCGTACCACAAGAATCTCGAACACTGAAATGTTTCGTTTGTTTGTCAGAAAAGCAACCATAACCTTCAATGACGACAGCTGCACATTTTCCGCCCTAGCTGCTAAAACCGGCGTCATAGACAATATGATACAATAGTAATGGCATTCGTAGTAGCCATGCTTTGTAAAATTTATGAAGTATCAACCGGCACCATACAGGCCAATAGAATAAGGACTGCATACAGTACACTCATACCTCGTTTATCCGGGCGGTTCGGGACCAGCACTACACTTAAAACTTTGAAAAGTCTGTAACTCCGAATCACATACATTTTGATCGGGAAAGGCCATAGATATGGCATGCTATTTCCACGTGTGTTAACAAATTCCTGGCACCCACTCACAGCGGCTTTTGAACTGGTCACTCAACAGCGGATGTTGTCTGATCACACTGATGGTTTGCTGCCAGGTGCCGGAGGTATAGGTGGGAGTTCAACATCTTAGGAGTAGATAATGTCAAAGGCCTTCGATACCAATTGCAGGGATCGGCTAATGGAGGTCCTGAATACCTTCATGACGGAAGAAGAGGTCCGTATGGTAAGAGTTCTCTTAGCCAACACACAGCTAACGGTTCGTGTCTCTAACCATCTCTCGAACTATTTCCCGACGACCATCGGCACACCTCAGGGGGATTCCCTCTCTCCCGTCCTGTTTACGGTCTATCTAGAAGCGGCCTTGAGAGAGGTGCGTCTCCAAGCACCACAAAAAGTTGTCGGGGACATACATCTGATACGTTACTATTTATTCGTGAAGACTTGGGAACGGAAACAAAACATGTCATGAGAAAGAACAACAGGAAAAAGAAGCACACTCAACTAATCCGTGTGTCTGCGTGCATGCAGTACAACTATGACGTAATGAATATAGATACACATCACGCCCCTTCGAGATGTTGCGAAACCTGTGACAGCAACATCTATCATAAATAAAACAAAATGAAGAATGAAAACAACAAAGCAGAGACAGCAGAAATTGACATTAGTGATCAAGAGTGTCAATCATAGGACTGTCCATGATGCGAACCAATGTTTAAACGCTGGGGTGGCTTGCGCTGACGTGCGCTGCGGCGGGACGGCGGCGGCGGGGAAGAGGCGTCAGCAGCAGCCGGTTGGACAACAAGCGGTGCAGGCACAAGTGGGCGATACGGACGCAGGAATCTGCGGTTCCGCCAATAAATGCGACCACTCGGCAACTTCACTAGGTAGTCCCGATGATTACCGACAGCAACAATGACCCCACGAATAGACCACTGCTTGGTGCGCGGATGCTGAACATCCACGTGGGTGCCGAGGCGGAGCTGCGGCAACGAGCGACGAGTTGACGACTTGTCTGTGACGGAATCGTCGGATGGCATGGCAGTCTCATCACGTGTCGTCGCTTTGGAGAGCCAGGATGAATCAAACTCCTTCCAATGTGCAATGACGAATGACTGGAGAGAGCGGCCATATAGGAGCTCAGCGGGGCTCTGACCAGAGGAGCCAGGTGTGTTTCGCCATTCCAGTAGCCCTCGGCGGAAGTCATCTGTGTCAAGATTGCCATTCACGGTTGTCTTGGTGATAAGACGCTTCATGGCTTTGACAGCAGCTTCGGCGTGCCCATTACTCTGCGGGTAGTGGGGAGAGGACATGACATGGTGTACCTGCCAGCGCTTACAAAACTCAGCAAACTTATGCGAGGAGAACTGGGGACCACCATCTGTACACAGCACAGCAGGAACACCAACATCAGAGAACCAGCGACGGAATGCGAGTATCACGTCATGCGATGAGGTGGTGCGGCCAGTACGCGCGACACAGGGCCAACCGGTCAAACGATCTGCATACACAAGGAAGTCGTGACCTTGACAAGTGAACAAATCGGCAGATGCACATTCAAACGGGAGTGTTGGGGTTCGGTCGTTCAGCAGGGGCTCAGCTGGCTGGGACGACTGGTGTTCGCGGCAAGCAGGACAAGAACGAACGAGTGTATCAATGTCCTTGGTGATACCGGACCAGTATACAAGCTGACGCGCACGAGACTTAGTACGCACTAGGCCTTGGTGTGAAGCGTGGAGGTTGTGCAATACCTGAGCACGCAATGATTCAGGAACAACAATGCGGTTGCCCTTCAACACAATACCATGGTCGACGGAGAGATGCTCACGTCCATTCCAGTACGCACGTAACGGAGCAGGCAACTTCTGCTGGCGATCAGGGAATCCAGTCAAGATACACTCAATCAATGACTGGTACATGGCATCTGCAGCTGCAGCTTCCCGCAGCTCTGCAACCTTGAGATTCGCATTCGGCTCAGTGTCAGAGTGCACCATGCAGATCTGAATGCTGCGGCAATGAAGCGACGGGGCTTCACCAAGCTCATCAGTGGTGGAAGGAATGCCAACAGGATTCCGGGACAGCGCATCGGCGAAGGCATTTTCAGAACCTTTTCGCCAATATGCCTGCAGCTGATAGGCTTGGAGCTTGAGGCGTAATCGGAGAAGACGCGGGTTCTCGATCTGATCCAACGAATATGAGTTGATGATCGGAATCAGGGGCTTGTGGTCGGTGACTACTTCAAATGGCGCACCAGACAGGTAGATGCGGCATTTGCGCACGGCCCATACTACAGCGAGCATTTCCAACTCGATGACAGCATAACGTGTTTCAGCATCAGACAGGTAGCGGGATCCACACTGAATAATACGCCACTGATCATTCTGCTTTTGCCAAAGCACGAATCCGAGACCTCTTAGAGCGGATGCATCGGTTTCAAGCCGGAGGTCTTGACCAACTTGATAGAAAGCGAGAACCGGAGGAGACAAGAGAGCTTCCTGTGTCTGTTCAAACGCTGCAGTGTGGCTAGCGTCCCACATGAACTCACGGGAGGTCTTGAGCAGGCCACGCAGAGGATTGGTCAACTCGGCTAGATGTGGAGTGAACTCGCCACATTGGTTCACTAGACCGAGGAACGAACGGAGATCAGTTCTGTTGGCGGGTACTGGAAACTGGCGAATACCGGACGTCTTATCATCGTCGACGACCCAGCCATCAGGCGTGACATTGTAGCCGCAGAAATGGACACGTTGCGTACCGAACACAAACTTGGCGGGGCTGAACGTGATACCATGCTCCCTGGCGCAGAGCAGAATCTCGCGCACGTGGCTGACATGCGACAGAAAGTCGTCGTCGTACGCTAGGCAATCATCGACTACCTTGCCGAGACGCGGGATGGCAGAGAACGCAGCATCAGTGCACTACGAAAATAATTCAACTGAGACAGAGTTTCGATCGCGGAAACTACTACTTCATACGGAAAAAAACAACTGGGCCCGTGCAAACACTACAAGGTGCGGACACAAGGCACGGACACAGGAAAGAACAAGTTCACTGCGCCATGATACGTTACTATTTATTCGTGAAGACTTGGGAACGGAAACAAAACATGTCATGAGAAAGAACAACAGGAAAAAGAAGCACACTCAACTAATCCGTGTGTCTGCGTGCATGCAGTACAACTATGACGTAATGAATATAGATACACATCAACATCTTCCATTTGAATTAGTGTATGCGGATGACACGGACTTCATGAGCACATCTCGACAGTGGCTGCAGCCGCTGGAGCCCATCCTCACTTACAACTGTGGTACGTGGGGTGTGACGGAGACCTGCTTCAATCAACTAGACTCATTTCATCGCCGCCAACTCCGGTCCATTCTGGGCATCAAATGGCCCCAAACCATCCGCGATGGGAAGCTCTACAAGCGCTGTGGCGTTATACCACTCAGCAAAGAAATAAAGGAATCTCGGTGGCGTCTATTCGGCCACATACTGCGGCTTGGTGAGGACATGCCTGCAATGTTGGCAATCGGGCATTATTTCCGGCAGGGGGGCTGACAGTGGCTACAGGGGCCGACCGCGTACCACACTGCCGATAGTGCTCGGTGCTGACCTGAGGCGGGTCGCGGAGGGCCGCATAGTCACCGCCTAGGACCTGCAACGTGTCAGAGCCATTGCCATAGATCGCACCAGCTGGAGAAACTCATTCGGAAGGTCTGTGACTGATTTCCGATGGTGCTCCATACCACTACTACTTTCTGGACATTGGCGCATCATCAGGAATGTGACAAACTGGAATATTACACTATTATTATCTCAAACATACACTGTACCTTAACTTTCAACCCATCATAGTTGTGATCTCTCTAACCAACTTTTGGGGAACTGGAGAAATATAATCATCGGATGATTCTTCTGTTGTATGTAAGTTAACGTCATAACATTTATTTGCCAATACCGGCATCATGGTTTTTGTGGCTACCCATTTGGCTTGCTGATCCATCCGGATGCAGGGGCGTAGCACCCGCTACGACTGGTACGACCATGGCCGTACCACTTTTCGAAAAGTGTGGTCCGTCCGAAACGTGCAAAACCGTAATAAAAAAAATCAGGATCAATCGCGCGATATCGATGCATATATGCGCATCAGACTTTGACCTTTTTCTAGACTCGTACTCGTAGATCTGCCATGCATCTGCAGTCGTACTGAGTACTGTACTCGACTCGACTGCACACTGCGCCAGAAGTGTGCCAGAAGTTCCCAGAACGCAGGATTTTGTGTCTTTTTTACAAAATTTTCCCGGGGAAGTCCCCCGGACCCCCTCCAACACGGCCTTTGGCCGCGCCGACCTTCGGTCGGACCACTTCCAAAACCCCTCCTATGCCCCTAAGATGTTATTTGTTCGTTCAGCATATTACTTAAAGTATTATTATATTTCCACAAAAAGTGACAAAAGAGTAGTAATATTTCTGCTGAAACTCGCCCAAAGGGTACCTGGCAGACCCGAAATGCCCCGCAACGTCGGTGTCCAAATAACCAAGGTATGAGTGTGCTGACAAGTGAGTATACTAACCAGCTTTATTGTGTCGATGCTTGGTTCTCAACTCCACGAACTTCTGATGAGACCCGCCATGGGCTGGTTTCCACCTGAGGAACTTTGGTGTTGGCGCTGTATTACCCCGCACCAGTGCAGGCACTGGCGGCAGAGCCCCGGGGACCGGCGGGAGAACCAAGCCCTCGCTGACCGGAACCTCGCTGGCTCGAATGGCTGCGGAGCGCGTTGATCTTGGGCGCTGCGTCCCCCGGCGTCCGCTAATCAACTCCGTGCGAGGATTCGACGATGGAGCGTTGCCACCGCCACTGCTGCCTCTCCGGCTGTGGATGTCAGCGCTTGTGATGCTTGGGTTACGCGAGTTTGAACTGCTTCTCCGGCCAGCGGTTATGGTGCTGTTCGATCCAGTCCAGTCACTCAAATCAGCCATTGCAGCTGCCCGAGCGCCAAAGTCGGCGGCACTTCCGTCCGTCTCATCTTGCTCATCCTGCTGACTCGCAACCTGGGTGTGTGGCTGAGAGGACCATTCAAACGGGTCTGCGAGACCATGCAGTGTCACGTTGAACAGGGCCATTGCAGTGCTATTGCAGCCCAGTATGCCGCTGGTCAGCACTGTCAATTGCCGCACGACTGGTGTGATTGCGGTGAATGCCGCGGATACCTGAAAACATAGGTATAAGCACAGAAAAGAAAGCAGTGTGTACTTGCACATGTATATGCTGATCTCGAGTGAATGATGCAAATGTCATTACACAGGCAGAATACTGATAATTCTAACCCCAAAATGCCAGGAAAAAAATGTCTAATTATCCGGACATTCTAATTATCCGAACATGTACTCACAACACACTACGTACAGTATTTTCCGGTGTGTTAGCCACAACGGGGTCTCAGCTGCACCCCTCTCCCCCCCCCCCCTTTCGGGTCCAAAAGTCGTATTTTTTGTCGACATTCGGTGTATATGTATTGAGGACGACTGAAGTTCTACAAAAGTTGCCTTGTTTGTCCTTCACCCAGAACTGACAACATGTAGAAGCTTCGCACTAGTACAATGATGAACTGCAGTACATACTGTACATGAAGAGTAGCTGAATGGCACCCCATACGTGCAGTATATGCCCGGAATGCTGTAGCTGGTTGATTAACATCTACATGTAGCTTTCGGAGTCTAAGCCGCAGGGGCGATTTTGGAGTTTTTATTTGTTTCAAAGTGTGGATGACGTATCCCGGAAAATGCAGCACGTCAAAAATGACTCATAATGCTCTCATTGTCACGCGGAGTTGCGCGATGCACCTTAGACACAGACTACGCGGACACTGAACTGGCCAGTACAGCCCACGCTCAGGCACTGAACTGACTTGTATAATATAGATCTACCATGATGTACAGCAAACTTCGAATTACGCTTTGCTAACTTCGAATTCGGCATCACCACTGCAAATCCCACACATTTTCAGTCTATGTGCGTGGATTCTGTGGGACTTCTGGACATGCCCAGTGATTGTCTCCTTGAAGTCGACCAATGACAGATCAAACTGCGCGGGCTGGAAAGCGCGGTCCTGCCTGCTCGAAGGTGATGGAACTGGATCCACTGCCCGTCGCCAAGTGACGACGGGCAGGAACGGAATCCACTGCGCTCATTGGCTCACGAACCTGGCGCGCGTTTCGTAAATACAATTGAGGACAACGGAACGCTTGTGGCTCAATGTACATGTAGCTGAACCATCACACACCATGTCAGTAGATCTACATGACATTGCTCATGATTGTATGGTGTGCGCGTGCAAGCATGCTCTTCCACTTGGGTGCACACACGGAAACACGTTCCAGTCACTCATACTCGGCCAGTACCACTGTTCATCCAGCCCTTGCAGCTATCGCGGCGTGGGCTGGATTCCACGGTACTGCCCTCGTACTCGTGCAGGAACCTGTACTTACAACATGAGTCTAGTATCAGGGTACGTGCAGAATAATTTCCAAATCGATGATTATGTATCTTGTCGTGAGTGGCATGTATAATATTATGTAGATAGAGCAAGACTCTGTGGATCATCAACATGTACAGTCATGTACATCTATGATCTTACCTAGAGGCTGAAGCGGCTACGTACACACCTGCACTACGTCTTGTCCCCAGCTTCGTGCGGTTCCTCGATGCTGTCTCCGCTAAAACCAGTCCGCTACCGGCAGAAGTAACAAGTATTGTTCAGTATAATTGTTGGCAAGGGACAAGTAGTTATGCTTGTTAGACTAAGACCAAGTAAGAGAGGCCGCACGTCAGTACTCGTGGGGGGGGGGGGGGGAGGAGACGATCAAGCCAGTGCCAGTTCCATAGCGATCTCGGCAGTCCAGGATGAGATCACTCGTACTTGTACTCACTAGACACTAGCCTGGCCCTATTGCAGCTAGCAGCACGTTTCGTTAGTTTGGTTTTGTATTAATTCGCACAATAAACATGATAAACGGGAACTAGGGCAGTATGCCAGGCTCTAGTCTATATCTAGGCTATTATCTAAACCATGACAGTCATCATGGTCATTGTGTCGATGATGTGAACTGTCTCTGAAGTGAGTGACCATGGTGACCGTGCACGGTGACACAAAAGCTCGAATTCGAACTGGAGCTCATGTCTTGAGACGTTGAGTTGTGAGTGTGACCAGGTGACCAGGTGACCAAGACGGCAAGACTAGAGTACTCTACTCTTGGTCAGTTGGTGTGACCAAGACGGCAAGAGTACATAACCATGATAACCCCCTCATAAGCTTATGTACTCTTGCCTTGGTGTGACTCTTGACTCGAGCCTTGCGTGAGTGTCTGATCGTGAGTGACCAGACGCGTCCTGAGTGACTCCTGACTCCTGAGTCCAGTCTTCCCCACGTGCATGACCATGGCGACTTGTACGTCATGACAACTGACTCGTACGGTACAGCTTGTGAGATTATGAGCAGGGAGTCGTAAAATACCGGTATTTTACGACTCCTGATAAGTGATTATGAGTGTGCTGCCCCCTCATATCGGCTCATATCAGGCTAGCCCGCCAGCACTGGCAGCATGGCTAGCAGCGTGCAGCGGGCGCCGCGCCAGGTGCACATGCACCGGTAATCCGGTATACGCGGTAGACCCAGGTGCTCGAAGTCCGTACATGGTATCCTAAGTTCGTACGCCCATAATTTCATGTTCTGTTATTGTATTTTTTTTTTTTTTTTTTTTTTTTCAGCTACGAAGCCTCTTGTACGGGCAAAATTAATAAACCCATACAATCATGTCATGAAAATACAAAAGATGACCAAAATGATAAAGTAATAATTATTGTTTGCGTTCCGGCTCTCCGCCTTCTCCACAGAAACACATGCCCATAATATCAAAAACGGGCAACGCCAGCTTCTGCAACAACAACCTCAGCAGAGACAGGATCAGCAGTGAGGTGAGCTGTGAATGTGCTGCGAGCCCCACGGAGGCACATGACGCTGGCACGCAATAATGCAAAGCTCAAGCGGCAGCGGAGGTTGGCCATCACGTTGCTGTAGGGCTCGGCGGTCTTCTCAGCTAGCAGACTAGCAATTCTCTTGTAGAATGCAGTGGCGCATCTGCTCATGCCCCCAGTGGTGGACAGGACGGCTGGGACGAAGGAGGCATGTTCGATATTGCGCACCCGCTGCTCATATGCCCTCTTCTTCTCCCGCTCATGTTTGACATAGCAAGCGGCAATCGAGTTGGAGCGATTCGAGGACGCATGTGGGTTGAACACCCGAACATCAACAAAGGTGCGCTCGAATCGCCCACCCCAAATGCCACTTGCTGCCACATCTAGCCGGGCGTGGTCATCGGTGTTGGCAGACCGGTACCGTAGCTGTTCCCCTGTCAGTGGTTGAAGGTGGGGCTCCACAGCAACTTGATGGGCGACTTGCTTCAATGTCCTGGCGGTTAGGTCCCGGATCTCATTATGCCGGAGGGTTGGGAAGCCTCCTAGGGAACATGACAGGGCATGGGACACGGAGAATTCCTTCCCGCATTGACAGGATGTCGGAAGTCGGGGAGGTAGCCAGTTGTACCGCAGGCACACAGCGTCGCGAAACTCTCCTTTCGTGAGGTTGAAGCGGTGACAGCGAAGAGGTCTGCAGGTGAGCCAGCTGGAGGCGCCTTTTTCCGCTGCCAAATCCAGGGTTCTCTGCATGTCCGCCGACACCGATGAGCGGAGGAGCAAAGCATCAGCTCGAGCACTATCCCGGGTATCGGATCTGGCCTGCGCCTTTGCCTGCCGGACGCGCGCAATGGCATTGCCCAGCTCAAAGTCCTGTCGTAGAATGCATTCGGTCAGCGCCTGAGAGACCCGAACTGAAGACTCGTGTTGTTGGGCAACTGACGATGGAGGTGTCAGGCCCAGACCGCCGTGGCGACATGGTAGGGCGATCATTGCCCTCTCCGTGGCGTTAACCTGACGGCCAAGGAGAGCAGGAACAAGGCAGTTGGTGACTGCATCATCGAGCGGCGTTAACTGCTCAGCGAGACCGGGCATGGTGCGGCAAAGGAATGTCCACTTGCTCTGGAGGCCGCGGGTGAAGGCAGAGTACGCTGCCTGTGGCTGCGAGGTGGCTATCTCCCCCAGTCGCTTGACCTGCTGTGTCCATGTGGCTATCTTGCCGTCTGCGTACGCTGTGGTGAAGTCGGTGGAGCCGATCGCCGCACCCAGATACCGACAACCGTTGGTGTTGATGGTGACACCGGTGCCGTCAAAGATCTGGACTGCATCTGCGTAGAATTCAGGTTTCACGCTGAGGACGGTTTTCTCGGCATTCGGGTAGTACCCATAGCTGGGTCCCTTTTCGACCAGGAGATCCCACCATTGGCGAAGTTTGACAAGCTTCCCACCCGCACCTGAGTCGTCGGCAAACCAGGATTGGGTAGCTCCGTCGACAGCCACAGCCTGTATCAACGGGAGGACACCCAGAGCATAGATAGGCATGGCAATGGGGTCGCCTTGTGTTGTTCCTTCCGATGATTTGATGGTCTCTCCTCCCACATAGAGGTTTGCTGGATGGCGGTAGGTGTTGGTCACCAATGGCGGGTCTGTTATTGTATTCGACTCAAATATTTTATGGAGGGGACAGTGTGGTATGTTCTCCTCGCGTACCAATTTTCAGGGATCTACGATCAGCAGAAGTCCCATACCACGGGAGTGGGTTTTCGAGTGTCCATACGAAATACAAATTGGGTTACATTTCATGCAAAAATCAACTTTGCCAAGACCGATTTCGAACGGACACAGCGTCAAACAGACCTTCACTCAATCATCAAGAGCCAGCTTAGAGCTGACAATGGCCAGAGGAGAAGAATTTACAGAGAACCACCAATCCTTGCAGAAAGGTTGACACTCCTGGCATCTCCACCACTGTTTTCCCGCGGTTTTCACAGCGCAGCTGCTTCTTCTCTGAGCCGACTAAAAACAGCTTGCATTTCGGCAACAAACTACGCTTTTGCTAGAAATACCGGTGGAGGCACATGCCAAACATATCCCTTCGGTGCTTTCGTCGTAACCGAGGGATTGCAAGTTAACAATTAGCAGAAATATGTGTGTATTTCGAGTCACCTCTGATCAGTACGGACTTAGAGTACCCTCTGCGACACCAAATTTTGATATGAAAAATGAGCGAACTCCAGAGAAACAGATCAGATCGAAAGATGGCCTGGTTCAATCGAGCCTGGCCTCAAAACAAACTTGGACAAGATACCTTCCATCCACGAGCAGGATTCTGGCAAGTGATCATTGCTAGTGTGAGTTTCAGCTCGGCAAACACACTGTAAACGTGTACGGACTTCGAGCACCTGGGTCTACGCGGTGTACCGGTGTGTGTCTCCCCGTAGACCATGTAGACCTAACGTAGATCTACGTATACGTGCTCATCGATCGATGTGATGCATGTGCACATGCATCACTTGCGCGTGGCATGCACATGTTTCGTACTTTTGTAAATGACGTATGACGCCGGCTTTTTCATCACGCATGCATGCAGGACTACAAAGTACAATCAACTCACTGCAATCAACTGTGCAGTGTACACACGTTCTACGTAGCCGTAGCACTGCATGCCGGTTTTTTCGTTGGCTCGATGGTGTACTACAATGTAGTACAGCGTCTTTGGGAAAATGCCGGTGTTCCAATGACTGATTTTCTTGTGTTGTCTTCTCCCTTGCTGATTTGCTCCCTTCTCGTTGCCTGTTGGTGTGCTCTATTGAGAAAGAAAGTGGCGAGGGGAACGTCCATTCGGTGGCGCTTTGCCATGTCGTCGAGGGACACGCGATTCATTGCGTCAGCCGTGATTGTGGCAGCCTCTCTCTTCTTGGCCGCTCGATTTCTTTATACGAGATACGATGGGGACAATTTTACTCCAACGCCTATGCCAGAATGGGAAAAGCAGGTCAAGAATAATTCCAAATGGATTGTTGTGACGACTATTCAGTCGCCGACGAAGCCCATGATTAGACTGTCAAAGCTTTCAGGGTGGTCTGTTGTAGTTGTTGGTGACACGAAAACACCAGCTGACTGGAGTCTCTCTAATTGCGTATTTCTCAGTGTGGAACGCCAAAAAGAGCTGAATTATCGCATACACAAGCTTCTCCCATATCGAGCTTACTCGAGGAAAAATATTGGATATCTGTTCGCTATTCGTCATGGTGCTCACGTAATTTATGAAACCGATGACGACAATGAGTTGATTGCTAATTCCATCGAGGAAGCGTTTCAAGTGGATTTGAAGCATCTCAATAAGGACTTGATGGTCTACACTCCAGGTAATCTCTCTCTTTCTCTCTCTCTCTCTCTCTCTCTCTCTCTCTCTCTCTCTCTCTCTCTCTCTCTCTCTCTCTCTCTCTCTCTCCCCTCAAGAGATATTTGGGCTACAATATAGCGAATGTATTATTGTAATGTACATTCGATAACAACTCAACTCATAACTTTCAAAAGTTGAAGTTGAGTTGAGTTATCATTTTTTTGAATGATTAAGTATTAATGAGTACCGTAAAAGTCCGTAAATCAGTACCTGCCCGAAATAAACACCCCTTTCATTCTTGTTACTCTGTCTGTTGAAGTCAAGTTAAGCCCGATAAACATACTGCCCGAAATAAGTTCCGGCACGGTTCGCACATGCAGCACGTAGCATGTACATCTACAGTGAGTGAAATCCGACACTTGGCATGAGGGACTACACCATGCAGTGCAGTGTGCAGCCCTGCATACGTAATACATGATTGTGTTACATACAACTTTTATCTGTCTCATGACAGTAATCGTACTCATCACCGTCAAGGTTCACTTCAAAGACAAAGGTTCAAAGGTGCTCGCAAAAATGAATGGGGACTGGATACCAATATTCTTTATGTGTACCATGACTGTGAACTGTGTGTAGCTACGCTGTGACCTTTCAACATTTTGTACAGTGCATTACATCATTGATGTCCATTTGTGGCGCTGTCCCCTATGGCGAGTGTCGGATTTGAAGAAAAAAATTCTCCACTACACACAAGTTGGGTCCGAAAGTTAGTTCGTGCCCGGAAGCCAGTACCCGCCCGAAGGTTGGTGCGCGGGTGTGACCACTAAATTCGAAAGTAAGCACGTACTTATTTGCGGACTTTTGCGATAGATTTGCAGCCACCACCTTCACTTAAGTGGCAGTAAACTCGGCCGTTTGTTTACATTGTAAAATATGCAGAATCACATGCCATTCGTCCCGAAATGATATCCACAACTCGCTTTCCCCAGTAGAGTTAAACACATGTGTCAGACAGTCCTAGGGCATCATCGATTGGCGAATCTGGATTGAGTGCGAGCAGCTGGTGTGGTCCGAGCAACGCTTGCCCAATCGAACAAAGTAAGGGTGTCGTACGCCAATGGTACGCCTATCGTACAAGTATTCTGCGAAAGCTGTGAAACACGTCAAAGTCCGTTTCCACTCCAGCCACTCCCGGTGTGGCGTGTGGTCGGATTGCACTCCAAGTGCACCTACTCTGGAATCGACCGAACGATCACGCTCACTCGAAGCGCACTTGCTCGGGATTCGCCCAATCGACCATGCCTCTAGTCTGAGTAAGTCAACACTAATCATCACTTGTAGCTTTACACTTAACACCTTGCTGAGCAGGTTCCCACCACACTCCTTGTTCACTATAATTATGCTGCCTGCACTTCTGTATTGGCTCAGTGGAGAATTGACTCAATTGATGCGTTTGTGGCAGATATTGGGATATTAGCATGGTACAAGTGATGGTATCTCTTAATTTGCTGGCCGAAAATCCTATATATAGGATTTGAAAATGTGTGCCTTTTATGCCGTTGTTATTGGTCATCACGACCAATAATAACGACATAATGGTTTTCATGGAAGTTGTAAATATGTTTGAGGCATGAATGTTTACATTTTAGATTCATAGGGCGATAATATTTCTGATGAATACCCTTTTTTAGCAATAATTGGAAATTTGAGCATAATTGTTCAGCTGCTGTCATGGAAAGGACTGAAGCAGTGAATGTGCAGAAGAACATTGCAGGTGTGGCACGGGGTGGTTTTATGACGACATCTCGCACATGCCGTCATGAAACTACCAGTTTTAAGGATAAAACAAGGTCCAATAAAATCTCAAATCCTATATATAGGATTCGAAAAATAGGGCACAGGCCTTGGTAATATTGGGCAAGGAGATGAGCCTGAGATGTTAGGTGTGGCACGGGGTGGTTTTATGACGACATCTCGCACATGCCGTCATGAAACTACCAGTTTTAAGGATAAAACAAGGTCCAATAAAATCTCAAATCCTATATATAGGATTCGAAAAATAGGGCACAGGCCTTGGTAATATTGGGCAAGGAGATGAGCCTGAGATGTTAGTGTTTGAAAAAATTATCTTATTCAACTCTCGATATCTACTAAGACCTAGCAAGGAAAAATTGGTCACATACTTTTTCTATTCTCATGCCACACCCATTTTGAGTTGAAAAATATGCCAAAATCCTAATATAGGATTTAGCAAATTAAGAGATAAGTGATGCTGTGTATAGCGTCTTGTCCGGGGTGCGCCCAGGGTTTTGTATTTTAGTTATCGTTCTCAGTCTATTTACAAGCTGTTCTCTTCGGCTCACTGACCATAGTCCTCAGCGCATAAAGTTAGTGAACACAGCATTGAATGCTTAACGTCCGGGGGGGGGGGGGGGGGGGGGGCATTGACCACGTTGCACGCTGACACATTATTCGCCTCTCGTTTTTCGTCTATCTTGGCTGAGTCACACATGAGACAAGCCGAGTGTAAAAGCTGTGCTTGTGGACACATAAGTGCGAGTTCAAACCATTCTTCTACACGAGCCGTAATTTATGCGATTTTAGCCGATGCACAAAGGCATGCGTATGCGACAAGGCACTCTTCCGAATGTCTTTTACTCATGCTTTCATACAAAACTATGGCATATCAATCAGCAGCCGACCAAACTCAGTGAAAAAGCACACGCCCGGTCATGCTAAAGGAACCCTCCTGACCTGTAAGATTCACATACCGCAATGACACTATCCATTCACGTTGAGCACAACGGGCACCCGAACACCAACGGGACATGTGTCCTTAACCGTGAGACTATGTACTATGTAACCTCGGTGAAATCGTAACTTCATTTCTAGCAGCAGAAGAGGGAAATAAGCAAGAACCCAAGGCTCAATAGACATATCTAAGTTGAACGTCTGTGTGTATTCTGTTTTGTTGCAGAGCGCAGCACTGTCAATCCATATGTTCACTTCGGTCAGGGCAGCATATGGCCTCGTGGCTTTCCGCTATCTGACATCGCTCATAGGTAATATCTGATTTCTGTAATACTGCATTCCAATCACAGTTCCTACCACATATTATAGCATCAACCCTTTTTGTGTGTGTGTGTGTGGGGGGGGGGGGGTGACAATGATAGCAGGAGCATTATTCGTTACAGCTACGTTAGGTGAAATTTAGGATCAATGTAAACGCCGCGCAGATTCGCACCTGTGAAACACGTAACTACGTCATCAAAACCAGCTCCCTGCATTGAACGTCTAGATGCGTTACTACTGTATCTATCCCTGTCTCTGAGTAAGGTACTTCGTAGAGGATAAGGACCATTGCGAGCAAGATTGAGTCTACAGGACTACGAAGTGTTTCCAATACGAAACATATGTAGTGTAGACGTAATAAACTTGACTGCTGGGCGGAAACTTTAGGTATCGAGGAGCAGCTTCCCATTGGATGATGTGTACTAATGTTGGTATTGGTATTGAGACACTAGGTATGAACAGGCTCGTCGGAACCGGTGCAGTTGGTCTGGTTATTACCGGACCAATTTCTTTTGCCACCAACATGTGTTTAGTACTGTGGAGGGCATATCTATCCGACATTTCTATACCCAAAGTACGAAAGGCCACGATACTACCTGACCACTGCTTCCGGCGGTCTTGACGAAGGAGATGTACCGAATATTTCTCAAATATAAATGTGTTCAATGTGTATCACTGCCTGGCTCTGTGTTCTTCCCATGTGCTGTCCTAATTTTGTCGTGACCAATGTGTTCTTGTGATATGCGTTCTATCATAACCAATGTGTTCTTGTGATATGTGTGTGCTCTATCATGATCAATGTGTTCTTGTGATATGTGTGTTCTATCATGACCAATGTGTTCTTGTGATATGTGTGTGCTCTATCATGACCAATGTGTGCAGCTACAAGCCTGTGCGCTACTCCAAGTATGGCACTGGCCTGATGCCACTTATCCAACAGGGACTGGCCAATGGCGATCCCGATGTTGATGCCATTTTCCGATTGACTCGCAAGGAGGCCGGCAAGAAGATTGTGGTCAAGTTCGACGAGAAGGCCCCGCCGGTGGCTCTGCCGCCCAGCATGATGACACCGTTCAACTCGCAGAACACACTCTTCCACTACCAAGCACTCTGGGGTATGCTGATCCCGATCACCACCACCTTCCGGGTGTGTGACATTTGGCGTGGCTACTGGGCGCAGCGGCTCAACTGGGAGGTCGGCGGCACGCTAACGTTCTCCACCGCGTCGGTGTACCAAGACCGCAATGAACATGACTACACTCTAGATTACGCCGACGAAGTTGATCTGTATAATGATGCCGGTCGTCTTGTCAAGTTTCTCATCAGCTGGAGAGCACCCAGCTCTGCTAGTGGGTTCTTTGACGTTGCCAGGGCACTGTCGACAGACATGGCTGCCGCAGGCTTCTGGAAGAGTGGCGATGTCGCATTGATCAATGCATGGATCGGCGATTTGATCAGCGTGGGTTACAAGGAGCCGCCACTTTACAAACCCTCCAATCCCAAGGCAGCTTTTGGCGGCAATGTAGCATACCAGCCCAAACCAGGCGTCACATGCAAGTGAAGACGGTGACATGAAAAATCAAGATTGTTGGAGTGACTATTTCCTTCAGATTTTTTTCTTTTTTTCACTTTATATTGTGTAGTGGAGACGCAGATATGATTACGATGTTCAACTGCTGGTATGCTTGCGTGTGTGCTTGCTTGAGCTGCTTTTTATTATCATCATTTATTAGATTAACCACAACAACTGAATCAGCCGGCCAGCCCCTTTCTTGTCTGTCCAATAGCACGTAGGCTTAGCATTAGCAATGATCTTGTACTCACATGGCTGTGCTACATGATGTGTACGTTAGCGTCTGGGTGCTTGCTGTTTCATGAAAGCAGGTGCACACCTCCATCCCCCCTCCCCAATCTACTCATCGTTACACTCATACCGGGTATGTCATGACCAAGCGTTCATAACCAAGAGCATGCAGCTGTGATCATGGGTCTGTGTCACAGTGTGTGTGGCGTGCTGCCTTCATTACTAGTAGGTAAGGGCATGGCAGAGAGGGCCTTATGGCTTGTTAGTGTCCGACAGGTTAGCCTGAGGGCCGTAGTCAGCGGGCTTTAACTAATCCAAGGCCCTTGACGCGTCATCAAAGAGTAGTAAAATGACGATTGAGCGGGCTTTAAACTCTGATAAGGCCCTTGGCGGGAACGTCACTGATTGGTCGCCTCCTGGACAACGAGACAGACCTCGTTCTAAAATCATTTAAAACTTGCCTGCGCCCTCGTCCTGTGCTCATTGCATCTCGTGCCAGCATACTAGTATTTACCTATAGTCAACTAACTTCGCTTATAACGACACTCGGCGGGGCATCAAAAAGGTGTCCTTATTCGCGAAGTGTCGTTATACCCGAAGTCTCATGATATGTATTACAGTGGGATGGGACTTTGCTCTGGGCATGGAAATTCTGTCATTCGCGAATTGTCGTTATATCCGCAGTCGTTATTAGCGAAGTTGACTGTATATACATGGATTTGCTTGATTCTTTCGAGTGCCGACACAATCTCTAAATAGGTGCATGAACTTCAGCGTGTACAGAAGTTGGTTTCAAACTGGACATGGATTGTGTGGTGATTTTCCGCTGTGCATGGATTCAGCTGCATGATGTACACTTGCATATAGTTACGAGTATTGTAAAAGTTGAATCTCGTTTTCACTATTCCGCGAATCTGTACGTGGTCACATAGGGAACCCTGTAAAAAGGCCTTAGGCCTGTGGGGATTGCCCCATTCAAAATTTAAATAATAATAATAATCTCAAGCAAGGCAAAAAACCAGGGAGTCGTCAAATTGACGACTCCCTGCAAAAAAACGTTCTAAAGAGAGAGAAAATCTATCCAACTGCGCCTGCGCTGTGAAGTGGGAAAAATTTGCAAATTGTTCAACTCAGTAAAAAAAACTCTTACGGTATGTGTGCCCAGAGTACTAGAGTGGTGCCCCCGGGGAGTACGAGTACCTGGTCCCAGCATGGCCTGATATAAATTAAAGGGGAGTGAATAACTACGGTCTACCACGAGTGCTCTTGTTACTAAGGGCTGTGTTCCGCTCATCCATACAAAAACATATAGGGTACCCCGTAAGAAGGCCTGAAGCGGAATTCACAGAAGCTTTTTTGCGATGCGACACGCGATGCGACGCGATCTGCGACGGACGCGTGCGATGCGAACTCGCGAAATACACTGTACCATTCACAGAAGAAGTCAGCGATGCGACAAATTTTTGCAAAGTCTTGCTGATTTGAGTACGTCACCATGATATTTGCGCGGTTTGGTACAACCTGTACAAATTTATAGGCAACTCTTGCACCTTTGTACAACTTTGCTGTAGAAAAGGTCAAAATCGTACGCCAAATCGCTTGTCGCATCGCATCGCATCGCAAAAGTTGAGCCAAGCTCAACTAATTAATTATTTACTTCTGCGATGGCCAGCGATATCAAGTGCGATGCGACACGCGATGCGACAGACGCGAAACCGGGAAAACCCCAAATCGCAGCCATGTCGCACCCCACGCAACTGCCGCAACTGGGCCATCGCAGGCCATCGCAGAAGTTGAGCTTGGCTCAACTTTTGCGATGCGATGCGATGCGACAAGCGATTTGGTGTACGATTTTGACCTTTTCTACAGCAAAGTTGTACAAAGGTGCAAGAGTTGCCTATAAATTTTTACAAGTTGTGTCAAACCGCGCGAATATCATGGTGACGTACCCAAATCAGCAAAACTTTGTCGCATCGCTGACTTCTTCTGTGAATGGTATTTCGCGAGTTCGCATCGCACGCATGCGCATCCATCGCAGATCGCGTCGCATCGCGTGTCGCATCGCAAAAAAGCTTCTGTGAATCCCGCTTTAGGCCTGTGGGAATGCCCTATTAAAAATTTAATAAATAATAATAATATAATATTATGTACTCTCGGTCAGAGTAAAACTGTCACAGATCATAGTGGCTAAACCACTATTTACACGTCTCACACCCCGGCCCTTGCGATCTTCAACCTGCTAAGAAAACCAATTACCATAATTATTATCTCTAATATAAGCACAGCCTCCAATAATAGCACGTCTCCAATAATAGAACACCTTGGGGCGGCATTCAAGAAATAAAGTGCTCAGTCTCCATTATAAGCACACTGTGTAAATTCATTATCTGTACCGGCGAAAAAACCCTGAAATGTGTGTGTCATACATGAATTTGGCATGGCAACATGCCTCTGAAATGAGGTTGAAATAATAATGGAACAGTCTCCAATAAAGGAACGTCTCCATTAATAGCACGGGGCGGAGGTACATTGAAAAAATAATGCCGGACCGTGCTTATATTAGAGATAATACGGTAATAATAGTTGCTTCAACCTCATATTCAAGTATGCATGTTTGCTGCCAACTTTTTTGGTCCCTTTTCTGGATAGAACATGCATGGCGGCGAGTATCGGTGCCAGTACACAAGCTCCCAAGAGCTTATATTAGGGCGCATTCGAATTGTCACTCTTTGACGTTTCGAGGACTTTCGTTTTTCTGAAGAGGTGGCCTTATTGGCCTCTTCAGAAAAACGAAACTCCTCGAGACTCCACAACCTCACCCGATGGGAGAGGTGGATTAGTTCCGAAGAGTTTGAAATAGCTACGTCACGTAGTACGTGGAGATGGTCGATCTGATCGGACGTCATCATCGCCATGACAATTCCACTGAAAAACTCTAAAATGATAGAAACCGCTCTAATGGGACACTTCAACCAAGATCACATGAAAACCTTTTCATGTACTCTTGCCTCAACTAATCTCTTTAAAAAAATTGTTCGAACAGTTGATGAAGACAATTCGAATTCACCCTTACAACTTACAAGTAGTGTTCAGCTGTATGCGCCCGGTGACTTGGTCAAAATCTCAGGACTATGATGACAGATCCAGCTAGACTGCTGCACAGCAAGAGCAATATTCCTCCCGGTTGGATGTTTAAAATTCCAAGCATGACAGACGGTTTGTGCATTACACTAAACCTGTGACATCATCTGCTACGGGCAATTTGCTGGAGATCAGCGCCATTCAAATGCAACTCCGAGTCTGCATGTGCATACAGCAGCCACAATATCGTGAGTGTACACAATCGGAATTGCCTCAATGTCAAAACACTACCCTGCTTTCCATTAGGGCATAAAATGTCGTTCTCCCTTGAGAATCCAGACACGGCTGATGTATTGCACATTCAGCAACATGAAAAGTAGCGGTGCATGTAATAGGTTCTTCATTTGACCTGACTAGACCACACGGCGCTTGCAGTGACCAGCATGAACAGTTCACCAGCCATACCCCACGGTAGCAAGTAACTAGTTAGTTGCTCCTGACAAGTCTTGTTTCGTTCCATTTTCATGACGGGACCTCATCGGAGGAGAAGCCTTGAAGTTGAAACAAGTGATACCATTATACTCAGTGGCCCAGCAGAATGTGCCTTGTAGTGCTGCCTTTGAATCAGGGAACTTATATGCCCCTTTTTTTAATTCCCTTCTTTGAAATATAACGGATTTTTAGTAAAATTACAATCTCATTTCCCTCTCCTACTTCGAGTACATACAGTGCTGCCGGGCACCAAAGAACGGCCAGGCTAGAATTAACCGGCAATTTTTAGGAACAGTGTAGGCTGGATTTTTTGCAGATAAGAACGGACTAACCGCAATATACACTATTGTACACTAAGACGTATAACTCTGCATAATTGTACATGTAAGACTGTACTACCGTATAAGAACGAAACTGCTGTGTTCACTAAAAATAAGAACGGGCTAGGCTAGAACCGTGACCCCCCCCCCCCCCCCCCCCCGTTCTTCGGCGCCCGACCGAGTACTGTACTTCATGCTCTACTTGGTGCTTTTCTCCAATGTCATGCAGTCGTATTTATTCAGCTTTTATTTCTTGTGCACTTGCATACTGGTATTAGTTTAGTCCCACAACCTGCGATAAAATGATCAGCTGTAGCACCTACTCCACTTTTATGTTTATGTATCTACATGTATGTCATTCGGATCTTCCCAAGTTGTACATTGTACTGTTGAGATACCGAATTCAAATAAATCAATACCAATACCATTATGCAGTGTAGATACTGGTGACGTACGTAAATACTCCAATACCATGAATACTCACATCACTAAAGCTTGCATAGACTTCGGTCCTACCGGTAGGACCTACCGGTAGGACCATCATACACAGACATGCTGCATGGCCATTGTTGTAACATTGGCCTAAAACTTGACCCTAAACTGTTGCTCAGGGGCTAATGAAGGAGTCCACAAATTTTAGACGTGATCGCACAAAGCATAGTACGAAATTCCATGGTAACAGCAAATGGTAACCATGGAAACGGTGTGTGGAATTATGCACTCCACTGCGTTGGTAGACTAATAAAAATATTAGTACCTCACCACGATTGATGTGCCATGGTCAAAATTCACTTTGGACAGAGTTGCTAGCGCTCCGACAGGAGTATGTGCGGCCATTTTGACAATTGATAAAATTGCGCGTATGCAATGCACTGGACATAGTCTTGCATTTTGCGCCATTACTTTGCCTGACAAAGACCTCATCTCAACAATTGTTTCAAGAAATTTCTCAACCAAAAGCACTTTTGCAGCGCGATTTCTTGGGTCCTACCGGTAGGACCCGTGGTCCTACCGGTAGGACGGCATGCAAGCTATCAAATATCACGTATTTCTCATATTAAAGGCCATGGTAAAATTATCTTTGATTCTCAAGTACGTGCGCACCGATTTTGGCGGCGCACCGACGATTTTTTTTAATTCTATGCATGCATATGCGCGCATGAAAACGGTCAATGCGAAAGGCATGAATCAGGGAGTAGTAAAGTACCGGTATTTTTCTACTCCCTGCCCTGAATATAATACATGTGACCATGTACATATGACCCAATCTTTGGAAATAAAAAAATTGTGGGAAATAAAATAAAAATCGCTCGCTCGCTCGCTCGCACCGATTTTCACAGGCTCAGGCATGACCTGAGAATCAACTTTATTTTTTACCATGGCCTAACCAGCAACTTTTCGTCTGGATAAGAGACGTTTGAGTGTACTCAGTACTGTTGAGTTACCAGAGGAGAATGTGCTCTCATACCATAGCCAGAGCTGCCATTCGATTTTTTGGAAACACTACGATTTTGACAGGTTGTTTTCGGACACACCAACCCGAATACAATCTCACTTTCTTACTAGGATTTTTCCCAAAAGTGCCCTGATCGGTTGTTTCAGGCTCTTTTAATTAAACTCCTAAAAAAGCTTTGGCTTATAAAGGGTGCGCTGCCTCTTTACTCCTCTGCCCCTGGCTCTCTCTCTCTGCACGCAAACCATAAACTACTGTCGTCGACATGGAAATCCAGTCGAATGACCAGGGCCTGCGCCCTCAGCGCGTGCAGAACGTTGCATGCAGTGCACATGTTGATCCGATGGGACCATGTACCAGCGCGCTGCAGCGCATAATTTTTTTAATGCATGTGTCACGGTACCGCTTCAAGTATCCACGGCTGCATGGCGAGCGCCCTGGTGCCGCTAGACGTGCGACCGGATTTCCATGTTCACGACAGTACACAAGTGATGCGTTCTAGGTCTTACAATTAAACTCAATTTGGCAAAGATTATCCTGACCTAGCAGTTGAAAAATAGATGCTTGGTCAGCTTCTACACTGTAGTAGCTTCAATGGGAGGGGACTCCGTTAATAACTTTTTTTTTTAGCTAGTGCATGGCAGGTCGGGCCTAATGGCTTGTTAGCGCCCTTCATGTTAGCCCTGGGGGCTAACCTGACGGGCACTAACAAGCTGTAAGGCCCGACCTGCCATGCACTAACCTACATCGGTATGGTTACTGCTATTCTTCCCGTTTACATCTTTCCCTCAAACCAATGAATATTCTAATCATCATGGGATGTTAACCTATGATGTTGCATGGTGGAGTCTTGTGTTTCAGACTGACACACACAAAAAAACACAAAAAAAGAGAGGAAGGGAGATGATGGTGGCATGATGCCAGTAACATGTTACCTGCATGCCGGCCACTGACACTGTCTAAGCTGTGGCAAGAGCCAGCCTCATGACATGGGCCCAGCACAGACTGTCCAGTGTCCACCATCACTCATCAGTGCAGTCATAACTATTCCAGCCCCATGATTCCACTTGCTGGTATGCAGCGTGACATGTGCGTTTACCGCGCATGTGACACTACAGCTGTACAGTCACACAGCACTGCAAAAGCTAAGTGCAGTGATTTATGGTATGCCTATACTAGCACCTATGCCTGGTGCAGGTAATGGCTACTAGTACTAGTATTAGTACTAATGCTACGACTGAGGCGTGCATGCAGTCAAGAGTAAAGACTTGGAGTTGGACTGGCTGGGTAACTCGGATCCATGCATGCGCATCGCCCAGTCAACACGGCGTGAGTTTTGCTTGCTCGATCGAGTAGACCTACTCGAGTCGTGACTCACGCCACGGTCCGGAGTGCAGCCCTTGTTGTTTTGAGTCTTGTCGTAGATGTGTATGGTTTTCTTCTTTGACAGCTACTAGTACTACTCGTACAGTGCAGTCTACGTCTAGTGTCTAGTAGATCTTCTAGTACTACTTTTCTAGTAGCTAGCGCGCACCGCGCGGGTGGTGTAGGTCTACCAACAGAAGATCTTCCATGGTGTGAAAACTGCTACCAGTACATTCTAGAACATATTTCTGTTTCGATTGGACTACAGTGCTCAGACTGGTTGTTGGGTTAGCTAGCACAGGCAGAGATAAGTAATCAGTTAGCTAGCACGGGCGACAAACTCGAAAGACTAACCGGATCGCTCCTGCATCTCACAGAGTTAGCGACTCAGCAGAATGGGATCAGACGCTTGCGATGTCAGGGACTCCGTACAGCAGAGTTTGGAAGCGCTGGAGAAAGCTGGTAGCACGGTACCGCAGCTCGCTAGGACCTGGATAGAAGCCCAGCTGCTGCACTTGTCTTCGAGCTCTACCGAGAACCTGGCAAATAATGGACAGCGACAGGTAAGAAAGAAAGGAAATAACTAATTACGCAATCACGCAGCACTACAACCAGGGAGTCGTAAAATACCGGGTATTTACGACTCCCTGACTACAACTAAGTTACTTCAGCGCTCCAGCGGCGCTTGTTCGAGCTGTATGATCTGTTGGAAAGGCTGATGCCCGCTGTAGCGATGTAGGTTCAGAGATCAAACTACCACCAAACTAAAGTAGTTACTTGAGCCCTGCATGATCGTATTTCACTGGTGATTACCGGTATTAATTTTTTAGGGCTGAGTTATGGTTCGGGATCGGTAATGTTTCCATGGTAACACCACAATGCACCCCTTCCCTTACACACTGGGTAGACATGCGGAGTAATACATGTACATGAATTTGTATACGTGATGTCATCTGCGACTTCGGGTTTTCGGGTACTATTTTGTACCCGTCTACCCGAGGTCCTCACGGGTAGCACGGGTACCCGACTACCCATGCACGCCACTAATTATTTTCATTGCTTGTGCTACGTAGTAACGATGCAGTACCTTCCATGATCTACGTAATCTGGTAATCATGACCGTATCTAGGACATGTGCACCGGTGGATTGCAACGTTGTACGAGATTTAGTACGTATAAATTATGCCGCGGAAAAATTATACTGATTATTATTCAAATCAAGGTTGAGATACACATGTATGTGCTTGTATCCAAGTGTGCACTTCTTTACGTCCACCGGACCGTTACTCATAACTGTATCTGTTATTACGCGCGAGCTTTGCTGTCAAGATTGACTACACTGAGTAGAGGGAGATTCGTCTCTCCAGTGAGAAGGCGGTATTGCTGTGCCCCGAGTGAATTGAAGTAGAAGAATACAACACTCTTCAAATACAACACACACAACTATTGAACACGTTGAATACAACGACTTAGCACGCCGGAGCTAGCACAGACTCACGCAGCGGCTTAAATGAGTGCGTGTGTGTGCGTGTATGTGTGCACGCGTGTGTGTGTGTGTGTGCACGCGTGTGTGTGTGTGTGCACGCGCGTGTGTGTGTGTGTGTGTGGGTGTGTACGTGCATGTCTGCGTCTGTGTGCGTTGAACTGCTTTATAATTCAGGATCCGGTGGCATCCACAACCGATGTTCTTGTTTCTCTACTTCAATCAACAAGCACATGCATAATTGTGCTATTGGAGCAAGCACTCAAAACAGATAATGTGGTAAGGGACCTAAAAGACAATGTGCTGCAATTGCAGGGAGATTTGGATATGGCCAACTGCAAATCTTCGAAGGCAGTAGAAGCAGTAAGTACCACAATAGCAGTCTATCATCATTGACCATGTTTCTTTCACATACATGTATTTGGTTTGGGCCCGGCTTTAGTGCCCGGATGATAGTATGCATGTAGCATCCAATGCGGATATCCGCAGCTGCGGACGTGGAACCATATGTTGTAGTAATCAACAGTGCTAGTTTTAAAGGGGAAGTTAAGGCAAAAAAGCAAAAATCAAAATTTCACCAGCTGTAGTCGTCGGGGTGCTGAGTCGAATGGTCTTGGTCCGAGAAAGCTGAGACGCTCCCTTCCTACTTGAATCCCAATCGAACTCGCGCACTTCCACCGAAACTGGGTGACTGCGCCCTACTAGATGGGGATTTGTATGCAAAATGTCACTAAAAGCGCCATTTCGTTCTTATAAAAGCACGGATGACCGCGATTGGCCCATATGTTGTAGTCTTGTGGACGCTGAGTCGACTGGTTTTGGTCCGAAAAGGCTGCGATGCAGCGTTCCTCCTTTATTCCCAATCGAACATGGTTGAACAAGTGGTCACGTGCTCCTGGGTGCCCAAATCACCTGGTCACCACGCCAGCAGGCGACAACTTTCACACCAAGGTTCAACTCGAGTGACAGGACTGCACCCAAAAAAGGTCAAACAGGCTAGTAAGTGGTACCCTGCAGGCACGGTGACCAGGTGACTGGTGTACGCAGGAGCACGTGACCGCTTGTTCAACCATGTTCGATTGGGAATAAAGGAGGAACGCTGCATCGCAGCCTTTTCGGACCAAAACCAGTCGACTCAGCGTCCAAAAGACTACAACATATGGGCCAATCGCGGTCATCTGTGCCTTTATAAGAACGAAATGGCGCTTTTAGTGACATTTTGCATACAAATCCCCATCTAGTAGGGCGCAGTCACCCAGTTTCGGTGGAAGTGCGCGAGTTCGATTGGGATTCAAGTAGGAAGGGAGCGTCTCAGCTTTCTCGGACCAAGACCATTCGACTCAGCACCCCGAAGACTACAACTGGTGAAATTTTAATTTTTAACTTCCCCTTTAATAAGTAGTAGTTTATATGAGATCCACACAGTGACTGGTTTAGCCACCCGCACTTGTAGCAAGTTACTGCTATTACCAAGAGTGCATAAACAAGAGTATGCAACTGTGGTTATGGCCCAGTGTGCGGCGCGCTGCCTTCATTACGTAACTTGCCTTCATCACGCTCTGAAAGCATGCATTCAAACTCACAATTTCTCGTACGAGCCCATCCGTTTTTGCTCGATTCGTTCCAGTACCTACACAATCTCTGAATTCTGGCGCGTGAACTCCAGTTCCGTACGAAAGTTCATTTCAAACCAGAGGGAAAGTGCGGTGTTTGATTTTCCGCAGTGCGCGGACTGCAGCTGAATGATGTAATGAAGGCAGCGCGCCGCGCATCTGGCCCATAGAAAAGAGATCACAGTTGCATACTCTTGTTTATGGACTCTTGCTACATGTATTACCTTCACCGTAACTGCAGTTGGATCCCGGGAAAGATACCCAGATGCCGTCAATCCTTTTTCTGCACCTTGTCCTCACCCGCTTACTGAGGTGTGTTGAGCCCATAAGTGGGATCATTTCCAAGTCCACCCAGAGTTTGGGGATTTCAGGGGATGTCGACCGTTAGGTGGTTCAATAGCCAATTGAGTCATCTTTCCTATATTCCTTTTGAGTCTTTTTCCCCTCTCCCGGGGAGACCCACGTAATCAGTTTTGGCAGTGAGCAAGTACAAGTGTTTGTATATGCTTAATTAAAAGCATGTGTATGTGTGTGTGTGTGCGCGCGCGCGTGCGTGCGTGTGTGTGTGTGTGTGTGTGTGTGTGTATGTATGTGTGTGCATTATGTCGTATGACTTGCAATCGGCTTGCAGCGTTGTGCAATGGAGACCGAGATGGCAAAACTAACCACTGTCATTCAGGAAAAGGAAGATCAGCTGTGTATGTCTACTCAGGTAAACATGGAACTAGAGACTCAGTTACATCAATTTTTACAGCAAGGAGATGAGAATATTGGTGTGCACCTACCTGACTTTGATTCAAATGGCACCGTCCAGACACAAAGTCTTCATGAGCCCAGATCAACATCTCGGAGAACCTCAACAGTGCAAGACCCGGTCATGACTTCTACTGAACAATCAAATGAAGCCGTAAAGAAGCAGCTAGCCGACTCCAAAACCATGATCCAAGTGCCACACGATGAGCTTCCCGCAATTATATCAACATTGGAGGGGGAGCTAGTTGATTCAAAGGATATGAACACTGATCTAAATGTACAATTGTCTGCATTGAAGGCCTCGAATAAGGAGCTTGTGATGAAACTGGAGATGCAGGCCAAGGAGCTGCGGCAATCAGCTGCTGAGCTTGAACATCGACTGCAAGAGAAGTGTAGAGAGCAGGTGCAAGAAATTGAGCATCTCTTAGCCGAGAAAGAGGACACTGTACGGGCCTGTGAGCAGTATCAACAAGCTATCGCTCTTCATAAGGAACGAGAAGAAGATGTGCGAGACAAATTGTTTGCAGCTCGCCAAGAGTCGCAGCAGATCCAGAAGCGATATCGTGCTTTGCTGGAGGTAAGCAGCAAATTAATGCAAGAAGTAAGGAAACAGAAAGAGCCAACGTCTATCCTGGAAGTTGATCAGGCACCGCACCAGTATACTTCAGTACCTGAACCAGTTCTGACAGAGGCCAAGGGTACACAGACACGCCCTCCAACGAAGGAGGAGTCTCTTTCAGTGACGAAGATTCTTTTTGGTGTTGAAAAGTTATGTGCGGACATGGACGAGACGACAGCACAGCTGAAGCAGAGCAATTCCAACCTCAGCACACCATACCCCGCTACAAGACAGCTGAACAGGCGTAAATCAGGAAGCCAGCAACACTTGCACGTACAACAACGTGACGAAAGCACTCCACTGGTTCAGTCGCTCAGCGCTAGCGATTATTTGTCTCGTGGTTATCCGTCCAGGGCGGTGGCTGAATACGGTATTCGTTTGATTGATGAATCACTGTCCGGCCTGGCTCACAACCCACCACATATGTACCAGGCACCGGCAGTGAAGCGAGTGTTTCCGAATTCTGGAATCATGGACTCTGGTGTAGGTAATTCATATCATTCTCAATTTGTCAGGCCAGCAAGTGACTTGGCGTCCCTTAGCCTTGATCAGTCACCGCGTAGTGCATTGGCTAAAACACATGATAAAGATCAAGTCGACTTTCATACTGACCAGTCCGAGCCCCATTCTCAGAGATTGCAACACAAACAGTCACACCATAGCCATGGGTATGCCATTGATCAGTTCAGCCGGAATCAGCCTTCACAGTTGTCACAGCAGCAGCAGCGCCACCACCAGGACGTACCAGTCACTTCTCGGAGACCGTCATCTTTTGACACTGCCCATTCCAAGCATCATCGTGACGAGGATCTAGCTGATGCACCAATTCGCTACCCACCGGGGATAAAATTGGCTCATGCGAGAAGTCACTGAGAACACATGCGGTATTGAGTGGCCTTCTTTCCTTATTTTATCCACAGCTTTGTATTGTGCTTCTGTTTGTCCAATAGAATATGCACGGCGGCATAATGATGTGCTGTTGAGGTTTCTCAACCGCAAGTCAGTATCATGTCGCAGTCTCTACGTATGTGCACGGCCTTGGCAGCAACGTTTCTATGTGTATGCAGTGTGACAGTGTGACTGCATTAGCCTTGTCCACTTGTCTTTGCAATCAACACTCCCTACTAAAGCAGTGCTGCCAGTTCCGACACTGCCTTGAATTACCACTACATACTGTACTTTCATTTCCCCATTTACCAGTACATGTATTCACTATTCATTTGAGTGCTGCCTATTATAAGTATGAGATCATCCGGTATTATTTCTTCAGAATAATCAGAATATCAGAATATATTTTCAGATGGATTAGTCTTAGAGACTTCCCAATGATCGAATGCGGTATCCCCTTCTCGCGACTGACTCTTTTCAGTACATTTGTACATTTCACTGCTGCCCCTGTACTGTACCATGGCAATGATGATTGAGCCACATCATATTTGGCCGGGATGAAACACGGAGTCTACAGTGCTGCCCAGTAAAATCCATTCGACCCAGGCAGTGTCGCGTGCCAGGGATATTGAAGTAGTTGGGAACATCACTGCCAGTGCAGTCGTGTAGCTTGAAGCCTGTAACTGGTGTTACTATCAGCCAGTGCAGTATATACATATTATAGTGCAGAGAGCGCTCCCAGGCCAGAACACATGCACTGTGTGCGTACGTAAGTCCTGGGCTTCTTGTCTAGGGCAACGAACACTATAATTATGTAGTTGCATAATGCTGATTGTAGTCCGAGTCTGGAGTTGAGGACTGACCTGGGTTCCCCGTGCTAGGAAAAATTGTAGGGGGGGGGGGGTCGGGGGTAGGGGAAACAAACAGTTCACCCATTTTTCTATGTTCCACTATTGCCTTGTCACAAAAAAAAATAAGACATACGGGTGCACAGAGCACCCGGAACGATCGATTTGTGGCCACATTTTCGCTGTGTCATCTGAAAAACACGAGTAACGTTAGGGTGGTGCACCGTCAGTGGGGGGGGGGGGGGGGGAGCAGTGTACTGTGCCCCCCCCCCCCCTGGCTAGAACAATGCTGACCCTATTGCGAATAATGAGCAATGGGGCTATACTGCATCCCACTACTACAATATTTGCCAAAAAACGGCCAATGCTGCATGTATCGTTGTCGACTACTATGTGCAGCACTGGCCGGATTTTTTTGCGAGTAATGTAGTCTAGCCCTATAATTATAGTTGTACATGTAGGTGCACACCATAAATAAAGCTGCAATGCGCCATGACCAACGTTATATCAATCGGTCATCGTACATGTGTCGATTGTTATTTTTCCATGTAGTTTATCTGTCCCTCCAGGAAATCGCGATTCCATGGATGCTACCAATTTCGCGATTTTCTGCTAAATCCGCTATTTCCCCGCATTGTTGTCGTTTTCTGAACTAAAAAAAAACAAACATATTTCTGCACTTTTCACACGGTGCTTTCCATGATCATGTTGTTTTTAGTACGACTCGTACTACAGTCAACTCCGCTAATAACGACTGCGGATATAACGACAATTCGCGAATAAGGACAGAATTTCCATGCGATGCCCCGCCGAGTGTCGTTATAAGCGAAGTTGACTGTACTCCCGAGTAGATCTACTGCGCAAATCGCGATTCTACGGATGCAACAGATTTCATGATTTGGCCCTAATCCGTACTTTCTGGAAATAATTCCGCGAATTCCGCACTTTTCGCCGCATTTTTTGTTGCTTTCTACCGCAAGTTTTCGAGACTTTTCGCAAATTGCCGCGGAGACAGATAAAGGCCCATCAAGACACCATACTTGAAACTCCTCGTCCACCGATAACGAGAATTCTATTCCCATAAAAGGCAGTGTGCTAAAGCCTTCTGCTCCGCTTGGAATTCCCGTCGCAGAGATTTGAGTGTAAGCAGTGCACGTAACTATGGCAACAGCGTGAATATTCGAAACATTCGCTTGCAATCATAACTACTTTGAAACTTTGAGTATAAACGTCGGACGCCTGATCAAGAGTACACAAACCCTTTACTGGCTCTTGAGTCTTCACAACATGTGCAAACAGTCATGATTGTAGCATCTTGCACAAGATTTACTTCGAAGCACTAGTAAAATTTCATGATTATCATCCAAAGAACGCGTCTCTTGTAAACCTACCTACACAGACGCAAATGCAAAAGCACACTTTGTCAAGCACTTGACTTGAAGAAAACAGAGCACGCAGAAAAAATACGATATGATAGGCACAGTAGTTGTCAACAGTAGCGAGGGGATTGTGCGTAATATAAAAAATAGGAGTGCCAGATGCAAGCTAATCGTCAAACAGCACAAGCGTGCATGAAATATAAAAGAATTAGCAAGGATTCTGGGCTGGCACCAAATGAGCAACACACCTGAGACAACAAGACAAAAATAGCTAAGTACACATGTACAATGTACCACTAACATAGTTCACCTATACACAGCTTAAAAGTAAATAATGCGATTTACTTCAGGTCTGGCTCGCCATCCAAGAAAGATCGCTTTACACGCAGCAGCATACTGGTGAGCCAGGGGTCGAGACGGCTGATCGAGTCATACTCTTTCACCTGCACAGCAGCAGAAACGGTAGCAGCAACAGCGAATATGACTACAATGCACCCAGGCACAGGCAAACACGCTCACAAATCTGAAGAGAATACAAGTGGCATGCTTTCTAAGGACGGTGGCGCACACGGTACAGCATAGCCTCCACTCACACGGTACAGCATAGCCTCCACTCACGCGCAGTGCAGACAGCATTGCATTATGGCTTCCACACACACCTTGACCTTTGACGCCCATCGCCAGAGGCGATGATAGCAATGCCACGGCATAAGCCATATCAACTTGTACACACACACACACACGGAATGCATAACCCTGTGGTACACAGTACTGCATACACTCTTTGCATATGGACGGCCCGCAGCCCTGCCCTTGAGATCCTGTGAAAATGTTCGAATTGGTGGATAACATGTGTGGTTTTCACCTACACAGATGCGAAAGGGTGGAAGAAAACCTGGATTGGCATGAACTTATATCCAACACTTGTGTGGATGCAGAGGGACTTCCTAGGTGCCCTTCTCTAGCTTTAGCCAACAAGAAAAGCGCCAGTGCTGCCCCTGAGGCCTGCAAAGCCAGCAATTCATTGTTTTCGTATACACGCCGTGCACAGATATTCTCCATCAGCTCTCCACGACATGTGGGTCACTTGAGTGCGATGCCGCAGACCATCTGTATGCTAAGGGTCTATCCTCCACATACAGAGCATACAAGCCAGTGTAGCCCACACCGTACTGAAAAAGCCTCCACACACACACAACGCTTGTAGAGCATTTCACCCGGTACATGGCCATATCGTTCTCTGCCTGCCAAACACCAGGAGGCCATGGCCACGTGAACGTCTTCAACAGTGAGCCACAGTGGCACACAGAAACAAAACACCAAGCCGACTTCCTCCTGGTCCAGCTGTTGCCAATAGGGAGGGACGTAAAAATTCAAAGAAAATTCGGCCAGATATGTTTGAAAGTTTTCTTTGGGACTTCGCGCGGACGAGCGTTGCAGTTTTCTCATAAAAATTTAAAATTTCACGGTTCACCACCCTCTAGGATCAAGGCGCAGATGCAACTCCTAAGTGGTGGGAGGTGAGTAGATCAGACCCACCACAAAGTGGTCAAAGACCAAAATCCCATTCATTGCATCCATAGGCAGGCAGGCATAGTGGGATGGTCTAAGACCATGATCGAGAAACAGAGGGTACCAGGTTCAAGTCCTGCTTGGGAGCCGAAGGATTTTTCCAGCCATGCTGCAACCCACAGTTAATTGTAGGGGTGAAAGTTGGCACTGAGATCCCGAGTTCGAGTACTCGTACTCTGATTTTCTCCGATCGAATATTCAAGTATTCGAGTATTCTTCATCTCCTAAAAATTGCACACCGAGGGCCTTAAAATCACATGATACAACCCTGATTGAACCGAGTGGCAGTCATTTTACTCGGGTATATTGAATTATTGGTTGGTGGGTCATTTGGGCTCTCTCTACTCGTGAACAAATGTTCACCACATGGTCTGCACATCAATAACTGCCGACTGCTGCACTGAAACTACAGATTTCTGTGGAAAATGCATGTACCATGTAAGAACGAGTACTCTGATTTATTCCGAGTACGATTATTTTTGAAAAAACCGAGCGAGTACTCGAGTATTCGGTATAATTGTTTCACCCCTAGTTAATTGGGACGCCTGGCACATAGAATGCGTATTATTTCTAAGAAATCAGTTACTGAGTATTACGAACACCCAAGTTCCAAATTCTATGCATAGATGGGTCAGAGCTTTGTTTGGAATAGATGTAGGTCAACTTTTTCATTCGGAATAGATGTGGGCCTAACATTGTGTTTTGTCTTCGGAAGTGGTGCAAGTTTTTTGATTTAACTGTAAGTAGCAATATGTACCTGCGGGGGGGGGGGGGGGGGTACTTTGGTCACATGATCATAAACAGCCACTTACTGCAGCTGTGAAGGCCTCAACATCCTGTTCTTCATGAGCTGAAAGTAATGTCTGGTGAAAGTACACGACAAGGACAGAGAGCTATGAACACAAGAGAAGAACCTCTCACACTAATCGCACTCACGGCAGCGAAGAGACATGACTACTTGCTGTGATTGCTGAGAGCTGGTTTCTATAAGCCTAACTGGCTGCTGCAGTGGAGCTATTAGTTCTTGCACACAGCAATACTGAAGACGGCACTGGTCGTGCCGCAGAAAAGAAGAGCAAATCATGACTTGCCAGCAATTCTGTGCTACAACTTGTAAGCAGACTGAATGTCATATATCATCATGCTAGAAACGTTTACACCATACTACGTGCTTGTAGGTGGGCACTTGTTCAAGCTTACCTGGACAAACTTGCCCTCTCGTGAATCATTGAAGGCTGGATAGAGGCCCTGGTACTTATCTAGTGCTCCCTGATCAGTCCAGGACATTTGCAAAATACACACATCCACATATCCACACATACACATGCACACACACCCACACACACACAGAGTACATAAAATCTTGTTCACCGAGCGCAAGCCTCATAGAGTGCACATCAACTGGAATCCACAGGTGTGTCCAATAACGGCAATAAGATTCGATCTTGCCACAGGAGACACTGATGCTGTGTTTTTAAGTACACAGATCAATGCTCATAATCATGAGTACACGTGCATGGGCCGAGCACAAGTAGTTTCGATTAGGAGATTTCTTCATCCCTACAACAGAATGCTACTGTGCCTGGTGAACAATGCATTTAAAGTGTTTACAGGGCACCAGGGTAGGTGACTTTACAGGGCACCAGTGTAGGTGAGTTCCATACAATGACGTACAGGTACGTATGAGAATTGAGGCCAATATCCTCACAATGGCCTGGGGCCAAAAGGACACAGTGACACCATGTTGGGCTGGGACAATTCAGCTCGTAGCTGATTCATACAGCGGTGTAGTGCTTCCCTGCCAGGCAGGCCAAGCCTTGCAGCAAGTGACATAAGTGACATTTGCTGTAAGAGGCCCGGCGAAGTTTCTAAAAACTTACCGCTCCACGCAGTGGATCCACACACATATTCAGGATGGACGCCTTGAAGAGGTAGTCCTTGGCAGACCATTTCAGCAGAGTGTTGTCTAATGCTGTCGTTGCACACTACAGCATTGCAGTGCAGAAAGATAGAAAACAAAGAACAGATACACTGTACTCGTACTTGAATTGAATGCATTGAAACAAAACTGGGATGCCAACTAGTGAACAGGGAATCAAGAGTGATTGAAGAAACAAGACAGGTAGAACCAAGAGTCCATAACCCAAGAGTATGCAACTGTGATCTCTTTTCTATGGGCCAACCGCGCGGTGCGCTGCCTTCATTACATCATTCAGCTGCAGTCCGCGCACTGCGGAAAATCAAACACCGCACTTTCCCTCTAGTTTGAAATGAACTTTCGTACGGAACTGGAGTTCACGCGCCAGAATTCAGAGATTGTGTAGGTACTGGAACGAATCGAGCAAAAACGGATGGGCTCGTGCGAGAAATTGAGAGTTTGAATGCATGCTTTCACAGCGTGCTGAAGGCAAGTTACGTAATGAAGGCAGCGCGCCACGCATGCACCCATAATCACAGTTGCATACTCTTGGGTTATGGACTCTTGGTAGAACATGATAGAGTCAACAAATCAGAGCTGACAAATCCGATAGAAAGTAACCATCCGTACCACAGTCATTACACACGCCATTACACCGACAATACACCAAGGCAGCAAACAACGATAATACAAAATCTCAAAAACACAGGGTCATGCTGCTGACACGACATCATACAAACACTAGGCTATGCACCGTGGCTCTGCTCTATTCACGCGGTCAAATTTCTTTTGCAGTACAGCCAGTCTCGAGAACAACGACCCCCGGGTACAACAACTTCCAAATAACGACACCATCGGCAGACCTAGTGACCACTCGTCTGCATACTGTAACCTCATGAACAATGACAACTCGCGAACGGCACTTTTCTCGTGCACCATCGAGGGTCGTTCTTCGCAATGTTGACTGTAACTGCATTTTGCATGGGTAGGTTTTTAAACCTATCTCACCTGCTCATAGATTTCAATTGCCTGTTCATACTGCTCCAGCTGTGCACAGAAGTGAGCTACCTTCAGTAAACACTTGTTTGCAGAACTGTGATCAGAAACACGCACACGCATATGCACACACACACACACACACACACACACGCACACACACACACACACACACACACACAGAAGAGAGTAAAGGAGGGGGAGAGAGAGAACCAGAAAGAGAGAGTACATTTTAAGTATGACAGATTTCATTTGTAAAGAGAAAAGGACCTATAAGTTACTAGTTTATGACTAACAGTACACCAAGGTAATGAGATAATATACAGTCAGATAGTGCGACGACAAGGCACAAAACTGACAAGGATATTGAGACATTAGACGACCTGGCACCTAGTTCCAACACATCTACGACTGTACATTATCTCGTTACCTCGGTGGACTGTTAGTCATAACTAGTAACGTATACTGTATATGTAATTTTAGGTGAATTTAAATTTCGGTACCAGGGACATGCCAGGTTTCAGGTGTAATGTAGAATTAGGTGACCAGCTTACCCTTCACATACAGCACATACTCTAGTGCCTTTTAGGTGTAATCCAAATTTAGGTGCCTGAATTCTCTACCGAAATTACCGAAATTAAAATGACACCGAAAATAACGTGTTATGCAGTACTGTAAGACATGTATATATAACGAGGAAGCAAATCTAACGTTTTAACGGATGACATTTCTTCGTTATAATAAGATCCGTTGAGGCCGTACTGCTTCATATATGCTGTGTGTGGATATGGCAGAATACTGCAAGATCGTTAACATATCTTCTCGTTAACCTATGAATTTTGGACAATCGTTAAATTTGCGACTCGTTATAATAACATGGCTTACAGTAGGTCCTTCTCTCTTTACATAATTATCACTATCGGCTCAACATCCGAGATTTCATTTGTTTCGGAGAAAAATATTCCATGGCTGGAATTCCTGATTTTCGTGTCTAAGTTAGTGCCCTCCTACTTGTTTTCATGTATTCTGCTGCAGCAGCCTTGTCAAAATAGAAAGGCAACGGGTCGGGCAGCAGCAGCGACGGCATCAGGAGCAACAACAGCCACGGCAGGAACAGCGCAAGAACCGCAGCTGCAGCAGGAGCCACAGCTATTCCCGATGGTGCTGATCCAGCACCAAAGCACACACACACACACACACACACACACACACACACACACACACACACACACACACACACACACACACACACACACACACACTGAAAGGAAATTGACGTTGTGGTAACATAATACTATTAGTTATTTATACTTGGAGATGTTTGCACAGCGCAACTTACTTACCTGTATTCTTGAGTCCCACATAGTAATATCGAATTGTTGGGATCATGGAACTGTGGCATGTTGATATCTAATCCGTTTGTAGCGATATGACTTCTTTTCTATTCTGTTCTCTTGTGTCTGGCTTCATTTATTCTGTTCAAAGACTGCGTTTCTTTGTATTTGTTTATCTGTGATTTTTGCGTGTTTCCACATTTATTTGAGCCGCGTGGCTGTGCATCCGCGACGCCACGGGCCTCGCTCTTTTTCAGCCGGACTTATGCCATATCGTGCATGCGTACGCTGTAGAGATGCATATGCGCAGACTCGTGCGTACTACTGTTGGCTTCCTGACTTGCATTTAGGTTCCTGTGGTTGTCTTTTTCCTGGTCTTTTTCGTCTTGCTCTACATACATTGAACCAATATGTCAACGATCTGACTGGAGTGCTTGCTGTGTGCGGAGCGCACTATTCCTTTACAACGTGGTGCCGAAACCCGGGATCGAGTGGAGCGAGATGTCGAACCTGAGGTTAGACTCGTTCATACACTCCTACAGAGGGAAAAGCCCCTACAGAGGGAAAAGGGACGATTTCGAGGCTTTTTGGTCCAAATTTATGGTAACGGCGGCCCTGCAAACGTGGGGCACTGGCGCGAAGCAGATGGATAATCTGCCGTTGTTTTTGGATGGCGAGGCCTACACTGTGTGGGACGAGATGCCGACAGCGGATCGTAAGGATCCTGATAAGGTGAAAGCTCAGTTGAAGGCGGCGTTCGGCGTCACGCCTGCCGATGCGTATTCCAAATTCACGTCACGGACACTGAGCGAGGAGGAGTCCGTGGATAACTACGTGGCGGATTTGAAACGTCTCCTGACTTTGTCTGGTCAGGCGGTGGCTGCGGATGGGACGAGCTGTATCCTCATCGAGCAATTCTACGCTGGACTGCCACGCTGGACTGCCACGCTGGTACGCGAAGGAGCTACGCATGAGCGGAAAAGCCACGATCATGAGTTGCGTGACATTCGTCCGCGATCTCCGCAGTGCTGAGCAGGCCTTCCAACCGCACCGCGACGTGGCAGCTGTCAGTGCAACTGCCCAGCATAGCGTGGACAGTGCTGGTGGTTATCGCGGCCAGGGTGGCGCAGGCCACAGCCGTGCTCCACGGTCTGTGTTGTGTTACGAGTGTCGCCAGACGGGTCACTTTGC